TGGGTTCATGGGTTCATGGGTTCATGGGTTCATGGGTTTGGGGTTTGTTTGTTTTTGTGTCGGAGGTTTTGGGTTCGGGTGTTGGAGGTTTTGGGTTTGGGTGTTGGAGGTTTTGGGTTTGGGTGTTGGAGGTTGAGGTTTCGGAAGGGATGTGTTTGCAAAGTTTTATTGCTCTTAATATTACTACGACCAGCGCTGGCCCGAGGACATCTAAAAGGACAACTAGGACAACTTAAACCTCACACATATTATTACTATGAAGAGGAGAAAATGAAAAAACTAAAAGTAAAACACGCACTCATAGGAGTCAGACTCACTTAGATTCGCTTCATAATGTGATGTGAGATGCTAGCATTGACTCTGCTAGACTCATGTTGCTCACGTTGAATGCTAGCAGTGATTATTCTTCTACTAGGCGTTTTTTCTCGTGGAAAATGAATCCAAGAACTATTTCTATTTTTGTGGAGTGATGTGAGAGTGTGTTTTCCTTTGTTCATGGAAAGCCAGGATGCGACGCAGCGGGAGGTGCTACTGCAGAGGGTCACAGATCTACTGGGCTAGTAGGGTTTAGATGTTGCGGCTTACAAGTCTAATAGATTTTAACTTTCTTTCTCTATGGGTCATTTCCACGTTGAGCAACAAGAAGTCTTACTAGTATTAACTAATGTAGATGTTTTTGATGTTTTACCATTTTACTAAGCGGAATTTACTCTCTAAGCGCGTCTGACGAGCAAATCATGATAATTTTGAGAGTTAGTACTGCATAGGTGGAGCTAATCGTTGAGCATACTGATCGTGATCATTGACCTGCAATACTTTATCATTGAGCATGCTGATCGTTGATTCAACGTAAGTTCATTGTGTCTACTGCAATACTGTAAATATGATATTAAACCTTTCTCGAAAGTCATGAGCATGACGGAAAACTGGTGGGGAAGCATTAGCATCGCGATGCGTGTGCGTGTCCTCTGAGTTGTTCGTTCGTTTATTTGAAAGGTTAGGGTAAGTCGCATGCATTCTTATGATTGTGAGAGATTGCTTTTGCTTGTGGATATATTTTGCCTGGAGACCTTGACCTTCACTGCACAACTTTCATAAGTTATATTTTGCGACGACGTGATCATTAGCAGACGGATACGACGTTCATTATTTTTGTGGCATGTTGTTTTTCTTGTTTTGCTCTTACGAACGTTTCTTGCGAACAAAAAGCAACAAGGTTTTTTGATTTGTGTGCTGTCGTCGTCGCGTCAGATGATGTTGTGTGCTGTCCTCGTCGTGTCAATTGATGATAGCCAAGAAAAATGATACTGCGGATTCTGATGCAGCAAGATTGGGGCACGTGGCAGGCTTGCAAATATGGGCATGACTATCTCAACAATAGGCCAGCTTGGCTGACTATCTATCACTAGAACTCCCACGACTTTGAATTAAGGCTTCTCCCGTAAGCGTGAGTAGAATGTGATTCGATAACCGCCTGAGCGAGCCTCTGCAGATGGTAATTGAATGGTTGATTTTTTCTTAGAAGACAGACTATCACTTTCACTTAATCACATGCTATGTATGATTTGAAGTTGTTGCTGTTGTCTTTTCAAGCCGCGCCACCCACTAGATGGTTCGTTGATGTATGCCATGCCTTTGCAAAATTTTCGCGGGCTTGCTCCTGTTGTATCTTCGGTTTTCGGAGACGTAGCTCAGTATTATTAAGTAACTGAAATTATCATTTGACTCATTCGCAACTCGAGATGACTAGGCTCGAGGAGGTACTACTTCTCTACGGATGACAAATTAATTTCTACTACTGTTTTTACATAAGGTGTATTGTTCTGGGTCATGATTTGGTTTTGGATAGTCATATCAAGTATTCTTTCGAGCATGTTAATGTGAATGTCCTTCTCATGTCGTCGTGACACAGCGACAAACCCCTCGTCTGACAAATGTTCACATGCTAGTCCTTTGTTTGAGAAAATGAACACTTCTAAAATATATGGTCTCTTTTGTATCACCCATTTGTAGCCTGCTTGTAGCCTGCTACAGGATACTTCCAACTCTCTCTTCTTCTATGGCCATTATCCATTGGTGTTCCTGCGACTTGAATGTTGTTGTGAATATACCTTATCACTTTGTTTTCCCGTATGTGTGATCTGTTTTACGAGTAAATAGTAAATCGTGTTCCAAGCGTGACTCAGTGCAGCTGGGTTTGATTCCAGGTTCAACTGTGCACTATAGCACGAGTGCTGCTTCCAGACACGACCCCCGTGGGAGGCTCTGGAAGTGTGTTAATGCCTGGTTGATCGTGTTGATCTATCAATGACTACTTATAAGTAGTCCTCTCTGTGAGTGTGAACCAACGGTCATCTTTAGCGGTTGTGATGCTCAAAAAACATATCGGTCAGGTCTGCTGCTTGCCTCCTGCCCTAGTCTTTTGCGCCGGCCTCCGCCGCTTGGTTCCCTTCTCCCCTGCGGTAAATCCTCATTTTGTGAGTTTTTCTTTTGCGTTTTGATGGAACCCATCTTACATGCCCACGCACCTTGGTCGCAACCTCCTTCATAAAAGTTTTTGATGATTGTTGATTGTCGTCTTTGCAGCAAACTTGATACTAGATTGCCGAATCAATGGTGCAGCACGCAAGATGATCATTTGGGTTGCCTGGAATGAAAATTCTAGTACTGATCACAAAACAGAACAGAATTCGAGGTTCCCCGTTATAGCCTCTTCTTTTGCTGTGAAGGGCTTTCCAGTCTTCAATATCATTCTAATAATCATCCTTGTAGATACCGTCTTCGTATCGCTTGCGCTACCGAGCACTTTGATGCTCAGTGAATGATGTCGTTCGACGCGTTTGAATAGGTAGTGTTAGGTTTTATTAGTTGTCATTTTTCTCTGTCGATAGACTTTCATCACAGGGTCTATTTTCATCATGATCATACGAAGTTATCTTTCGTATTATGAACTGCTTGTTGGGGATAATTAGTTCTCATAAGTTAAAGTTGTTTTTGGTAGATTTGTTGCGCGCCTACGAGCAGAGTTTTAGAGTTTGTCGAAATTCATGATCATTCTTGTTCCTCTTTATTTGACGTGTTTTTTATAAGGCCAACTTCTATCCTTGAATAAACCTTATCGTTTATAAGTACTTAAGTAAACTGATTCATTGAATTATCGCTTTCTGTTTTGTTCTTCTGCGGATTCGACTCTTGTCCTGCACAACAATGCTTGTCGTGTTGGAGGATGAAAGAGGACACGAACAAGAACATCATTGTCAAGCAAACGGAACTTTATAGGAGCTTGTGAGAACAAAGCTGACAGAAGCCATGCGACCGCGTGCTGGGGCATCTTCCCTTCCGAAGCGCTGCAGCACTCCTGCGCTGCTACTTTTTCTGGTTCTGCTGTCACGACTGGAGGGCGCTCGCGCTGTTAAGCTCGAAGATGGGCAGCGACACAAGCGTTGCACAACAAACTGCGGTGCCAAGGGGTTCGAGCAAAGCGCCATCAGACATCTAGGACCAGACGAATGTGCTGAGTGTCGATCTCCCACTTCAAGAAGTCCGTGTCACGCTCCGTTTGCGGAAGTCATTTTTCCGCAGGGTGAAGAACATGACACTCCTGAGAGGGGTACTACCTAGCATTTACATACTTTCTGTATGTAGCAATCATAGTACATCTCTCAATACTTTCTGTATTTAGCAATCATAGTACATACTTCCTGTATATAACTTAGCAATCATAGTACATCTAGTCGTGTTTACATCAACTACATCGGAGTTGAATATCTCTTCTTAAGTCGGTTCTAAAAAGATCTTACTCACTCACATTTTTAGATGCTTAAATAGCAGGTTCTCTCGCCGAAGCCGCCACCTCCGCGGTCGACGCGAAGCAGTGTTGTCGTGTGCACCGGTGCTCATCTGAAGAACAACAAATAGAAGAAGCAGCACCAGAGCATAGAACAGAAATCTCCACAGCATTAGGAGAAAACGATAACACAGAAGCTAATCATGCTGCAGAGGATGTTGAGAGGGTGGGAGAAAGGGACGCGCCAGCACGAAGGAGCGAAGGACGAGCCGGCGAGGAAGAGAGGGTCGACAGTTTCTTCCATTTTCTGTACAAGATTTTCTACCTGCCCTACATTGATCCGGTGGCGCAATTTTTCTACTTCATATTCTCAAGTACTTAAGGCTACTCCACCTACTACATCACGCTAGAGTCCTCGCGCATCCTCAACATCATCCACCTTGGCTCTTTTTCGGGACCCGAAAAAGACGCCGGGGATGCCTCCGAGGATCCGCCGATGGTGCAATACAGATCTAAAGTATTTTACGGCTCCTGTTGGGTATTCTCAACATTCCAGTCGAAACAGCGGAACTTATCGTCCTACTCGTATTCGCAATTGTCGGAGCCTTCGCCGGCTTGTTCCAGGACTACGTACTCCTGAACACCTACTTCTACGTTCTCTTAAGGCCTGGCGGGATTCACGATTTTCATTCTAGAAGGAGCTCTCTTTCTTCTAATTGTATTAAGTTGTTTCATACTTCTTGTTAGTCCTTTTTTAGTAAGTACTATATATAAAGAGTACAACTAATTCAGGAGTGTAAGAAGTCTTCTACTTCGTCTAATCCTAGTTGTTTCTTACCTCTTGGTCACTCGCTTCCTTGGACGCTTACTTGGTCGATGAAAGTAGACTGACACGACTTCACGACCACGCGAATAGGTTAATATATAAAGAGTACTAATTCAGGAGTGTAAGTCTTCTACTTCTTCTAATCCTAGTTGTTTCTTACCTGTTGGTCACTCGCTTCCTTGGACGCTTACTTGGTCTTGAAGTCCTCTCTGTCGACCGTTTGAGGCGAAGATTTGAAGCCTGGCCGCCACCGAATTTGGAATTAGAGGATTTAGCCGCTGAGGACTTCGCGTCTTTGATTCTGCCACCCTCCGCCATCCGCTGGGACTACGAAGAAAAACTGGCGAGCTTTATCCAGCACGAAATGGCACGTAGGGCGCAACAGAGAGAGGAGAAGCAACTCGAAGCAGCTGCTAGAGAGGAGAAGCAAACCGAAGCGGGAGTTGCAGAGATGCCTACCACGACGCCTACATCTTCACCGCAAAAAACAAACGTCAAAGTAAGTTCAGAGTCCAGCATAGAGGGCGTGTCGCCAGAGAAGGGCCCGGATGAAGGAGGGGGTGATGAAATAAATAAAACCGAACAGAAACCTCCAGGTCCAGCCGGGGATGGTCCTGTTCAGGTAGTTGATGGTTCTCAAGTCGACGGTACGGAAGTGACCTCCACAGAAAGAACAGCGTCGGGCGTACTAACGACTGCCGGAGAAAAGGATCAGAATTCGAGTCGAAAGCGGCGTATGCAAGCGTTATCGGTAAATTTGGAAGGGGCTCGTGTGAATCTGAATCGAACTGCCAATCTTGCCGCAACGCGGATACGCAAAGAGTATGAAAAAAGTGTACTGCCGAGACAGCTGCATCCCGCAGTGCTGATCCCCTACTCCTACGTTGGGTCCTCTGGTAGAGGTAGCGAAGAAGGTCGCGGTGCTGGAGGAGGTTGTGGCGACCACGATGGCACGAATGCAGGAGCAGGCGGAGAAGAAGTTCTTGCAGAAGTAGAAGGCTTATTTTCTTCTTCTAGAACAACTAGGGTTATATCTACTTCTTCAGAGAGTCGACGCCGCACCATCTCGAACACTTCTTCAGTAGTGTCTTCGGCGAGTCCTGCGGCAACGAGGCGAAGACGCAAACCTGCACAAGTCGTTATGAACCCAGAGGTTGTAGAAACTACGAGCCTAGACGTTGAGGTGGAGGAACACATGCAGTCCCCGCTCCAAGCTCCTGCTATTCCGCCCGATAGTTCTTAAGGCTTCCGGGAATCCATCTTCCGAAGCATCTACTTGGGGCACCCCCCCTCATCCAAGGGAAAAGCAGACCCAAGATGACTCTCAAGATGGATTCCGGTATAAGATCTAAGATGGTGATAATCTCCCTCCGTTGTCAGGGCTGCAGTCTGCTCACTCTGGTGCCGATGACCACTCTGACGACGAGAATGATAGTGAATCGCGCGACGACGATGACGTCTTAGAACAAAGTACTGTGAGCCGCGTCGAGGATTTCTCTCCGTCTGTCTCACCTATGAAGTACAATATGCCGAAGTCTCTCTCTGCCATGGACCTGCGCTACAAAGACTATGCCCACCGCTTCGAGACGGTAGCGCGTCTTTCTTCCGATGGCGAGAGGGAAAGCGTGCTGGAGGATACAACACGAAGGGCACCCACAACGTCGCCGAAAAGCGCCCTTCGTGTGTCGTCGAGTGGAGACCTGTTGATATCAGAAGATGAAAGAGAAAGAGCTACTAGGTGGACCTCTTCCTCTTCTAGACACTTTCATCAAAACTCTGGCGGAGGACTAAAACACCAGCTAGAGGGTGCACCGACTTCGAGTCGAAGCAAAACAGGAGGCTTGAGTAGTACTAAAAGAACAGTATCACCACGCACAGGCTCGCCATTCTCTACTCTTGGCACCACTCCAGTTTTAGCCTTCGTGAATCCGAGGAGTGGTGGCCAAGACGGATATGAGACTCTGAGGAAGCTCAAGTCTATACTGCATCCCATCCAAGTCGTGAACCTGAAGGAGAAAAATGCCCTCTATGAGCCTGTGCACTTACTAGAATGGTTTTGTACGACGTTTGTTAAGGCTACCAAGATGAATACATCCTCAAATAATGCATCCCTGATGGCTCTTGCTTTCTCTGCTTGTTGAAAAAGAAGATGACTACAGGCATGCTTACTTACATAATGAGGATGTTGTTGTAACTTCCGTACCTCTGTCTAAGTTTGGCAGCAGATTGCGCGTGCTTGTTGCCGGAGGTGACGGAACAGTGGACTGGGTCCTTTCGATGATTGACTCTATAGTGGATCGCGACGATCCCTCTGTTAGCCCAACGGTCGTGAACGCAAAAGGAGAGATTTTGTTATGAATCAACAACAACATGAACATAGATTAAGATGGGGAGTTTGCAACACATTAGCATTCTTGAGAAAAAGACGATTTAACATCTTAGACCGCTTTTACTTGCCTTCATGATATGTAAGACTACTAAATTTTGAAAGTAGTGACTGTACTGCTTTATTAACTTTTTTGTACATAAGCTGTTGTCTTGTTCGTAGTTATTAATCATTGTAGTTTATTTGATACTTACTGTACGCGCTAATATCTGAACCTGAAGCTGCAGGTGACAGGCCGCTCTCGCCTGCTGTTGCTGCAGGATCAACGTCGAAGTCTGAGGGTCTAAAAACGAGAGAAACGATAGTGCCTCCGCCAGTGGGTATTCTTCCTCTTGGAACGGGCAACGACTTGGCTCGCGTCTTCGGTTGGTCACGGACGAGCAATATTCGCGGTTTTCTGTCCGAATTTGCGACTGCGCGAGCAGTGTTCTTAGATCGTTGGGTAGTCAGTAGCTACGTCAAGCGGCCTATCGAACAGACTCAGGCTGATCCTGCGGAGCATTCTCGTGGCGATGCACTCATACTTGATGAAGACGGGACCACGTCGATTAAGGGGTTGTCAAGGAAAACGAGCAAGTCGAAGTCGACAAAGTCGGCAGCAGATCGCGACTTGGTAGGTGTTGGCGTAGATCGTGCAAAGTCGGCAGCAGATCGCGACTTGGTAGGTGTTTCCGTAGATCCTGATGACGCCCTAGCCGACTTACAAGTTGTGGATGAAACGACTGCCTGGGTTGCGAAGCTTGGTGGCCTCGTGTTTTCAATACTGGTGAAGGCACAAACTCTCGCTCAGACGATTCAGGAAACTTTTTTTCGGAAGAGGGAAAACAATGTTTCGGTCGAGGAAGAGAGTAACGAACAGCACCAGGGACAGGGCACTTCTAAGAGCGATACTTCGTTTCAGTACCAGCTTGTGAGGCGGAAGACGGCGTCCAATTACGTCGGCATTGGCGTAGATGGCACAGTGATTACCAATTTCCACGACTTCCGCGAGGAACTACCTGGTCTCTTCATACTGCAGAAGGTAAACAAATTTTACTACGCACTCATGGGCTTGATGGAGACGATCCTCAGAAGCTGCTCAGACCTCCCGAACCGCGTGAAAATCCGCTGCGACGGCAGAGAATACGCATTGCAGGATGGTATTGAAGGCATCATCATGTCGAACATCACATCTTACGCGGGTGGCGCACGACTCTGGCAGGGACCTGCATACACGGCGCCGCTGCTCCTGAGTCAGGAGGATGCGGCTAACGGAAACGGTTCTGCTGGTGGAGGCGAAGAGGACTCGTCTGTAGGTGTTGATGACGCACTAGAACAACGCAATTCATCTCAACATGGAGAGGCAGTATTCCCGTTTCCTGTTGACGGTCCTTATCATGGCAATACTTCATCTACTGGTATGTCTTCTAGAACTACTGCAGCACGAGGAGCGGCCGCACCACGGAGACGGGCAAGTCATGGTGATGTTAACGCAGGAGCTGCTGTAAGCGCAGCGCCTTCCTTGGTGGTATCATCCAGCTCAAGGAACAATGAAAACCAAAACATTTTTTCCGAAGGTACTAGTTCCTTACGACGCCGTCGTAGTCGGGAACCGCACCACCGGGATCAAACATCAAGCACTATCGCTTCTTCAGCAGCAGTGGCTGGGACCACTCAAAACGGGATCGTCAGTGCTGCACAAGAGCAGGTCAAGAGTACTGAAGACTACCCTACCTCGTCATTAGATGCGGAAACCAGTTCACACGACAATCTGTTGGACGTGGTGATGTTGCGAGGCGCTGACCACTTGGCTCTGATCATGATCGGCATGGATAGAGCGATTCGCTTGTGCCAGGCACGCGAAATAGAGATCGAGATTAACAGTACGAAACCAATACCGATCCAACTAGATGGCGAGCCGTGGTCTCAGCCGGGGATCTCCAAAGTCAAGGTCGAACTGAAGCATCCTAGGAGTCAAGGTACTTGCTTACTTATACTTTTTTCACATTAAGGTCGAACTGAAGCATCCTAGGAGTCAAGGTATAATTTCGGTTGATTTCTTGCGAAGTCATTCACATACTGTTCAAGAAAGACTAAGACTTGTAGTTTTTAGAGGGATTCAGTCTAGTATTTGTACCTTGTCCTTGGTCTATTCCTAATCGATCCAACAAACAATTATCCTCCTATTCTTCGCTTCATCTTCAGCCGTGATGTTGAAGCGTATCGAGCACGGACTCGGAGAGAGGGCGTTTGTGAAGACCTTGAGCAACGGGACCGAGCGCGGCATAATTCTGCCATGGCAGAGGGACGCGCTGCTGAAAGAAATGGCTGCTATCATGCACCATGAGGAGCGACAGCCTGCAAACAACAACTACTACCAGAGGACTACTGCTTACAAAGCGTACAGGCAATTGATGCAGTACTATGGAAGTAGCTGAGGAACGTGAGTCCTCCTCACGACAGTATGAAGCGTGCTGATTGGAGGACCACTACAAGTGGCTGATGAACGTGAGTCCCCTTCGCGACATGTTAATACGTCGTTCCCTCATATCGTCTCAGGACGTAGAGGCGCGGCAGTCGCAGCTGCGGGGAGGTTGGCGCCCTGTGGAGGCATACCGATTGATTGACTGAAGGACCACCACAGCACGACGCGTGTTGTTATGCTCATCCATGACAGAGACACACAGATGACATGTAGGTCACGACATGACGAGGATGTGCTGACGTCCTTTCCCAGAAACTAACGAAACTTTGGGGTCTACTCTAGTATGTCTATTCCCCATGACCTTGACCCCAGTGCCTTAAGACTCTCAGTTCTCGCCTGATCTTTGTTATCTTCCCATCTTTCCTATATTCTAGGATGATTCATCCCATCCCTCACCTTCGTCTTCATCCTCATGACAAAGTGTGGCTGTTACCTTGTGATTTTCTATAGCTGTACATGCGCACGTGGAGCCTCACAGTGGTTGCGATCTCCAAGAGTGACCACATTTCGTTGTACCCTTATAAAAGAGTCATTCGTCATATCAAATAGAGCAGTAGAGAGCTCTAGACTTCTAAAAATAAGACCAAGGAAGAGGAACTAATCTATCTGTCTTTGAGCCCATCGTCTGTTGAGTTGTCTGCATCTCTTTCTGTCAAAAAAGATGTTGTAGAGAGGATCTAGCAGCCTGCGGATTGCGATCTGTGAGATGTAGTGAGATCGTCTGTTTTGAGCCGCTGTGTAGCCTTGTCCACATGCACTGTATCCGTAACCTAACCTTGAGTTGCCATGCATGAGGTACTCTGCTCTCTGAGAAGTTTTTAAACCTGTTTGACAAAGGTCGAGTGAGGGTCAGTCTGCTTGCATCATGTTTCGGAGGCTATTCTATTTGCAGTCTTTGTGATATCAATCTAGCAGGTTTTCAATGACTATAGTGACCCCCTCTGCACGAGATTGCCATCACTTCTTGAATATGTCCTGACTCGTTCCTCATGATCCTCCTCAATACTATTTCGCCTTCCCTGAATACAAATCTTTCATGGGCACAAATTAACTACTATCGCTTTTCATGTTTTGCGGATATCAATCATATCGTAAAAAAATTTTCGTACAGACGTGATTAAATTTGAGTACTTAGATGAGTTAGTTGCGTACAAGGATCTTCGGAGCAATGTTGTTGCCTTCAACATCATTGTTCTCTCGTTCGGGCGAAGGCATGAAAAAGAACGCACCTACCGCAAACAAGGTCATTGTAGCTTCAGTTTTGTTTTGCTCTAGTGGCGGTGGGCTGTTTGGTCTTGAAGGGGTTTCCGCAACCTTGTTGCTATGTCCGAACGCCTACGCAGGCCAATGCGAAGCTTGGCACAAGGCCTATCTGGACCAGGGTGCCTGCACAAATGGGGCTGGAGCGATTGACAAAGGCACTCTAAAGTATGATGCCGCCATGGAGCTGAAGATCAAGCTTGGACTAGCCACTCTGTCCCTGGATCCAGGCCCTTTCCCGTTGCTGCAGTGGAAGAATTAAGGCTTTATTTTAAGGTAATTCATCTTGACGATCTTGAGCGGCATCTTACTTTGGCCCTGTTTTGAAGGGGGAAAAAATTATGTGTCAAGCATCTTTGGACGACCTGTTTTGAAGGGGGAGTAAGGGCGTCTTCAAAGTTTTTGAATCAAAGGTGGCACCCTCCAAGAAGTATTACAATGTAAGGTATCTTCAAGCGCTAAAAGACGCAGATCGAGACGTTCAACAGTACGTCCTTTGCGTTCAACTTCTGCAGTGACCAAGCGTTGAACATTGTGAACCAGTGCTTGCGAGAGGCGCAGCATTTTAGCGAGAACGGTAACTGCTACGCCTTGTTCGGGAAGAGGCAGAGTTGGAACAACAACAAAACTCGCATTGAGGAGGTGTGGACGGAATTTTCGCAACTGCTAGACGGACCTTTGGCCCACGTGTGGGCTACGGAACCTAGCAAGGATGCGGCCAGCAATTTGACGGCCCTATCTGCAGCGGCGATCGCACGAAAAGGGGGCCGTGACTTCGGAGCCGAGTGCCAGCGCGGATGGGCGCACTACACGGAACAGTGCCACGTAACCGCGACCAACGGGAATAGCATGTGGTGGTCAATTAAGGCGATAAGTACCAGCTAATCAAATATTATAATTGTGATTCATGATCTTTTTCATCTTCTTCACAGCGGCCAAAGCCAATCTTCTGAGATGCTTTCTGATGGATTCTGAGAAGAAAGGTGAGCGTAAGAAGCTATAATCTAGAACATGTACTACATCTTTCTAATTCAAAGTACTGTAGTAGGGACCACGAGTGCCGTGTTCGGCTCAAGGGCGAAAGCTTGCTCGCCAGCGGCCAGACTCTGCCTGGAGGGTCCTTCGGCTACATGGGGGACGCGTGCTTGCAGCATTGTCAAATTGCGTATGGCGAAGGGGGAGGCACAGTGGGGTTTCAGCCTAGCTGCCAGTTGTACGACTTAGCGATGACGGCAACGAGGTGCTCCTACGTTATCGGCGGGGCTGCGGGGTATTCGATCTTCTCGGTGGGCGCGCCTCCCACCACGCCCGCGCCCCAAGCCCAGGTGGTGGTAGTGCAGCCGTCGACGGTTTTTGGCAGTGGATCTAAGATCCAGGCTTGTATTGACAACGACTCTTTTTCTCACGAGTGCTTGATTCTGGCCACGGCACAAATGTGTAACAAGTATTTTCCGCCTGCTGTGTCTGGGGTACAGTGCGAATCCAATTGCATCAGTTACTACGCTTTTTACGGTGGCGACTCCTCGCAAGTGCCGTGCGACCAGGATGTGCTGGACAATGCTAAGCCCTTCCGGAGCACGTGCAACGGGCACCCAGGATTCACCTCTTTAGACGAGAACGTGCAGCAGCACATCACCGTGGCGCTCCCGGAGCACATCAAGGCCTGCGAGGATTCCATGGTCCTGAGTGCTGGCATCTTGGAGATCCTAGTTCTGGTGGGAGTCATCTCCGCGGTCGTGTTAGGCCTGGTCGCGCTCGCCTGCATGATCGGCTGCGGCGTGCACAAGACACACCGCGTCGCGACCGGAATCGATGATCAGCACAAGCAGCTCCACCACAAATACGACCGCCTGTCGCAGCAACACGACGACCTTCATACCAAGCACGATTCGTTGCATAACAAACACGACAAGCTTTTCGACAAACATGAAAAACTGCACGAGAAGCACGACAATTAAGGCTTGAGCAGGAAATGTATCTTCCGAGCAGACATCTTTGCGGCCCCGTTTCCTCTAAAGGGACGAAACGGGTACAGACATCTTTGCGGCCCCGTTTCATCTACTTAAAGGGACGAAACGGGTACTCGAAAACTGAAAATAACCGAGTTACTGACTGAAATAAGGGGCATAGCTTAACAGCAAGGCTACTCGTTCTTCTCGTCGGTGTCTCGGTTATTCTCGTCTGTTACTCGCTTATTTCAGTTTTTCGAGTACAGAGATGCTCCCCAGGATGATAGATTTCTCCTGCAAGTTCTAAGCCAAACTTTTAGGAAAGCACGACGATTTGCACGATCGGCACGTGGAGCTTGTGGGACCGCGACACCCAAGAGCCACGAAAAAAAATAAAGGGGTGGGGGAAGGCGAAGCTTCACCTCCTGATGCAGGAGATAAAGCTTCAAAAAGAAATGAAAAAACGGCAAAGGGCGCTGGCACGACCACTGCCAAAGACAGAGAGACGATAAAGAAAGCCTCGACAGATACGACCCCTGCGGTTGGAGATGATACTACTGGTGGAGGCATAATTGGCTCTCCAGATGACGCTGTAGCGAAGAAAAAGTCTTCGGGTGAGGTGGGGAAAGACAAAGAGAGCAAGCGGCACTCACGTAAAAGTTCTAACGCTGGTGCTGGAGACGGAGATAACAAAGCTGCAAGTAGTAAGGAGGAAGAGACGAGTCCGCTTGTTAAGAGGGAAGATGGGAAGGGCAAAGAAGCGAAGAAGAGCGAAAAGCGCTCGTCCACAGCGTCTTCCAGTACCAAGAATAAGGGAGAAGGCGAAAAGAGCAGAAGTAGCGAGAAGAAAGAAAAGAGACCAAGCAGTTCTAGCGCTGCTGGTACCGAGGAATCTTCTACTAACAAGGAAAAGAAAGAGCACCATCATCATCACCATCATCATCACGAAGGTGTCGACAGTGCCGTTTAGCTCTTGCAAGTGCGTCTACTAGTACCTCTACGTTGTGTAGTCAAATGAATACAGCATGGAGTTGTATCAATATGGCTCATTTTCCCACCTATCGTATTTTTTCTCATCAGCACATTCACATATTTGCATTTTTCTAAACACTGAAGCTCACACGCTCCGCATGATATAGATAAGATATTCTTGATATTATACCAAGAATACCAAGGAAGAGAACTATACCTACTCTTGACATACCAATACCAAGGAAGAAAACCCGCATTATGCTCTGGACTTTTATAAGGCTAACAAGCATCTGCTCTGGACTTTTATAGAGAAAATGGACTACGTTGTAGTTGTGCTTGTGCTGTACCAAGCTGCAGTCATTGGTCGCATGAGAAAGTGTTAAGGACTCATTCCTGAAGCTGAATTATCTGTTGACGTACTAAGGTGGAATTGATGAGTGTCGTGAGAAGAGGGAGATGAACAAGAAGAGAAGGAAACTTCTTCATCACTTTACATTAAGTAGTGGTCCACGTAGCTCATGTATTCTTGCCGAAATGCATCGGTGTGCGATCACTCCTTTCACAGCGATTAACCGGAAGATCACGCACACACGAAGATGTCAAGACGTTAACCTGCTTTTGAAGTCTCTTGGTCCTTGACCACAACCATATTAAGTTGTCCTTGTGTTTCTACCACTGTTCTTAAATTTTTTCTTATCTGGCTGTTATCGCCAAGCACGAGTAGAGGCATACATCAACGATTATGATCATAGTTCATAAAAGTGGTGATTCTCGTGCAGCACATTCGAAAGATAGCTCTAGTGTAGGCTCTTGATATCTGTTCTCGAGTTTCTTTTATGATGGTTCTTTTATCTTTTTTTAAGATCATTCTCGCGCCTTCGCCTACATCTTGTTCCAAAGGTACCAAGTACTTTAACAACTACAAAACAAAGTTTGAAAAATTCGCGTCCTCTTTCACCTTCAGCTACCACTACAACTACAGCAAGTATGTTTTCTCGTTCATTCTGTTTCACCTGCTGTTTTGGCATGTCTCTTGGCTGGGTGGTTTCCCTAGAGCAGTACATGCCCTTCGGCTCGGGATTTGTTTGACCGGATTTCCCAGAGGATGGACCGACGGCGAATTCCGAGAAACGTGTACGTTCTTCAATGAGGTCTTGCGCAAGACTTCAAAAGGTGCTGAAGATCAGGAGGAGTCTTTCTTTGATCTGCATGTTGTCGCGCCAAACGGTGCATCGAAGGCAAAGGATGAGCACCAAAGGGACGGAAAGAATCATGGTGGCGGATGCGAACGCGAAAGAGTACGGGAACGCTTGGCCGCTTTATGTGGTGGTGGAGAACAAGATGGGGCTGTGGTGGAAAATGGGCAAAAAGGGCATGCAAGAAGACGTAGCAGCGCTTCTGGGAACTTTGTTACGAATGATATTGTGAAGTGGAGGAGATGTCTTCGTCTAGCAAAGAAACGTGATGTGAGTGAATATACTGAATTTAGTTCGGGTAAAGACAACATCAGCTGGGTGCTAAATCTAAATTCTAATTGATTGAGGAATAAACGCAGATTGATATTTTAACGTACTTACTTAGCCACTTTTAATTCGCAATACCTGCGTCGGATTGTTGTGCGGTGCTACGACGATCCGGACCTTGGGCAAGTGGAATTGCAAAAGTCAGGCATTCAGGACCGATTGCAAAGTGTGCGAACGTTTAAAAAAGGTCTAATGCGCACATCAAGCCAGCCTAGTATGATATGATCGAACTCGTCTGCAAAGCGTCCTCAGCTATGTTGAATCCAGAAAGTCTCATTCATCTTGAAAAAGTAAATGTTATTTATTACTACGTTCGCTTCTCATGTCCTACTTGTTAGTACCCATGATATAAAAAGGACCGAGTTCGTCCTTAAGTACTTACTTGTTAGTACCCATCATCATCTAAAGTAGATTGGAGATGAGCTTCAGCATGACGACAGCAGAAATATTGTCGTCGATCCACCAAGCTCTCCTTCTTCGTCTTTTTACTACGGCGCACGAGCAAGACGGAATGTCCACACCAATCGAACGCGGCAAGGCGGTATCTACAACTCGGGTGCGCCTTCATCTAGGAGTGGTAAGAAAAGGGAGGGACTCTCTTCTCCTAGTAGTGCTTCCGCATTATCTCGAAGTAGTGCTTCTACATCAGCAGAAGAGATAAAGAAAAAGAACAACAAGAATAGAGACAATGAGCTGCATCAAGAAGAAAACCTTCTCTTGCTAGACGATGTGGATATCCAGAGGCGAAAGAAATTCAGGGACTCTCTGTTGCAACTTCGCGACAGTCAGCCCTACCTTTACGGGTACATCACGCGCAATGCCGCTCTACTACTGCCTACGTGGGAAGCGGCGGCCGCCAAGGAATTTCTCTTTGACCATGATGTTGATTATCCTATTCCCACTGGTAGTGGTATTCCCGACACTGCTTCCGACAAAGATGAACATCAACACGACGAAGACGACCTCCAACATTCATCGTCTACGACTCAAAAGCAAGTGGGCGCCACACCATCTCACCAACATTCATTCTCATCTTCGCCTCCACAGGATCCGATCAGGGTTGATCCTAGCTTAAGAACCGAGCCGCTGGTGCTGCCCTACTTGATCGAGGCCTTTCGCAACATGGAGAGTCTTAATTCTTACATCCGTGGCTACAACAGTTCCTACCTTTATCTGAACAGCTACCTGTGCGCGCAGAGCCTGCAACGACCGTACGACGACGTAAATCCCTACAAGGATGACGATGTTGGAACAGAAGTGCTATCCGCGACTACTAGTATTAAGGCTCTCAGCACTAAAACTAATGCATCTCTGACTCCTGCATACTTGTGAAAAGAGTGAGGTGACTGCATACTTGAAAAGAGTGAGGGAGTATCTCTCCGCGCGATATTCTTCGAGGATGCAGCTGAAAGATGAACTACGGAGAGGTCTAATAGAAGTACTGGGCCTGGAGGAGCTGGCGTCGCAGTCGCTTCCACCTCATACGATTGGTGGTTACGCGGTCGCATTGATCGTAACAGCTACGCTTTTCCTGATCTTCAGCGCTTGGATCCCCGTGTCCTTCACTCCCCTTACCAGATTCCACAACTTTATTTGGGTCTCTCGGACGAAATTCTGATCGGGACGCCACAGCTAATGCGCCGCGCACTGCGCGCAGGCTTTTTGGCCACTGGGCATGCGCGCTTTCTACAGGTGGTCACGAAGTACGGCGAAACGTCTGGGCTCGGAACGCTTAACTTAAGGCTAGTAGATCACTATGTGGTGGCTAGTGCGTACATTAGACTATCGACGGGCGTAAGGTATCCGAAGGAAATGGCCTTCCCCTAATACCTAGATTACTTTTACTATCATCTACTGGCGTGAGGAGGTGTCCTAACGAGTGCCGTTCGCCTTGAATGGACTAAGCAGCCCATGATCTTCAAGGGGAAGCTTTTTTATTCATCATCTGAAGTTGACGGAAAATTCCCTGAGAGGTTCTCTTGAATGGCACTTCACTCAACCGCGCATAGAAGTGATCTTCGACTGAGAGCTACCTTTAAGCAACGCTATATCATCGATGCCACAGCTGCGTGAGTATAAGAGGACACTGCGGAAAAGCATAAGCTCTGAAAACATCTTGGAACTGGCCTACGTTTTAGAAACGCACCTCCTAGATGGACTTCTCGAAAACGATGGAAGTAGGGGCGCTGAAGATGGCACCAGACGAGAACAAAAACATCAACATCAACAAGGCTCTCATCAAGGCCCTGGTAGTGGTAGTGCTACTAATATCGTACCTCTCACTTTTTCGAGAAATCGATGCATCTGTTAAGGCTCAACTTTCAATGGTCACCATTGAGATTGGGGTCACTGAAATCGAAGAGAGTCCCCTTCTTGAGAGAACCAACAGGGGAAATAAGCGAAGGGAAAGGGGGGAGCCTTGGAGGGGGTCTCTTCCGTTCAGAGTCAGTGACCAATGAGTGCTGAGCTTTAATTATGCCAGTGCACTTCAGAACGAATTGGGACCGCCATTGATTACTGCCAATATTTTGCTGCCGTGGATGGCGAGAGTGGGAAATTTTTGAGAGCCAAGACCTTTGAGGAGGCGATTCCCCATTGGGGCAAGTACCGCGCGGCTTATGGGGGATTGCCTCCCTACCTGGAATTGGACCCATACCTCTCAATCGGGCTCAATGATTAAGGCCGTCACATATTTGTTATCGCGTTTCTTGTCTTTCTCTCAGTTGTTTTACCTTTCCCATTTGCTGGACGGAGCATGAAGAAATGACGCACTTGAGCTTTTTGCGTATCATCTAAACTGAGTTCTTGCTCGTTGCGGATCACGATCGTGACGCCGATTGCGAGGAAGCCGATGCGCGTTACGAGCTCGAGAGGCGATTGTGCAAGAATCCTTCCGATCTTCCATACGACACCTATCCTGGGGATTACGAACCCCAACCACCATTGAAATATCCGAGGAGTGCTGGTGCTGCTGCTATTGTTAAGGCTCAACTGTCAATGGTCATCGGGGTTGGTCACTGAGATCGAAGAGGCGACCCCTTGGGAGAACAGGGGAAAACAAGGGGAGAGGCATGGGGCATCTCTCTCTCAGAATCAGTGACCACTGACTGCTGACCTTTAATATTGGTATTGCTGCTGCTGGTACACCTGCTGCTGCTGGTGCACCTGCTGCTCCTGCTATTGCTGCTAATGCTGCATCAAGATCAAACACGGAAGCAAGTAAAAACATCGAAGCTGCAGTTACAACAACCTCATTGATAAAGCAGAAGAAAAGCAGTCGGGAAGAGCTTCCAGTATACTGGCGCATGCTGCACAAGAACTCGTCGTTTCCGCCTTTCATATTATGACATTCACGCTTGCATGCTCTTTGATCTATGTATGCATGATAGACTCCTTCAAGGAGCATAATTTTACAGTCAAGTTGTATTAGAGTCCAATTGTATCTTTATATATGTTTCAAGAAGCACTCTATTAATTTCTATCCGCTCGTCCTTAATAGAATCTTATCTAATGCCAGCCCACGGGCGGCACGCCCCAAAATCGCTTTACCCCAAACGACTGAGACGCGAGGTGGTCGACTATGGTGGGAGTCCGAGCATTTACTCGTTGGCGATGAAGCGGTGGACTGCGCCAAACACGATTGTGATGGACATGCAGAGTTTGTTCCTCGGTTCGAAGGACGACCTGAGTCGCCCCTTGTGGTACAAAAATAAAGCAAATTTCCTCCCAAGGATGGACCGGGTGTGGACACCGCAATTGCTGAAGCACTACGACTTCGTGGCGCGCACCGTGCGCAGTGATCTCGAGGCCGATAGGCGTTGGTGGATACAACAATGGCTCCGAAAGTGGCTTCTGGGTCCAGGAAAATTGCTCAGCGCTGGTACTACTGACGAGACATCATCCTTGACTATTAAAGCTACCGCTGGACCATCCCCAACATCATCCTTGGCCCTTTTTTCAAGGAGAAAAAGGGACCAGGGAGGTTCTCGGGGATGCGAGCGCGGTAGGTCTAAGTTTAGTACTGTCGGGGAAGACGGAGCAGTACCGGAGGAAGCATTCATAGAAGCGCAACCTCCTGATGTGCGGCTTATTCATCGTGTACGCGATCTGATCGGAATCTGTTTTTCCCGAGTTCCCCAAGCAGAAACGCCGCAAGTGATCGAATACTTGCTGCAGCCGATCACGCAAGCTGAGGTCCGCAACGGCATGAGCCCACTGGGTGCACTGGAAGGAGTACAGCATGATGAAGGAGTACAGCAGGATGATGAACTACAGGGTACTACTACTATTGCAAGTAGCGAAGCAGAAGGACAAGAAGGAGCCCAAGCCCAAACCGAACTAAGTACTACAGCGGAACAAACAGACAGCGCTTCTTCAACAACATATGCGCAAGCACCTTTGCGGACCCATCCAGCTTGTCTCGAGACGCCAAGCGATAGCCACAAAAGCGCAGATTATTTGCCCACGTTGCGGTATCTGCTGAACGAGTTGTTCCGCCGGAACGAGCCACACGCATGGCCGCCGCCAGTCGACCAGTACAAGGCGCAGACGATGTTCAGCGATATCTTCTGGTACCCCAAGACGTCATCGCTTAAGGCCTCGACATCATAAGTAATCTCATAATGAAAACAGAGACATCATAAGTAATCACTGAGGCTCAGCACGTACTCGTAGTCGTACACCGGATCATACTAAACGGATGAAAATAGAGTACAAGAACCGCTAAGTCGCCTCAGATCCATGCGCATGACCAACAGGGCCAAAGAGCAGCGCCTGGTAGTGTGCCGCAGGATCCCAGTCAGATGGCAGAGATGATTTTTGAGATTCGCGATGTGATGCAAAGCTTTTACAACCTAGAAATGCTCATTTCGATGGACACTGGCCGTTGGGTGCCTCGCACAGACATTTTCTTCTACAACATGATCTACCGTTTGCCGAAGAGCATTGTCCTAGGCTACGGTGGCCGGGCGGTCGAGTTTGAACACGACGCAGAACAAGAACAAGCACTAGGACTCCAACTAAGAATACAAAAAAACTCGCATTCTTCCTCAGCAGAGGGAAGCAAGAATAACGAGAACTTCTGGGTCCAAGCCATCCTGGAATCCAGTCAGTTTCGTCCAGACGTGCACACCTACCGCTCTGATTTTCCTTCCAGTCTCGTCATTACCACTGCCGAAGCCAGCAAAGAGACTTCTTCTGGTGAGCGACAAGAAGATGCGGATAGTACTACGACCACCTCTAAAAGTAAGCAACCCCATTTGCTTGGGCGCAAGTTCCATTGCCATGAAGAAATCGAGGAGTATTTCAAGTCTCTTTCCGGAATCGATCTTGCTTTGTACCAAAATGAGCAATCGCTGATTCAAAAGAGCTCCGAAGTAGCCAAAGCAACGGCAGTGAAAGCAGAAGATCATGGTAGTTCTAAGGAACATCATGGTGCGTCGTCATCTTCTAGGTCTCCGAAAGATAAAATAGCTGCGCCGCCCGCGTCTGAGCAACAACAAGCAGCACCTCGTAAATTTTTCGTGCAGGGTGGGGAGCGTTACGGACGCGCTGAGTTCGTGGAGCAGCGTATCCGACTCTTTGCAGGTCTTTCGTCGGGCTCATGGAACGCTGAAAATCTAGTCGTCTTGCTTCGTCGGGACTACTATCAGCAAACCCTCACCCAGTACTGGAGCTATTACTTTGATCATAGAACTACGAGGACAACTTCTCCGGAACAAAGCACTACCACTGGTGAAAAAGTAGAAGGAATTATTGACACACAGACGGGGACGACAGAGACACTGCCTGAACCAAGAGTTACGGAAGCTGAGATATTGCGCGCTGGTCACGGTCTAGGTCTACGTCTAGGATCATCATCATATGGTGGAGATGCGGAGGAGAAGGACTCATTGGAAGCAACTGCTACTTTATCTGAAGATTCGGAGAGTCTTTACGAAAGCCTGCAAGGAAATTCCTTCGAAATTATCTTCGGATATAATGCTATCGAGGTCGATTTGCAGCACGGAGCAGGAAGTGCTGATACAAAAACAGACAGCTCAGCAACATTTCGGAACACTTTTCTGAATCTGTTTCGTTGTGGGCACTACGAGATGGCGTCGTCAGTCGATCCCGCGGACGTCGGAGACCCTAAATTACCGCGTTCTGTTTGGCGTGATAGCAGTTGCGCTCTTTTCGCGGTGTTTCTGCACTTCTTTCATTTCTGGATGCGGCATAGATCTTTTCCGATAATCCCTCTCAAGTTCCTGCTTTTCCAAGTACCGTGGCGCGTCCTGGTGGTCGCACCTGAAGAGTCTGAGAACGTGGTGTCCTTTCCCTGGAACTTGTTTGAGATATTACACTTGTCAGCGGAGGAAATGCTGTTACCAACTGCACGCCAAAAGAGCAGTGGTGAAGTTTCTTCTACGAACAGTGACGCTTCTTCTTCTATTTCCAGTACAGAAAAAACTTATACTTCTAGAAGTACAGAAGAAACTTCTACTTCTAGTACAGAAGAAACTTCTACTTCTAGTACAGAAGAAACTTCATCAACATCATCTGCTGGAACAAGAAGAAGAACTAGGAGCACGGAGTCCTCCTCATCACTAGTTGGCGAAGTAATCCCTTCGGCTGTCCGGAAAACAATGGCGGACAGATTAGCAGCTTTTGTGAAAAAGACGGTAGAGGAACGCATCGTGGAATCCATGGATGCGGATGGTGAAAGAGTATCTTCTTTAGATGAAGGCTTTGCTGATGCTGAGGACTCTGTGATCCTTGACTTTTCCCGAAGAAGTACTACACCAGTATCTTCAACTGGAGATGGGGGAACTGACACCATTGAGCGTTTACCATCCCTTGCGAGTCTATTAGCTGAGTTGCAACGCACGATTGTGTTCTACTTTTTGAGACGGCGTCGGAAGCTTGGACTTGTCGTTGCACAATACAACACTGAAGATGAAGTAGAACAAGAAAAGCAAGACCATTCAGATTCAGACGGAGCACGAGCAGATCAAGGTCAACAACTTTCTTCACCTCCTAGTGGGAGTGCGGCCTCGGTCTCTAGTGGCGAGGACAAGGTACCACTTACATTTTTCGAAAAGAAATACGCTTTTCGTAGGGTCGAGACGCTGCTTCTTCGACGAGTCTTCGCAGAATTGAAGTCAATTTTCCGCTTACTGGCGAAGGTCAAGTTTCTGGAGTTATTGCGTGCAAGCTTTTTCCGCATTGTGTTGCTTAATGGGGAAGAATGCGGTCTGTTCTTGGATTTGGATCCGACAAAGATTTCATCAACATCAGATTCAGAAGCTGTAACTTCTCTAGAACAACTAGACATCTGCCGATTCCGGTATTTGCCTCCTTGGCGACGGACAAATTTTTCTCCGATCGCAGACGCAATAGTAGGCGAACTTCACTCCGATGCCGATTGGGTCTACGACGAAGAGGACAATTACGCGATTTTCAAAAGAGCGACTTCAACTGGAAGAGGTGACGACACTCGTCAGAGAGACGAAGCTTGTTATAGAGACGGCACAAGCCCAGTTCAGCATGCTGATCAAAAGGTCCTTCCGACCCTTGCGTCGTACGACAGCGAAAAGCACGGGCTTTTCAACTACCTCTACCTGTTCAGGCACTCCTTTGCCCACGACGCAGCCAGACTATCAGGAGAGGCGGAAAAAGCTGAAGAAATCTGCGCGCATCTATCAAGGCAGCGTGGCTCTCTTGACATGGATGCAGTGGAGAAAATATTGGGCTAGAAAAGCAAGAAGCAAAGGCAAAATCTACTTCGAAGATGCGTTTTCTTTCAAAAAGAAAAGTAGAGGCAAAAGATACCCAGTTGTACTGCTTGTAATTGTGAATCCAATGACACTTCTCACACTCGGAAAGCCAAGAGTAAACCAGGATAGAACAAGGAGTTCGATTATATTCTTGTAACACTATCAACAGCATCACTCTCAGTGAATCCATACACGAATGATTCTGGAATCACAGAAAGGAATCTACAGAATTTGACGTAAGTTTTTGCTCTTGAGGTAACAGTATGCAAAGTCATAGACAAGACGAGGTACCTTCTTTTTAGCTGTACAATGATGTGGATGAACGTGACTGAGTCCGAGGAGGCACTCCCGCTCGTCTGCACGTAATCCAGGCTTCTTTTGGGTCAACGATGCATGGCTTCACATGCAGCAAAATGCTGATTAGAAAATCATTGAATTTCCGGAGGAGAGCAATCCACCTAGAAGAGAGTGTGTGAGTCCGCGAGAAAGTTCGGTCATCATGTGACCATTAGTTTGCAAGAATATCGCACATATGAGTCCTGAACCTGAAGTAAATCTTCAGAGACGCGCACGCAGCTCGAAAAAGTGCTCGATGTAGTATCTATAAAAAACAAAATGGATATGGGGGCGAAGAGACCGACTTCTACTTCCGGTGTTGGGGTGTAAGTTGTTTCACTTGTCGTTGGACAATCCTGGTATGCGATATGGTACCCTGAGAACCAAACTGATGATCAAGTAATATCATTACTCAGTATGCACATGCAATAGCAAATCAAAAAAATAAGACCAGCATGGGTGCGAAAGTGTCGACCCCCGCGGGAGGCGGAGTCGAGACCCGGCGGGTCGCGCCCGCGCTTTCGCCCACCAATGCCACCACGCTTTTTGAGATGAAGTACAACAATGACGGGAAGTACAAGGACGACACAGCTATCCAGTCCAAATCCACGACGGCGAACACTACACCTAGTGGCGGCTCTCCGAACCTTATATCAGAAGCCGAGCAACAAGCTGCAAAAAGGAACGACGGCACTGCATTTCTAGTTTCTTCGGCGGCGGTTACTGCATCACCACCAGGTGGAGGTGCAGCTGGTGCCTTGTCTTCTGGCACTAATGCCAATGCGAGGCCAGCTGTTGTGGACGACAACGCGTATGACGAGAATATCGAGGAGCATCGACGTCGCAATAAACGCGACTACCGTGTCGGACTCAGCCAAACCTATTCGGTCGTTTCCGCCGACCCTAATGGCACCAAGACCAGCGAAGAGGCAGCCAGGAAATACGCCAACCACGAAGCAAGGCTAGTGCGGAAAGCAGAACGCATGGTGCGACGAGCGGCAACAGGACATGCCGAATCGTCTGAGGATAATTTTTCCGAAGAAAGCTCAAGTCCATCGCCAAATCGTAGACTGAATGCCACGCCCCAAGCCGAGGATGAGGCAGATGAAATGAGAAAAAAACTTCCGAGACGTGTGATTGAGGATGAGAAGGCGAAGGGAGCGCGCTTAGAAAAGGCTCGGCGGAAAGCAGAGGATGTCGCAGCACAACAAGGAGATAAGATTAAGCAAGACTGGCTCGCGGCACATTGGACGACGACTGATTCGCTTCGAACGCTGACGGAAGACTTGCTGCAACAAGGAGTTATGGTTTATAAATGGAGAATGAGAATGATCGTTGTAGTACTTACTTGAACTGTAATGTCCGTAGACTTCTACTTAGTTCGATCATGAATTGTTGTAAGTGAGATCTTCTGAAGCAAGTGTTTAGAAGACGAAACTTCAAATTTCAATGGGTGTGTGAAGACTGCTCAAAATCACAGATGTTTAAGGCAAGACTTTCTCCTCACCTTAGACAGTTTTCATTCCACAAGACGACGAGCGGATGGGACGAAATCTCCGGAGAATGTTCAAACAGCCTAAGGATGACGATTCGGATTCTGAGGAGGAGGCCAGTGGTCTTCAACAATCCGGTGACATAAACTCCACCAACAGGAGACTCGGAGCCACAATGGGCAGTGTCGAGAAAAACAAGGAGCAGGATGATAGTAGTTCTAGGTCTTATCGAGGAGCAGGACAGCGTACGCTAGCAGGAGCACCTCCAGGTGATACACCAGGAGGAAAGAATTTTAAAGCAAAAAATGCTGCTGGAACAACAAGTGGAGCAAAGAACACAAGTGGGAACAAAACAGCTACTGGAGGAGGACGAACAACAACAAGACGGCCGTTGGATCCCGACAGTGATAGCGAAGATGAGGACTCAGATGAAGGTTACGCGCTTGCAGCGGCCGCTCGGAAGGCAGCAGCGAAGCACGAAGTTTTCATTCCGGAACGTCCAGGAGTTGGCGGATCGGGTCCGTCTGTAGAGCAGTCTCCCTCAGTACACGGTAGATTCAGCTCTGCCTCACCGTCTGTTAAGGGTAGGTTCAAGGTGTTCCTGTTACTGTTCGTTTTTCCTTTTTGAAGGGGGAAAGGCATAACGAACAACGGGGTAAACGAACACCAAGAGCCTACCTCTAAGTCTGTGCGCGGGTTTGGCGCACCGCGAGGGTCTGACGCAATGACGACGCCAGCGCGCACGAAGAAGGGCTTTGCGACACCGAGTTCCGACAAAGCTATCCCTTCTGCGCTCAAAACAACGTCATCATCTGGGACCAACAATAATTAAGGGTATCTTGATGGGGGAAACGGGAACTTGCAGGGGTTGTTGCTATCAAGGAATTTTAAAACGACCCCCGTTCCATGACCTCCCAGAAGGAAGCTCTAAAGTAAGGGTGGCCCTGACTCAACATCAGCAGCGGGTCGTGGGGCTAGAAGTGCTGCGGCAGGTGATGACTCTGCGAAAGGGGCTAGTACAACCCAGAAGCGCGTCTCTTTTGACGAAGCAAATAACGAGATGTTCTCGCCCGAACAGGTGAATATCAATCAACACTTGTTTGCGCAAACAGGTGGAGGAGCAGGGGGATTCTTCGGGTCAACTACATCTTCTTCGTCTCAAAATCCGAGCAGTCCGATGGCACAAGGTACGGGTTCAGTAGACACCGACGACACGGGTAGTCCGACCTCCCCAGCGGGTGGCGGCGCTCTGAAATTCCACAGTAATCCAGCAAAGATCTCGATCACTGCTCGCAAGCTCCTCTTCGCCTGGCTGAAGCGCGGACGGATGTCCTTGCGACGCGGCGACCAAATCCGTAAACTCGAAGAGCGTCATCAGAGACGCGAGGCGCGTGAAGCTAGCCGACGCGAGATGTCAGTCGAAGCTAGCACCACTGGTAGAAGGAGGTCGAAAGATGATGAAGACGAGTCTAGTGCGACGAGCCCAGATCAGAAATCCGAAGCTTCTATAGAACCTACTAGTGCGATGACGCGAAGAAAAGGCTTCCGACCCGCAAAAAGACGCAAGGTGCTGCGGATAGAACGATACGTAAAGCTCAATTAATATTCCTTCTTCAAGTTTTTATATGTCGGGTCAACTTTGAAGAGTATTTGGATTATATATTTACTTCAAGTTGTTCAACGGTGTAGTACTAAAAACGGAGTTTAGTAGAAGCTCCTCACCCCCACCCTTGCTCTTCTTTCATTCCCTCTCGACGATATGTCGGAACTGGAGCGACTTTGCTTGGCGGATCCTGTGAACCTGATCAAAGCGCACATAGAACGGGTGACGTACAAGTTGCACAATGGCGGCGATCCCAGATTTGACCTGGAAATGAAGGACCGTCCTCAAAACCGCAGTGATGACCTATTAAGGCTCAAAACAATTCGTTTCCAAGAGTCATTTCGCGCAGATTCCTTCTTGGAATTACTTACGGAGAAATGTTTTGATGTACGCAAGAAATGAAATTTTTTGAGCTCTAAACCTCGAGGAGCTACTAGGACTCGACAAAAAAATCGAAGAACAGGAAGGCGCTTCGCCACTTCCCAAAGGCAGAATACGACCACTACGCGTCGACGAAGATGAGAGCGCAGCAGATTTGGCGGTTATGATTGTTTGTAAATCTAGATCATTTTGTTCTTGATTGGGGTTGTTCTTCGATAATTGTTGTTGTCCTTACAGTTTTTCATCGTCTTCGTTCTTTCAAATGCCCATGCTCACTGACTTTACTGATGTAACGATCATTATCACATGAAGCGCATCTAACTCAAGCCTGTTGTCACGAAGTGGCTCGTTTAGTGACGTGGAGGAGCCTCCGACAACTGGGAAAACTCAAACAAGACGTCGAAAACCACGTAAGGACAAGACAGATGCGCGCACGCTTGGGCTCAGAACACAAGAGATGGAAGAACGATCAGGTATCACATGTCTATGGAGTCTAGATTCTTGGAGGAAAAGACTGAGAAGGAGAACAATTTTGAATAGTACTAGACGTGGCGGTTGTCCTTGTCGTTATCCAAAGTCCTCTTCATCTTGATTTTCTCCCATGATCAGGTTAAGAACAATAACTTTTGTTCATCCATCAACATGCCCCACCACCAGGTGCACCCGAAGGTGGCGCCTTACTGAGTGAGCAGGCTCGCGCGGCAGCAGAAGTTCCTCTGGAGTTTCAGCCGACGGTTTATGAGCGGTTTGACGATGCGATGCGCGCAGCGGCAGATCAGAAACAAGCTCGACGAGCGCAACACAAATATGGATGATGTTTTTTGCATCTGTCAGACCATCGAGGCAGGCCTTTTTCCCCTTACAACTATATAGGTTCGTTAAGGGGGGCCTCCATGGTCTGCCTAGATGAGATAGACGCCATCCATAACAAACAAGCAGCGCGTGCAGCCGAGAGTAGATGGCAGGCTGAACTACGGCAAGAAAGGGAGCGAGCTGAGCAGGCAAAAGTTAAGGCTCTCACTAATTCGGCCTTGACTGCGTCAATCTTTGACAAGTAAGTATCTATAATGGAGGACTATAATTGTTGCATGCAGCTAAAAGTACTGATGATTTACGAAGAGCTCTAAAACAGCGGCAGAGGAGCAGATGCGTGAGAACCTGAAGCACGAGAAGCAGCGACTCGAACTACTATTGAAAAAGATCGAGGCTAATCGTGAAAGCATGCGACTTAGTGGACTCAAAATGTTGGACAGCAGCACAACTATTACGGTTGGTTAGAAGAAATATTGATCTTCTGACTTACAACAAACTAACAACAATAGGATTAGGAATGTACAATTGCATTTTCTTGACTTTTCTCTTCTTCTTCTTATTAATATTTCTTCCTCCTGCTTAAGCTTATTAATATTTTCTCCTCTTCTTGCTTCTACTTCTAACCCCCGCAACCTCCACAGTAGTAGCGGTCTCCTGGGTGCATCTGCGATGGACTTGAGCGTGACTGGAAGTGGAACCACCACGAGTGTCACGGGAACTAGTTCGTCGGGTGTCGGGCGCGCTTTGGCTGGCGCCTTCGAGCAGCGTGGCGCAAAGCGGCAGACGTCGAAACGAACGTCATCGCGATCAACTTCACCTCGTGACGCCGATAAAATGATCCCGCCAAAATTGCAGACCTCAGTAGAAACCGGACACAACGTGGACCTCTCCGCATCAGGCGCTGCTCTGGGAATAACTAGTACACCAGGTGGAGCTACATCAGGGTTTGCCCATCTGGGAGGAACAGGAAGCACCGAAGTCAATTTTTATGAGTGTAGGAAATGCATCTCCAAAGTCATCTGGACAAAGATGAAATAAGAAGGAAAAGGAACCCAGATGATTGGTGAGATGCATTTCTTATAGAACCTCTAACATTTAGCGGGATTGTCAATCGCAGCAGCTGCGCACTCAAGTTTCTGGGAACGGATGCGTACAACTAAACTCGAAGCTGAACAGGTTGCGAAGGAGGAAGAACGCAGGAAGTTGGAGTTATGACAGTCAAAGTTTTTAGAATCAAACGAACCTAACAAACTGGATATTCATGATCTTCGTGAACGAAAAATCTGATTTTAGTTGAACGTCCTACTGTAGCAGGCCCCCTATTAGTCATATTAATGACATCATCACCAATATCAGAACCTGATTCTCTATCGTTAACATTTTGGTGACCACCTCCCTGTTTCTAAACAATGCTGCGAAAGAGGAACAACGACGGCGGGCGCTTGAAAAACAGGTTCTTTTGGAACATCGCAGACAAGAGGCAGCTTTAGAAGAGGAGCGTCGACAGCTGAGAGAAAACATACGGATGGAGCTAGAAGCCATGGAGGCAAGGAGAAATTACGGCACAAGAAGGGGCATCTGGTTGCTTTGTCTTTGGATACCTAATATGAGAGGTGGAGTGATTTTGATTTTGTTATCCCGGGAACGCCTCTAACAAAAGCAAGTTGTGAAAGAAAAACTTGAAGCAGAGCAAGCTCCTGCGCGTATGGCGGAAATCGCTGACCAGATTCCTGATGGTCATGATAGACAGCAGGTACCAGACGTTGGTCCAAGCAGCATATCCGTATCTGTACCTGAACAGTCCCAAGGTGCCATCCAGGAGGAATCAGCTGGTAGTGGGGATTACGGATCCCCTAAAGCAGCGGATCGAGCAGCGATCGCGCTGGTGCGACAGCAATTGCATGGTGTATCCAGTGATAAGCTGGAAACAACCAGTCCGGGTCTGGTTCCTCAGGATCTTGTCTTAAGGCTCAGCTTTCAATGGTCACCATTGAGATTGGGGTCACTGAGATCGAAGAGGCGACTTCCCCTTGAGAGAACCAACAGGGGAAATAAACGAAGGGAAAGGGGAGAGCTTTGAAGGGTTCCTTCCGTTCAGAGTCAGTGACCATTGAAGGCTGAGCTTTAATTGTCGCCTCGTTGAAGAAACTGGACGAGCGCAGCGAAATGCTACGACGTGACGCTGCCAAAAGGGCATTTGCGATCTTCGAGGATGGTCTAGATGAAAGCAGTTACTCGAACACACACCCACTAGACTTACGAGTACCATGAACGTGCACCAAGAAGACCCATCTTTTATAGCATCCTTTAGCTGTTTTCTGCGTGAAGAGAGCGAAAAGATGTTCTGAAAGATGGGCTGTCAGTCTTCTAATAAAAGCGTCAATGTCCTCCGTGGCGTCGTCCTTGGGACTGCAGAGTCTAGCTGGAGAACTGAGAGGCGGAATCGGCGGAGTGGTAACCGACGTAAATGCAGTGCCAGTGGGGGTAGGAAGATCAGAACAAGATCTTCATCATAAAGCAGATCATTTTGTGTCTTCAGATGAACCTCCAGCCACTGTGGCAGCGGCGGAAATCGTCGTGAATGAGGGAGACAGCGACTCCTCGGATTCTGTGCTGGACTACGACCCGCTGACAGGAACGATGAGCTCGAGGTCTCCGCGTTTTCTGCAGGCAGAGACGAGTAGAGCAGAGGCTGGAGTGGTTAAAAATAGCGGTCATATGTTGAGTAGTAGAGAGGGAAAGCAGGAAGTTGATCCTGAGGCAGACCCCCGTGACGAGATCAACGCTTTACTTGGAGAAAGCACTGCGGGAGAGAGGACAACAACACTGATGTCAGCCCAATTAGACGGTAACTCGGCACAAGCAGAACAAGAACCAATTCTAGGTGCCTCAACGACATCCAGTAGAGCGCTAAAACAAGTAGGGCAGTCGTGGAATGCGGATGCGTCGCTTTCTAGCACACAGCTCACGGGAGCGTTTGGTCGTGCGTTCGCAGCACTAGGGAAGGATCGAGAGAAAGAGGACCCAGACGATGTTGCCGGAGCAACTGCGGAAGCAGTGAGGAGGCGAGAGAAGCGGAAGCGCCGCCTTGACATGTCGGGAACTGGGAATGTATTCGACCTTTTAGGAAGCGACGAGCGTGATGAAGAGGCGGACGACTTTATCGTGCAACAAGTCTCGCAAGAACAACACAGTACCAGTTTGGCTGATGACGCAGCTTCACCTGCTTCAAAAAACAAGCGCAAAGGCAGCAATTATAATAAGCAGTCAGTTTCACCAATCATTAAGTGTAGGTTAAAGGTGCTTTTCTTACCGCTTTTTATGCCTCTCCTAACGGAGAAAGGCATAACAAGCGCCGGGGTAAGCGAGCACCAAGAACCTACCTCTAAAATCATCATTCCCGAAGGTGGAAAGACAACCAAAAATGCCTCATCTGCTTCTAGCACGAAGAAAAATACGAAACAAACGAATAGTACCAGTAAGACCAAGGATCACATAGACGACGCAGCCTTTCGCGACTTGTTTAAACAGAAATACGCTGTCGTGAATTCCAACAAGAATCTAGTGGAAACGAGTCGACACATACAGCAGCGAATGGATCAACTCTTTTCCGCTTTCGATGACTAGGTGCCTACTTTTGTATACATAGTGGTAATAGCTACCGCTAGACAGTATGTTGGTATCACGACCGGTTTTTTCAATCTTCTCTCAAGGACAATCTTCTCGCGACAATTATAGTACTACTTGAAAATTACGTCTACGATTACGAAACCCGATAAGCTTGGCATTCTTGATACAACAACCCATTTACAAATAACTACTGTCGTCAACAATGAATGATTTCTTTGTGTCTCCCTCCTCGTCAAGATAGCGGTGTAGAAGAGTCGTAGAACTTGTGTATCCTAGCTGTAGTGCACCTTCAATATCAATCACTTCCTTCCTGTTCTTAGTTAGTTCGAGATACCGCTTAGATAATAAGAGCAACCAACAGAGAATCGTGGAAACGCAGATAATCGTGAATAGACTGAATAGCAGAACGGAAAAAGTTCAAGTCGATTGCAGAGTTGGATGATGCATCAAATCGCGTTTCTAGTACTAGTTCTTCCGAGATGAATGATTTTTCGTTCTTCTCGGCTATTGTATGTGCTCCATCAGCATCATGATCACCATCAGGTCACCAACTCCTTTCAGCACGAGGTAGTAATTTGCTACCTGCATTTATCTACTGTAAGGATTGTGTGTTTATCAGAAGCCTTATTTTGCCTGGAACGAGGTCAGATATTCGGTACTTCATAAAAATTTAGAAAATGACTCTTCTGTCGTACATACGCTTGTTCGAAAGCTCCTGAGGTGAGAATGCTGAGTCTAGAAGTCGTATATACGCTTGTTCGAAAGCTCCTGAGGTGAGAGTACTGAGTCTAGAAGCATTCATCTTGAAGATCTTCTTCCTCTGTCAGAGTCGTCGGTTGGTTCAGTCGGTGAGTGTCTTAGGTCTTGAAGACCGTCTTAGGTCTGGAAGATCTGGTGAAGGAAGATCAAGATCTTTGCTCCATCTGTTGCATCGATATCTCTGTTTCCATCTCTGTCGCCAGGTCGAAATGAAGATTCACTCTATCTCTCCAGGCATACAACTCAATTATTCCCCTCTACGCCTCAACGCATTCCCTTGTGACAGTTTCCAATTTTCCTAGTTTCTTTAGGAGAAATTTTTTTGAATGAATTTGTTTGGGAGAAATTTGAATTTGTTTCAATCATTAATCAATTTCAATTGAGAAGGTGGTCGAAAAGTTGTAAAAATCACTACTACTTCTAGAAATTCTTCGAATTTTTCGCCAATCAAATTTTCCTTTTCAAACTAGTTACGCGGTCATTGCCAAACCGCAAATATAGGAACGGGAAGGTTCTTCAACAAGTTGTATATGTAGATTTTACATAAAATCATAGGAGATGTTGTATTTGTTCTAAAGACGAGAAGATTGATAGTTCGTGTAGCTGTAGTTCGATTCCCACGTGTGGTAGTTGTAAGTTCGTACCTAGGACGAGGAGGATAACAACATAAGTAGACAGTTAGGACTTTGTATAATTACTGGCTTCACGACCCTAAAGAACGGATTGCAATGCAAAGCCCGCACCACATACCGACGACATGCCGCCACTGCCCAGCAGCTGCGCGCCGCCTGCCTCATTAAACAGAATGCCCTCGTCGCCTACTTGATTGCCCTGAGGACGATCTCTTCCAGGATCAATGTCCTTGAAGTAAGCCCGCCACTGCTACCGCCCGCGCCAGAAACACTAAACACATATTAGACCAAGAAGATGAAAGGGAAACGCCATTTCTCAGCCCATGCAATCCGTTCGAAATTCAAATGGTGCCAACATTTTTAGCTCCAATTCTTTCATTCTTTGATTTAAGGTAAAAATAAAGAAGATAAAGATTTTTCATACATTTATTAAATCTTCTAGCTGCACTACTTGTGGTTGACATAGTAGATCTTCATTACCATCATCAACTCCAAGCAGAGCATCAACATCATGACGGCTGCTCAGCAAGTGGCTGCGGATGCTAACCCAGGAGCTAGCGATGTGCATGTTCCGCTGAGTCCATCCGCAGACCGCGGAAATGACGAAGTCCTCTTGAACTTAAGGCTACAAGAAATGCATATCGATCTTGACAGGCATCTTCGTTCCCTTTGATCACAACGCCAGAACCTTTCATCTTGATAAACAAAGGGGAACAAGGGGGATTTTTATCACTCATCTTGATAAACAAAGGGGAACAAGGGGGATTATCAGGAGTCATCTTGATAAACAAAGGGGAACAAGGGGAATTAATATCAGTGATCTTGATAAACAAAGGGGAACAAGGGGGATTATCACTCATCTTGATAAGCAAAGGGGAACGAAGGGAGATGCCTGTGTTCCGTTTTCAAGAGAAAACAAAGGGGAACGAAGGGAGATGCCTGTCGTGAAGATGGATTTCTCCTCCTAGTTCTTCTAATAGTCGCTGACAAGATCCAAGTGGAAGGAGAGCATGTGCGCGCGGACGAGGAAGAAGAGGATGATATCATCTGTCAGGAGATCGGGTCTCCGAGAGAAGGAGATGACGACCTCACAGGAGGAATTAGCTTGGATGAGGTACTTTTCGTTTTCCACATTCAACTAGTACATCTATGCAGTAGAGAAGTGAGGGTGAGTAGTCATCTGGATTTTTCATTTTTAACCTGGTGGATGAGGTATTACTATTATCACAATTGCATATTGAAGTAGTAATTTTCGGAACTCTCGTACTTCTTAGACATAGAAGGAGTGAGAGGAATTCGTTTTTCTTGTCGATCGAATGAATTCAGTACTGATTCTGGTAGCTGATTGACAATTCAGCAAGATGATATTTAGATCAACGAACAAGGACAAGATTATGATACGAGACTCCTTTTAGATTCTAAAAAACTTTAGAAGAAGTAATATGATACGAGACTCGGACTCCTTTTAGATTCTAAAAAACTTTAGAAGAAGTAGAATCTTCTGAAAAACCTTGAGCTTGATTTTCCTCCAGGTTCGCGACGAGTTGATGCGCATTAAGCAGCGCTTGCCAAAGCTGAAATTTGAACTCGAGACGGACGAACATGTGAAAATGCTCACCGATTTTCGAACTGAGGCCTGCGATTTGCCGCTTCGCCAGTGTCTTGTCAAGCGGGGCAAAGGTTGCCTGAAATACCACAGTCAGCAACACTTCCGACGAAAACTGCTGCAAGACGACGGTGAAACCCTAGCCTACTTCGATATGCTCTGTCGTTTCGGTGACACCTGCCCATTGATGGACGACTGCCCCTTCGCGCATAGCAAAGTACTATAATTGACTGTTGTACAGAATGAGAATGCTAGTCAACGTCCTCAAGATGTTACAAGGGAATGGAAAATTTGGATCATTCTATCTATTCTGTGTACTTTCTTTTTCTATCTTTTTAATTTTGAGTCTCTCTACAACTGTTGTTGAACAAGAGGAATGAGTTCAGTTTCTGCACGTTCTCTTTGAAGATAAAAACTGAATTTTCAAACTAACTGATAATCAACATTCATTTCAGACCGAGTTATTGGTCCATCCTGCGAAGTACAAGACTCGCTGCTGCGACAGTTTCAAGTGCTTCGACGACAACTGCTGTTTTGTACACGAAGGTGAGGTCGACCGCCGCACATTCGCAGTGCAGTACTCTTTCGTGACCGAGGCGCATCCCGATGACTTTGTCCCTTTGACAGAGATTCCGGGTCAGGAGCCTTTGGATAAGCCCAAAGGCGGCAAACTGTGTGGCTCCTTTCCGAACCCGATGAACTGCGTGTACGGTCCGCGATGCCGCTTTGCGCACAAAAGGTCCGAGTTGGGATCTCTGTTGTTCCGCCAAAGCGAGGAGAGCGTCCAGGACGTGACTGACGAATTCCTTATCCTGAAATACAAGACAAAATGGTGTCCGCATCTCTACCAGCACAACTGGACCTACTGCGTCTACGCACACAACTACCAGGACTATCGACGAAATCCGCAGGTATACACTTTAGTACACTTTGATTTAAATATTTGAAATTGAATGGGGCTAGCGTGCTAGTGCTTCGAGTTAGTAGCTTAATCTTTTGTGTGAAGCAACATCGTGACGAAACACTACGACGCCCTTAAGGCAGTCTGCACTGAACTTTTTGCGCGATTTATTGTATTGCATTATACTGGAGCTAGGTTTTTCGCTGCAGAGGAAGTTTCTACTCTTAATATTTTAGACGTTCTTTCTCGTCGTCTCGCGACTAAACCATCTTCTCATCTCAAGTGACTTTCTCTTTTACACCATCGATCCACCGCATCAGATCGGCTACGGACCTGTGCCATGCCCGTTCTGGGATCCGCGCGACACCGCGAAGTCCAATTATAACGATCGTTGCAAATTCGGAGCCCAGTGTCCCTTCTCGCATGGTAGCAAAGAGCGCGCGTACCACCCGCTCAATTTCAAGGTAATGACCTCCTTCACTTTAAGATGTTGTGATTGCCTTTTGAACTAGGACCACTCTGTCTAGAAAAAGATGCTGATATACAACTTTTTCTCAAACTCTTTCCTCGAGCTAACTACTCACCTTTAACAAAAATAGTAGGCTAAATATAAATATACGTTTCGACTTCGAGGACACACCACAAATCAGGTTTCCACATGTCAAGACATTGGTCCGAACGATTGTCGTAAAGATTGCACGCGTGAACCGTTCTGTGCTTTCTACCACGATGAGGGAGACAAACGTCCGATCGTTCCGCACGTGATGAACTACAGTAAACCTCTGCCACTGGAGAACATTGTGCAATTTCTTCAAAAAGACTTCTTCGAAGCAGGAATCGGGTACTAAGTGAGTGTATATGAAACTTTGAGTGTTTTAATAGTTGGATGCAGATGAAATTAAATTGAAAGTATGACGACTAATGTCAACATCTGATAGATGGTTTTTGACGTTTTTATTCAAATTGCTTTTGCTACAGGTCCAATCCGAATCGACTAACATCATCATCATTCAAATTACTACAAGACTTCCCAATCGCACCTTCACACCACACCAAGTCTCCCTTTCCACACGACCAGATACAACCACCAAGCCAAGCGGCTGAGTGAGCAGGACCGTTTGAAGATTTTGAAGAGTCCATCCCTTTCCCCAGTGAAGAAGGCGTGCTTGCTAGATGGCGTGAACTTCGTGCAGCCGATCAGCAACTTGCGTCCCTTCCGGGACTCGGTGCGGAACATGGAAAAAGCGGCTCTGCAGAAGGAACTGAAGAACGCCGAGCGTCGCGCAGTAGGTGGCAAGCTCGGCAAGCAAGGACGTCTCTTGGCTATCGCCGATGGTTCCCCGACAAAAGGCGGAAAGGAATACATGAAAGTTAGGTCCTCCTCTACTCGAAGATCGTCATCCATCTCCTCCATCTCGATCTATCTCCTCCATCTCCTCCATCTCGATCTATCTCCTCCATCTCGATCTATCTCCTCCATCTCGATCTATCTCCTCCATCTCGATCTATCTCTTGTTGTGACTACCCTGGCTGACCTACCCTGACTGAGTCAGTGAGTAGTAGATCTCGTCTACTCTGGATTTCAAGGCAGGTCTAATCAAGTTAGTAGAACAGAGAGAGTAAGAAGAGGAACTAACTCAAACTCAAGCAGGAGGGATATTAATGACAATTGACCTGGATATTAATGACAATTGACCCAGGGATGCTGATCGTGATTGACGTCCGCCTAGTACCTCTTCTACTACCTGTACTTCTAAAAAAAGCGCTTCGCCAGGAAAGGGCGGCAAAGGCAAGGAAGGCACGGGCAAGTCGAAATCCGAGGGCTATTTCGGCAAGGATTACATGGGCAAGGGCAAAGCTGACAAAAACGGCATCAAGTTAAGGCTCAATATATTTCATTTCTACGAGTCATTTCTCGCAGTTTACCTCTTGGGACTCTGAAGAAATAGACGAAGGGGCGAAATGAATTGCTTTGCGCTCTAATCAAGGGAGACATCTTGGGCTACAATGGCAGTGCAGCTGATATGATGACACCAACAAACAAAGGGACTACATACAGCAAACTATACGGCTCAGCAGGCAAGGAAGCAGGAAAAAAAGGTCTGCCGCCGCCGTATCCGCGAGACAGCAGTGTCAGCATGTCGGCGAAAAAAGGTAATTTGATTTTCGATGAGGGATCTTTTTTTAGTTCTTTTAGGCTCATATTTAAGTCTTTGTCATACTTATTGTTCGGTTCTTCTATAGGATTCATAATCTATCCGTGGTTTCCACCGATCACCAGGTCCGCTATCGGGCAAGAAAGGCGCTCTCGATGCCAAGAAAGGGGATGGGAAGAAGGGGGTGTCTACTTCGCTTCACGAATATAATAAGCTGAATTTGAGCAGTAGCACGATTGCGTCGACAGCGGGTGCACATCAGCAGGCAGCTGAAGGAATGGCATTTCAACAGTGGGGTGCAACGTACAGTGATCCTGTTGAGGCGAAAACAGCACATCAGCAGGTGCAGGCAGGAGTAGCTGCTTCTAACGAGTACGCGGCCTACTACAACAACCCGCAGTCACCAAACTACAACTCGCACTCACCAACGCATGGTGGAGACTACAGCAACGCCAATAACTATCCGAGCTATCCTATCGACACCTCTCCGTTCCAGCAACGTCAAGGCATGATGGCCTGGGGCAACCCAATGGTGCATGCTGAAGGAGAGATGACGCAGCCACCGCACGAGGCGCAATACGCGACGCCACATCATCAACAACATCTTGTTGGAGGAGCAGCGAATGCAGCGCCGCCAGCCGCGCCACCACAGAACAACCTCTTCGAGCAGGGGATCGCAGGAACAGGTTCTGTGATGTCCTCCTCTGCGGATGGAAGCGCTTCTATGCTGCAGATGATGAGCAATTTGCAGCGCGAAATGATGTTCGGCACTACAACTGGCGCCACCACGACCGATGCGACTCCGTCCTCTAGCTCTTCTGCCGCTGGCGACTCCGCATCCGTCATCCCGTTGCAGCTCCACAATCCCATGATGCAGTGGAACGCGTTTTCGCCTCATGCTTCGCCAGTCCCAGCAGCCTATTGGCCAAAAGACCAGAGCGCCGCAACAGTTGGAACGATGAGCGGTACTAGTCTATGGTGATGTAACAGTCTATGGTGATGTAACTCCTTTGAAAAAAAATCTCTTTTGAAGGAGGAAATAAACGCGGCTAGTCTTATCAATCTGTTACTGTTTCTGTGTATGGACGTCTCCCGACATCGACTTTTCCTAAATAAATGCATAGATCTCACGCATCTAGTTTTTGTATATCAGCCGGCTCCTTTTTTAGCATAGAAAACCGCTGCGGCAACACGTTAAGGCTAAAACTGTTAAGGAAATGCGCTACCCGTGATAGCTCAGCATCACAATACTAGATAGCTACGAGGTGGACACGTGCGTGCGAGTGTGTTGCTAGTAGATAATTTAAATGTTCTGGGACTGGGAGTCGATGATGATCACAATGTTCCGGGGCTTGGACGTAGGGGCGCGGAGTGTAATTAGGCGTATATCCATGGTTGTAGTCATTGTGCTAGTATCTGTCGGGTCGCGGCTTCCATGATAGATTCTAGGCATTATACAGATAAACTATGGCATAGAGAGTCCGCGCCGGACCTCTGGTTATACAGCCCTAGCGCTAGTGTTGACTTTGGGCATTCTGCTGCGGCTTCCGTGCGAGGGTTTTAAGGTTACCAGTTTAAAATAGCTATGGGCCTTTTCTCTGGTGGTGGGTTTATTTGGGGAACCGGTACCCCATAGCGATAGCGAATAAACGCGTGCACACAACCAGAGAGCTGAGCACTCACCGGAGGCGTTGCGCAGGGCTCCGGCCTGCCTTCGAAGGTGAGACCTTTGGGGCTGACAGGACGACGCTAGCGCCGGCGCTTACTTAGTTTTATCAGATAAGAATATACTTGATAGAGGCGAGCCTTATCTTTTTTCTACCACCTTCCTCTGGTCTTTGTTTTTCTAGTTAGGTCCGTCTGCTCCACCCCAATTAATTTACAGACGGAAATAAGCAGCTCTAAGAATCAAATTGACTTACATGTCTCGCACATGATCATTTTTGTAAAGCAGACTTGCTTCTTACTTTGTTCTTGAACCAACTTCCAGGTACGATGGAGCAGATGATGTATAGTCAGCAGATGACCCCGCAAGGTATGCCAAGTCTGATACTGCCGTCATCTACCGGCAACTGAAGACGTGGTGAGGACACGGAAGATTCAGGATATTATTGTCAGAAAAGGCCAACATAATAACCCCGTCCTGGTCAGGTCGAGCCCTTACAATGAATGCCGCACCTAGAAGTACGCGGGAGGAATGTGATGAAAACACAAGTAAGTGGCTACATACAACATGAACATCAATCATCTAATTCAAACACTGCATAGTCGAAAGCAAAATCTTCATCTTAAGCAATGAATGTATAGAAAAACATGAAATACGACTTCAAGAAACTTCTACTCAGCTATGGAAAACATCGAAGATGCTCATCTATTATGGAAAGACAACAAGTACAAGGAAAACGAAAAGTAAAAGGGTTTGAAATGCATATGTTGAAGGTAACGCGCGCCAAATGCACATGGAAGAATACGAATATTAGATACTGAAGACTCAATTTGGATCTTCTAGGCAAATTTGTGAGTGGTTGCGCACGTATTCGCATGTGCTAATATTAAGTAGTACTATTTTCTATTTGTAGATGAACAAGGTGGAAGTAGTTCGTTGTAGTATTCAACAACGTGTGGATAGTTCTGTAGGAGGCTAACATAGAAGAGGTACGTTGGGTCTTTCTGAAGGACATCCATACGATCACAACATACTACGCACATGATGAAGCGATGACATATATCTACATACTACATAGACATAGAAGTGCAATTGAATTGACATTGAGTGCAACATAAACTTGACGAAGTTTATTTAAGGTTCGAAATTTATGGGAAATCTATCGACAAGTTAATCACGACATAACATGCTAGAACATAGTTGCGCATAGTCCTCATGTAAGAAACCACTATTAGGAAAAAGAACAAGTAGTATAATTAGTACATACTAAAAATGCGTACGTAATTTTTCTATCAAAAAGTAAGACCATGGGAAACAAGCTCAATCTGTTTAATCAATCAGTCTGTTCTTCTGGAAACATCAAATTAGACTTATCTATCAACACACTAGAAGTAGAACTTTTGTAAACGGGCTGCATCAGGGAGGTAGGCACACTATTAATAATAACAATCTACTTCTGCGCATCAAGAATTTTAATATCGTTCGAGTTCGACAAGTATTAAGTATCTAAATTTACGTAGTAAGTTTAAGTAAATCAAGCGATGAGGAATTTACTTTCTTATGAAAAAACGAAATTGTGATTCAGTAAATGACTACTGAGCTGCAACACATAATCCTACTAGTCATAGCCATGATATTACATCGGAGCACGCATTCATAGCAAAACACACGGCATAAACATGTATTCTGCAAGAAGCTTGAAGCTGACGACAAACGAACCTGACTCTTCTTGAGGATGCATAGTACGCACAGAGTCTTCTAGTAGATCCAACTAGTAATAGCGTAGTGAATTTTTTAGCGAAGTAACTAAGATATTCAGTTGCATGATTCTGAAAAGCACCATTCGTCATATCAAGCACTCGTCATATCGAACACGAACTGCATAGAAACACATACATCTACATATTAAAATGCTATTTTCGAAGAAATAAATCTATCCCTAACCTAAAATGTACACTACGACTACACAGCAATTGGTCCGTATATCTTGTACTTTTCCAGATGATCACATGTTGGTCAAAGATGACTTCCTCCAATGTGGTTCCTCTTTGTTTCACCAAGGTAACGCAGGGTGGTCTCACCCACGAAGGGATCATTGTGTTTTTCATCGTTGCTCGTCGTCAGGTGTTCACGTGCCTGTCTCCTTGGTTTGACCACTTCAGCAGTCAGTCACGTCTGCCAGTTTTCCTGGTGGGCCCGCACCTAACCCAACCTAACTTTGCCGCAATTTTAGAGTGCACTATTATTTTTGATCAGTCGTGTTGGCCGAAGAGAATTTGAATTTCTCAAGTTCAGTAACACAGGTAGAGGTGGATGATAAATATTGATATAGGAGAGATTTTTGTGGAATTGTCACTTCTCTCCTTCTACTCTCTCATGAATACTCTATCCTGCGTTGCATTCTACAGTTACGATTGTTAGTTCAAATCAATTCTTCGCAGAGGTACTAGGACTAGGAGTAAGTCTTCTCAATGATCACTGAGTATCTTGATGAAGATGGCGTCCGTCGGGTGGTAACACGAAAGGTTCTTGTTCCAGATTGGCATAAAAAACCTTGCTACGTGTGCAGATCTTGATGCTGCGGGATTTTAGGCGGTCTCTGTTCCGACACGCACGACTCCGAGATAAGAAGTGCTCGCTATTACGTCAGAACCAGTTTCAGTGAAGAGCAAGATGCGCTTACAGTAGTACATCGTCTTTATCTTCATCATCTGCCGGTTGCTTCAAGAACATCATCTCCGGCATTTTCTGCGAGGCCATTGGCCATCGTCATAAGAGACGACTGGTGGAGTTCGTGATAGCAGTAAATAACCATGATAAAAGTTTTCGGTGTCGGCCGCGGTGCGAAGAAGAAGGACGACGGAGGCACGGGGGAGGCAGCGTCATCAGACGCGACAGCGGATGGGAAAAAGCAGCCAGGGGAAATCAGAATACAAAAAGAATTAGATGAACTCGATGTACCTCCACAATGCAAGCTGCAGTTCCCAGACAAGAACAATATCATGTCCTTCGTTCTCGATTTACGACCTGACGAAGGTTTTTGGCGTTCCGCAACTTATCGCTTCACTTTCACCATATCACCCCTTTACCCCCACGAGGCACCCAAGTTAAGACTGGTTTTTCACTATCCCATGTGGACTACGCTGAGTTGAGCCCTCCTTGTTTTAAAGGGGAAATGCGGGAAAAAAAGGGAAACACACTGAAGCTGGAATAGTGAAAAACTGGCGCTAACCAAGGTAAAATGCGACACGAAAATATACCATCCGAATATCGACCTTCAGGGAAACGTCTGTCTGAACATTCTCCGCGAAGAGTGGAAGCCAGTGCTGTCGATTTCGTCAGTGATCTACTTAAGGCCTCGTCACCACATTCATAATATAAGAACTTTCTTAGAGGTACGGCAGTAGCAGCTGCGGGAAAGTCGGTGTCATGTGGAGGCAATCTGATTGGTTGCTTGATAATGCGAAGCATCTTTTTCTTTGACTTTGTCGTCGACGTGCTTTTGACTTCGAGGTGGAACAAAAAGGTCAAGTACTCAAGCACGTCTGACGATGAACCAACATGAGTAATAAAAAGCGTCTAACCTGCGGCATATTACACCTCTTTAGCGAACCGAATCCGAACGATCCGTTGAACCACGAAGCGGCGAAAATGTTGAGAGACGATCGATTTGAATTCGAACGTGTTGTGGCGCGCTCTCTTCGCGGCTTCACCTTTCAGGGGGCACAGTTTCCAAGATTGGTGTGATAGGTGACCGCGTCGACCTCTATGCGCTGACTCCAAATACCATCACAGTGAAACCAGGATGTTTTCAAACAATCATGCGTAACAAGAATACAACCCTTTGATCCTGGTGCTCCAGTCTGATTTTCCAGAATTTCTGTGGAGAAAGTCAAAAATAATATGGAGGTAGAGGTGCTGGCTGTTCGATTTTATAATATTTATGATGTTATTCCTCTTCTTCTCTCTGCTATGTTCTTTTGTGATCTTGTGTGTTCCTATGTATAGGAGCAGAATGAATGAAATAATTTCAATCCTTCCTTTTTCAGGTGAAGATCTGCAAGTAAGAAAGCTCATATATTAGAGGCAACAAAAATCCCTCATGCATGTTCATGTTGTCCCTGGAAGGACCAAATAGCAAAATGGAGCCCGTAACAAGACGATCATCACCCGACTTCTGAAAGTCTAAGTAGAAGTTGCGTGCGATTCGGGTTCGACGAGTCTGACTGGTGATCGTTTTCCGCTCTTTGGCGGATCTGTTGTGAATAGCATTTGCTTGGTGGATCTCATTCAACTGATGAAGAAGACAGCCACATGCACATCCTATTTTTAATCATGATAAGCAAGTTTAAGCTTTGTATCTCCAATGCGGAGGCCGCTAGAACGTGATGAATCTGCTACAACTGACTTTCAGGCAAGGGGCTTACGGGTCAGTTTCATTCTTTATGTGTTGTTTGTTTGGTACTAGTTTCATGGAGTTTTTTGATGATAGTACAGTAGTGTTGAGTTTGAAGCAGATGGTATAATGCTACACCTTGTTTCACGCTTAGATACACTAGTTTGGAGCACCTGATTTTTACTTGTTTTTGTCCGCATCGCTGGTCTTGGAGGCCATCATTTTGTTGTGGTTTAGAGTTTCAACTTTTCGTTGTTGTACCACAACAAATTGGAGGACTCATTATACTAGTACTAGTCATACATAATTCGACGACCAATATGGCGGCCACAACAGCTTCGTCGATTGAAGCAGCTGCTTTTGCCGCGGCGAGCGACCGATTTCGTGAGGGTGATGGTTCACCTGGCTCTGCCAATGGTTCCCTCGCACCTGGACCAGCTGGCCCAGCTGGTGTGTCTGCCACCGAGCTCCTCGCCAATGGCTCTGGACCCGAGGCCAACGGCCACAGCGAGGAACCACAGCGACCCGACGTGCCGCAGCCGGTGCCACGACGACCGCCTGTCACCCAGGCGGAGCGCGATGCACTGAGGGTGACGCGAGAACAGCTGTATCGGACACAGCTGGAAGAGGCGAAGAGCACTGAGGGAGAATTATTTCGACGCGACATCATCGACCGCATCCTACGGAATAAGAGACGATCATTGCAGCTCTTTGGCGCGGAAGCTATCGGAATGGCAGATTTTGAGCCGGCGTTCAAGCAATTGAGAATGGATATTAAAGCGGCTAACGAATACGGCAAAATCAAGGAAATGGCGGGGGTTAGGAGAGTGGATACTGGTACTTAATAGAGCTCACAAGTTTGCTGCATCGCCATTTCTAGTTATTGTATTTGTAGTGCTGGTTCGATGAAGAAATATGTGGCATTATCTCACTTACTTACTTAAGAAGTAGTCTAAGTCTATCACTTGCAATTCCTTACTATCCAACCAGGTGTGAACATCGCTGGCGCGAGTCTGCAGGCTTTGGGCAACGAGCGCGGCTCGCTCGCGATCACGGATGGTTTCTCCACTCCATCCACTACGGATTCCAGATCCGCAACGTCCGTCGTTTCCGCTGCATTGTCCTTGCCGACGCCTTCTGCTTCTAGCCAGATCATGCGCTCCACCCCAGGCATGGGTATTATGGCACAGCAGAAGGACCAACAGCCCATGCAGGGGCCAACCCGACCCGCCCAGGCGCCGATATCGAGCACGACCGAGCTCGCGCTTGCCCAGATGAAGGAGAAAGCGCTGCCCTTCGACGTGGAACGCAAGAAGGTAGTGGACGACTACGAAGTAAGGCTCAGCGTGTACAGGGAAGGCGACCAGATCGTAAATCTGGATAATCCAGATCAGAGGCTACGAGCAATGGAAAAGCCTCAGTGGCATCGACCGTGGAAGCTCAAAAAGGTAGTGTTAGGTTTTACAAGTAAACTCAACATGAGGATTGTGATGAAAAATTACGACTACAACTTCTCTACGCATGACAAAACTCCCGGACTCGGCAGGACAACGTCAACGATCAGAATCGATTACACAACTTCTTCTTCCTCTTGTGTTCAATCAATTACCATCATCTTCTAGTAAGTAAGACATCAGAAAAAATTTCCAACCATCTTCTACCTCAGGTTCTTGCCGGTCATCAAGGGTGGGTTCGAACTGTTTGTGTGGATCCCAAAAACAAGTTTTTCCTATCGAGTGGTACTGATCGCTTGATTAAGTGCTGGGAGATGGGCACTGGAACCCTCAAGCTAACCCTAACAGGCCACTCAGCAGCAGTAAGGGCTTTAGAAGTATCCCCGCATCACCCCTATTTCTACTCGGCGGGAGAAGACAATGAGGTATTAAGCAATGTGTATTTGATGATAGGAGTATTGATATAATTTTTTGCATTTGTAATTTTAGTCGTGACAGAAGAAGAAAACGAGTTGTGCATTACCACAGAAGTATGATTGCAACGCACATCAACCTCTTAAAACTACAGGTTCGTTGTTGGGATCTTAACACAAACAAGATCATCCGAACATACCACGGCCACTTGTCTGCCGTATACAGTTTGAAGTTACACCCTACGTTGGATGTTTTAGCCACTGGAGGTCGCGATGGCACGGTAAGAATCTGGGATATCCGTACGCGGACGCAGGTTTTTGCCTTCGGTCATGAAGGTAAGATTGACATTTAGCTGTTTTAGTACTACTAGGTCCAATTTTAGGTTTAGGTAGTCTGCTATCTGGAGCATATGCCTCCAATGCGGTCTATTTCTTTTTTTCGTAGTTGGAAATTCGTTACCATATTTTTGTAGTTCCAGTTGGAAACGAAATGAAATATCGTGAGTAGTTTCAAAACATCTTAGTAACAAGTACAAGAGCCATGTCATCATCATCAAACCAATGCCGAATTACATAATCTCCCTTAGGTGCAGTGAATTCCATAGTTTCGCAAGCATCGGAGCCTCAGTTTATTTCCGGGAGTGCTGACGCGACAGTGAAGTTGTGGGACCTAGCAGCGGGAAAAAGTATGGTTACACTGACCAACCATAAGAAGGGTATTCGCGCTCTCGCCATTCATCCGACAGAGTATACTTTCGCGTCTTGTTCTGCCGATCAAAACAAGGTGTGGCGGTGTCCGAAAGGAATTTTCGAACGCAATATCTATGGACATGACGGCATCATGAATTGTTGCGCTATTCGGGACGGCGATACACCGGATCAAGGGAGCATACTTGTTGGAGGAGGAGATGATGGTATTTTTGTTAAGTGAATTGTTACAATTCCTTGCCGTGGTCAAACATGTGACGACCCCGATTTTGTTCGTTGCTTCTCAGGACGATTCGATTCTTTATGACGTCAAAAGAGCGTACCGATAAATCGTTGGTGGTGTCCCGAAAGTTTTTTTATCGCACTCCTCATACTCATATGACTGACACGCCAGGTTTCTTGCATTTCTGGGATTGGAAGACGGGGTATTTATTCCAGAGTATTGAAGGGAAGCCACAGCCAGGGAGTCTGTCATCTGAGAATGCGATTTACGGGATGGCGTTTGACGCCTCTTATTCTCGTCTTTTTACAGCTGAGTGCGACAAAACAGTCAAAATCTACGAACAAGACCCTGAGGCGACCGAGCAAACCCATCCAATTGGAAACTGGCGCCAGTTCCTCAGCAAAAACAAAAAGAATCGATAGATGAGGAGCTCCTCGGAGCTCTTTTGCAGGTTTTGCTCAGGGTTTGTTCATAATAGAAGGAGCTTTTTATACTTTAGTACATCCAGAAGTACATGAACATGGTAGGTTCTGATGTTCTTTGTCCCGATTCACACAAAAGGTAAAGGATCTAGCACTCCGCTGTCCTTAGCGACCAGCAGAGCAAGGATGCTTACACTGTTCTAAATACGCGACCAAAACACTTGAGTAAACTCTGCGACGAATCCTCACGACCCGTGTTACAGCACAGCTCGACTTACTTTCTCTCCTACACCTATAGCTCACCCGCTCTTATTCAATTTAATGTGAATTGCGTTTGGATTTTTCAAACGAAAAGCGATGAAAGAGGGCTTTTGCAAATGTCTGCTTGGCCTTGGCTTTATTACTTTTTCAACGCATCATTAGGACTTTGTCGGTCTCGGTTCGAATCGGCTTCAATTTCATCTACTCTGCAGTTGTTGCTCGGTCCTGTAAGTCCCCAAACCTATGCACCTTCTCAAACACGGGAGTTTTAGTCCATTGGTATCTTTCGAGTTTTAGTCTTGGATTCGGATGACTGGCTCCATCAAGTGTATCAGGCTGAGCGAGATGTATACGAGAGAAAGCGGATGATAGGTGCTTTGTTAAAAATCGTCTAGTTTTTTCAGTGCATCGCGCTGTGACAAAAGTGAAAACCTGTGTGGCTCGTGACATCATGTTATCGAGCAGTCGAATGTATATGAATCTCGCTTTTTTCGCCTTGTCCGGCGACTGTAATTTAGGAAAGGTACATAGTATCAGTATGTCATTTTTTAGTCTCTCAGTCTTCCATATTGTGAAGAAATATTGATTCTGCTTTGCAACCAGTATCAGCATCAGGCATTCTTACGTACAAAAAAATCGAAGTTGTGCATGGCCAGGACAAGACTGAGTTCATGTGACATAGACATTGACTCCCAATACAGGAGCTTATAATATATGGTTGCACCGGAAGAATCGGAAAAATCCGCTACCTACGTCCTAGTGAAGGCATTTCTTGTGCATCTCCTTGTATATACTTACCTGAAAAATCAACATCTTTCCGAACAAAATATAAATATAAATCATCTTCATCCTCGCCATGTTCAACAAGGGGTTGCGGACACTCGGGCTCCGGTCGACAAAAAAGCGCGTATCACCGTTAGAGGATCCTGACTGGAATACCCGCGACGCAAAAAAGAGGCGGGCGAGTGCATTGGAAAAGGCAGTCCTAGAAGAATGTACTTGCATCAGGCTACTAGAATGAATTTTTGCTTTCTTGAATCATGAATCTTAGACGACTCAATTGAAGTAGTAAAAAAGATCAAAGTTCTTCTACTTCTTACGCGGAGAGGACGACATCTCCCTTTCGCCAGTCGACTACGTTGTACTGCCTTAGACACTAGATGTAGTAATAGTACATGCCCAGAAAGCGGGCCCATCAAGGGCCCGCTGCGCCGGGCATAGGTTAACAACTAGACAGATTGACTACTAAGAGACAGAAAGACAAACGAAAAAAGTCGCCAAGTCTGCTCGCCAAGGCTGGGAAGCTGGCTCCCACTGTGTCAAAGAAGGGAAGGCTGGGGAGGTGACGTCGCACCCTCAACGGCTTCGACTTTCACGCACAGAGATGCATACCTGTGGCCTTCTCATGGATATGATGATGCTCACCAGGGTCCACCCTTCAGACATGCAAGCCCTCACGGCTATCATTCTCACACGCATCGACATCCCCAAAGGCTTCGCCTTTCACGCGCAGAGATGTAGACCTTTGCCCTTCTCGTGGATATGATGACGCTCCCCAGAGTCCACCCTTCAGCCATGCAAGTCCTCCCGGCTATCATTCTCACAGACATCGACATCCTCAACGGCTTCGACTTTCACACACAGAGACGCATATCTGTGGCCTTCTCATGGATATGATGACGCTTACCAGGGTCCACCCTTCAGACATGCAAGGCCTCGCGGCTATTATTGTCACAGACATCGACATCCTCAGCGGGTTCGACTTTCACACACAGGGACGTATATCTTCGGCCTTCTCATGGATATGATGACGTTCGCAAGGGTCCACCTTTCAGACATGCAAGTTTTCACGGCTATCATTCTCACACGCATCGACATCCCCAAAGGCTTCGCCTTTCACGCACAGAGATGCGTATCTTTGCCCTTCTCGTGGATATGATGATGCTCACCAGGGTCCACCCTTCAGACATGCAAGGCCTCACGGCTATCATTCTCACAGACATCGACATCCTCAACGGCTTCAACTTTCACGCGCAGCGATGTATATCTTTGGCCTTCTCGTGGGTATGATGATGCTCACCAGGGTCCACCCTTCAGACATGCAAGCCCCCACGGCTATCATTCTCACAGACATCGACATCCTCAACGGCTTCGACTTTCACGCGCAGAGATGTAAATCTTTGGCCTTCTCATGGATATGATGATGGTCGCAAGGGTCCACCCTTCAGACATGCAAGGCCTCATGGCTATCATTCTCACACACATCGACATCGTCAACGGCTTCGACTTTCACGCGCAGATATGTATATCTGTGGCCTTCTCATTAGTATGATGATGCTCACCAGGGTCCACCCTTCAGCGATGCAAGTGCTTCCGGCTATCATTCTCACAAGAATCGACATCCTCCACGGCTTCGATTTTCAAGCACAGAACTGTATGTCTTTGGCTTTCTCGTGGGTCAATGTGATGACGCTCGCCAGCCTCTGCCCTTTCAAGTGCTCACCCTCTCCCTTGCAATTCTCCTACTTTTGTGCTGATAAAAATGCACGCACGGGCTAACCATCTCCAAGGGCTGCCGCGCGCTCTTGTGGTCGGTTGTTGTGTGCGGAAGGTAGTCGCGGAAGGGGAGCGAGCTAACTTTTTCCCAAAAACTTCAGGGGGGTCGTTTTGTTTTCTCTGTATTTGAATGGCCTCCCTGAAGTTTTTGAAAAAAATAAAGGCGCTGGGCGATATTTAACAAGGGGAGCGGTTGGAAGTTCTTTGGGGCGATTCGCTAGGGCGGGGTGGGCGCGTAGTGTCCTGCTGCAGATTGGTGTGGCTGGTGTACGTGAGTAGCCTACAAACTAGCAGCCGCGAACACGTTAACACGTTCGCGGTGCCTTTGAACTCGTAGCACTAGCAACGCAAGTGCTTTAGGGAGCCTTTTGAGCCCTTCGGAATCCCTTAAGGAGGGCGCTAATATTAGCCAAGGGCTATAACAACTTTCCCTTAAGGGCCCTCCTTAAGGGAAAATTTTCCTCGTAAGGAAAGTTATAATAACTTTTTGTAATAGAAATTCCTTAAGGAAAACCGTTTTCCTTAAGGAAGCCACTTAAAGGAGTCCCTTAAGGATTTCACAAACCAGCGCTAACCCTATAAATACTAATCTCTTCTGGAAGCGCCATACATTAGTCAGTCACATTTGCCCCATGAATGGGTACACTACTACTGCCCCCACGAATACTGCATGATTACAGTGCCATTTTATACGAAAACACTTTCAGTTGTTGAGCCCAGCGAGAACCTCATGCGCGCGTGGCATAAGGGAGATGAACTTCCTGTCGAAGAAATGTTGGCATCGGCTTTGCGTCTCCGTGAGGGCGGTGTAAACAATAAAATGTGCAAATGGCTATTAGAAGAAGTGTTCGGCCGACACGACTACGGGATCGAGAGAATTAAGGCCTTCCCTTTTTGTCTTCAATCTCCTTGATTATAGGCTGGCATTGATCTCTGAGGGCTTTTTCGAGGGGAAAGATACTCCAACAGAGATCGAAGACGAATTTAGGTAAGCTCTAAATTGAGTATAGGCGAGATTGATGTGGTCAGGCAAGAATGCATCTCTATGGTGAATTGGCTAAAGTGGTGGTGTGAGAATGGGAAGAGTGGGCGACAAAACGTGATGGAGCGCGATGCGGTTGCCTTTACTAACAATTTGCATGATGAGATACTTCGCGTTGTACAAATACAAGATATGCCTAAAGATTCAGCGGAGAGGGAAGACACGTTTGAAATTAGAATTGAGTTTCAGGTCGAGGTCGACGACGCGGACCGTTTCGATGAAATCCCACAGACCGCCTAGTATTCCCTGTTTTTTTTTGTCGATAAACATATTGACTTCATTATTTTTGCTTCTGAAGGTAACGAAGATGAAACTTTCATCAGCTATATCATGTTGGTCTAGATAAGTGACGAAAAGACAAAACTAGAAATGTTTTTAATTTTATTGACCTTACTTTGTTTTTGAGTATCATGTTATGAATGTATAAACGAGTGAGGTGATGTGGGGATCATGATGTGGGGACTCACAGCAAGAATGATAATCCATCTCCATGTTTCATTGGAAACAAAGTCGAAATTTCACCAAACTGATCATCAGCGACGGAGCTGCATTCGCCAGTGCTACCGTCGAGACCCATGCCTTGGCAACCAATACCATGTCCCGACCGGCTCTTTCCACCACGCACTATGATGCAATTTTCGTGATGCAGGGTATGACTTTAGCGTTAATCCTGGGCTTAGCTTTAGGCTGGTGGCTGCGCCGCCGCTGCTGCAGGCCTCGTAAGGCTCCGAATGATTCATCTGCGAATTTGCCGAACTATAGGGCTACGGGTACTGCAGATGACGATATTGCGGACGAAGATGGTGAATACGATGAAGAGAAAGTCGAGGTATGATATTATTACTCTACTTGTTGGATTTGAATTTCTCTATGCCGATCGTGTTGATAAAGATGCTTTTTAAGAATGTGTCTAAGTGAATAGTTGTGGACTACAAACATCAGTCCAACTTATTTACTTAGCTAATATTGACCTCAACATACAATGAAAATGAAAAACAAGTGTACCTCCTCGTCATCAGATCCAGACTGCTCGGATAGACATACCCGTTTCGAGAGAGGATCTTTTAGCTCAGAATCATTCTGCAAATTTTTCGGCAAATGGGAGTGCTGCGGACAAAGATGGTGTAGAAGCTGGGGAGATCGATGCGAAGGAGGTATCATATGATTACTTTACCTGATGACTTTGTCTATCATGACGAGGATCGCGTTGATGAAAATTTGTTCAGAACCAGATGAAAAAAAACTCTACATGAAGATCAATCTAACTAGCAACTTACCTAGACATACAGATACATTGAAAATGTGAGACCACAAATGAATGTCCCCACCACCACCAGATCCAGACTCGTTGTATAGACGTGCCCTTGTCCTCGAGGAATATGAACCTTTCAAGAACTACGGACTTTCCAGCGGCTTCGATGTCGAAAGATAGGGATCATACAGATACAGCGATGGACGATGATGTGGAAGGTAGTGGCTTTGATGAGGAGGAGGTATGATGTAGCTCATCTGCCTGTTGATTTTGTCTATTACGAGGATAGTGATAAAGATTTTTTTAAGAAAAAAAAATCAAATAATAGTGAAAATCAAAATGAAAATTATATATAGTTACTCACTAGAAAAAGAAGAAGAATAAGAACTACAACGAACAACTTATCTACACATCATACTAGGACGATGAAAATGAAAAATAGAAAAATGTACCCCACCATCACATCCAACATAGCGGTATACTCTCGTCGAGAAAGAATCTTGTTGTAGTTGTGATTCTGCAGTAGAAGCGGTTGATATATTTTTCACCACATCCGATCATCAGAGTTATCCATATCCTAGATGAGTACCTAAATGACGCCATTGCAGAACTACTTACATCATTGTCAAACTCCTGTTGTTTTCCCATTCAATTTATTCTAGAATCCCGACACGTAGCACGGATAGTACGAACTTGATGTGCATACAGTTTTGTCTCTCTTCTTCCCCACCGAATCTGACCAAGCACGTTTTTACGTAAGAATCAAAAAGGATCTAACCACGACCGTATTATCACTGACCATTCTATCTTGTCATGAACAATTTATCCGAATATATTCCCAAACGCAAACAAGAACAACGAATATTTCCTTCTCTTATACATAGATTCGCTATGAGTTACACGACCACATTGCTGATGCTCGTTCCTACTTCTCAACACCAAGAATGTCATACACCTCTCTCTTCATTCATCACAGCCACTGAACAGACAGATTTGCACAGAATGAAAACAACGTAAGTTAGACACGATTACAAACGTAAATACGCTCCTCAAGAAGAGCATATACAAAATGCATGACAATGACCCACAAGATCACCCCCCATTGACCTCATTCGTGTATCCTTCAGATTTTATCGTTGTTTTATCCTTTGAACCTGAACAATCCACTGGAAAGCCGGTTCTTAGACAGATAATTTGCATTTGGGGAACCAACTGTACCTGATTTGCCCGAGGTTTCTCCTCATCCAGAGGTTTCTCCTCATCTTCTCCGCTTCTTCCCAGAACACTAACACGTGACTCAGTCATGTAGCTCTCACACAGAATCTGTAGTGTTGATCATCATGCTGTTGCTGTCTGTTGAAATCGGTATTTGAAGTCTCGTCTTCTACGAGTGTTGTGCTGATCATCATGCTGTCTGTCGAAATCGGTATTAGAGAACAAGAAGTTGTCTTTGTTCGGTGGATTCGGTTACGGTCTTTCTACTTATAATTAAGATGTAGTTGTTGAGGACATAAGAGCAACCTTCTCAGCGTTCGGCTTAAGGGTGAACGAAGGAGAGGCGGGACTTCTCTTCGTGAATGCAGTAATACAGCAAGGAGCCACAGTAGATACTGCGCGCGTAGCCACATACTAGTAGCCACCTTGCTCAAGCACGAGGTAGCCTGGTCACATTTTCAGTCTGGATTTTCATTTCGCAAGTCCCTGTCGTTCCTTCATCTTGTCACAAGGCTTTGCATACAACTGGTTGTAAATCAGCATCTATCTGATGATGTTAGTCGGTTCGGAATTGTCCTACGACTTCCCTGAATCTCTTCTGAGTTTTACGGATTTCCCTGATGTTAAAACTTTTGCGTTGAAGATGTTGCTACTGTTCTTAGTATTCACTATACAGTGTCAGTGTAGTACTTCTAGATAGATACCAGTACAACCGCACGCCCAGAAGTCCTGCACTCCAAGAATGGGCACCCTCAGTTCCAAAATGCCGCGTCTTGTGGAAGACGCTAGTGTGGCGCAGAATGCTCATAGTTTGCCTTTGCGAGGAGGAGGGGGAGCTTATTCGGACAATCCAGCAGACCGCTTAGACGCACTTTTAGGCGTCTTCGTTCGGACACCAGATAAGGTGAATCATCTGACGGAACATCAAGAACCAGTTGAATCTCTCACACAGTCGCATCAAGTAGAGAACTCGACAAGCATGGGGAACGAACAAACAGTGGCATCAACCTCTACGGGAGAAGCTACAAGTAGTAGCGCAAGCACAACTAGAACGTCGTCGTCTCCGATGCGTTTGGAATTGGGTTTGGGGACTTCTACTTTTGATGCAGGTGCTGCGGATTTTCTGTCCTTTGGAAGTAAGATAGATCAAGGGCAAGCTTCGAAGCCTCTTCTACTAGGACACGAAACTGCAGACGCAGCATCAAAACCTGCAGTAACAAAAACTCGCCAACTAAACCGAGCGCCAGAAGTTGTGGCAACCGTCACAAATGAGGCAAAGAGTACAACCTGTTCGAGCAACGCGCGTCTAGCAGAATCGGAACAAGGAAACAGGATCCTCGACATGATGGACAACATGGAACATGAAGGTCAAGGTGTGAGCAACAAGATATTACCAATGACAATGCTACAGAGCAGTGATGCACGTGCAGGTGCACCTGCACACAGTAGCACCAGAGCAACGCTGGCTGGGCCTCCACTTCCTTCTACAAAACCTACTTCATCTTCATCTAGTCCATCCACACTTACTACCAGCGAAAAAGTGTGCCTTGCGTTTTTCTTTTTGTTGATGTTTGTCGGTGCGTGGAGTTTGATTTCGGTTGTGCGGCAACGCGTCTTCAGACCGTTTTGGGCACAGCTGCGAGGCGCTTTGTCACAGGATGCTTCGAAAAGCGTAATCGGTGAAGATGAAAGAAGCATTGGCTGTGAGCAGGACACTGTTGACGAGTCCGGTGGAGCTGTCGGTCGCTCTGCTCCTTCTTTTTCTTCCTCCGTGTCATCTTCATCAGGACGTCCGCAGAGAGAGGGCGAAGAAAGTATGATCAGCGAGGAGCAGCTGATCATCGAGGACAGTGAGTCCGATGGAGCCGAGTCCAAGGATGAGGACGGGAAAAGTCAGGTGGTTCGCGACCAAGAAAATGAATCAACTTTTAGCGCCGCCGGCACGACGTCGACACCGATAGTCGACGTGGTTGCCAACGACGTAAGCAATCCTTGCAGTTCTTTTCCGAGTCGATCAGCTGCTCCACAAGAGTTGGTCGCACAGCAGATCATCGAGGAGATACCTTTGCCTGTGGACGGTAGGTCTCAATTCTGGCAAGTACTCCAACATTTCTTCTACCTAATAAATCACTACTTCCACTTTTTTGTTCATTGTTAAAGCCTCTACCTTGTCTGTGTATGATATATTATACTTCGTCGTACTTCCACCATACAACAGAGGCACACGACTGAAGAAAATCAACATCAAATACACACTACAGATGCTACATCAGCGTGTCCGAGTGTCTCAAGTGACGTGTCCTTCGCAATGATCTGCGACGACGCAAAGGCAGCAGCTACGCCTTCAACAACTGCCGGGTCGCCGGTTGAGGAGCGTTCTTCATCGTCCTCTGGTCTGCATTTTTTTGAAGAGAACGAGCAAATTGAAGAGGTTTCCAGTTCGAACAGCGAGCTGCATGAAGTACAATTGGTGCCAAGTTGTGTTTCAAGGGATATTACAGAGACTCGAGAGGTAGAACTGGCAGACGATCTTCTAGAAGAAGCTTACGATCATGAGGACAGCAATTGTCGCGCAAGCGCAAATGTAGACGGGTCAGACAATGAGGACAAACCATTTCGGAAGTGTTGTGCGTCTGAAACGCGACAGAGTGTAGAAGTTCCAATGTCTGCTTCTTCTTCGCCTAGAGGGACACGGACAGAGCAGGCAGAGGACCATCAGCAGAAAGACGCAGCTGCAGATCTCTACTGTCAAAACAGTCCTAGCAACGTTTCAGAAGTAGATCCCACACCAAATCACGGTCACGGAGTCCTCGTGGGCAATGTTTTCACGTTGGGCGACGTAGTGAATCTTCCTGACACGATATGCGTCTACTTTCGCGGCACGCCTTCGACTTCATCGGATTCCGACGCTATTGAATCGAAACCGAGCAATGTCGTCTCAGACGACAGGCGCAGTTGTAGAGACAAACCCTACGAGCTCGATCTAGAACTAGATAGAGAAGACGCGGCAGTGGATGGAGTTGGTAGCGAAATCAGAGACGAGGGACTAGTAGAAGTACAAGTAGTAATATGTATGATGCCACTCATTGAGAACGAAGGTATGGTGGGTATGTCGTTCCCAATTAAGAAGGCAAAGGGGGAACGACATTCCCATATCGACGCTCTCAATGAGTGGAAGCATTCATAGAAGCTGCTTCTACCTGCGCGATAGCGATATCACCAAGTAGACGACAACATAGAAGTAGAACTAGAAGCACACCTTTCTGTCTCGAGACGTGTGCAGGCAGTCCTGTAGTTCGACAGCGGCAACGCAGACTTCGAAGAGTCAGTCTCGGGAGTCGACTCAGGAAGATGGAGCAAGTACCGAATGAAGAAGATAAGGATTATCATAAGCAGAGTTCTGAACAACAAGACCCGGACTACAAGCATAAAGAATCTCTAGTACAACTTCGGAGCACTCCAGCCATGATGTACATGTCGAAGTCAACACCGGCTCTGCCTGTAGGAGGCTGTGCTGCTTCACCTTTAACGGAAGATACGACGCAGAATCAGAATAATCGAGGACATAGTCAGAGCAAGGCCCACTTTGATTGCGCGATCGACGCAGGTGGCGCAGGGGACGCCTCTGTGCTGACATCGGGTTTGGGTCAACACTGCGAGATCGGCCGCGGTCCAGTTGTGCTTTCGGCGGATCAAGATGCTACTCCAGCAGCTGATGAGTGCGAGGACCAAGAAGATAGGCGTCCGTACCGTCGAATGCGCCTCTCTATTCCTTCAACTTCGGCTCGACCTGTTTTCGTACCGATCTAAAATGAAAATTCTAACCGTCATCTTGTTCATAGTGAAAATACGATTGATTGTTTGTGAAGATTGCTGCACTTTTTTTCATCTTTTTTGTCATTGTTTGTTTTTGTTTCTCCGTAAAATTAATGTCACAGTGCTTCGGCTTCGCCACCTACATGAATAAAGAGACACTCTGATTTATGAGAAAGTATAAACTGTAAAGTGTCATGTTTTTGTTCCACAGCTGCAGTTGTGAGTAAGGTTTATTGCGCATGGAGGCAGGAATAGAAGTAGTCAACGCAAGAATCAATGTTCTTCCGCCTCCTTCATCAGTTGAACGATTGTTCCCTATGTTTCTAGCTGTACTGCTCAGTGTCACATTTACTTATGTATTATATGTTCTTTCCTCATCCTCTTTTTGTTCCCCATTCATACAACCAGATGCAGCAACATGCTTTGTTACGTAGAAAAGACTTCGCTCATTCTTGTTTTGTTTGTCATGAGGTAGTAATATCTATCAATCGGGGGCCGTCGGAGAATTTTAGCCTTCTAGTTCTAGTGGGTGAGCGACAAATATACGCTTGTGTCGCTTTATCTTATGCTAAGTATGTGCCAAGTTCATCATACAGTGAAAATGAACCGATGCAAAGGACCACTATCTCATGGGCCGACTTTTTGAACAAACTAGCGGGCAAAAGATTGTAGGTCATTTCGTTTTCAGTACTCCGTAATAAGGGGTACACAGATAGCGCGAAAGTAGATGCTCCTGATGATGATATCACGTCCTTGATGATGATATCACGTCCTTGCAGAAATACAATGATCAACCAGAATCGCACATGCAGAAAGCAGCTGCGACAGCGAATTAGAATTGAACGACATCAGATCTACTCCCAATCTGAATTCATTTTGAAATCAAAAACAAAAAAAGATCCACAGAATCAATCTGCCTACCAGAAGAACTAGAATATATACGATCAACAGCTTCAGCCTCGTCCGTTTGTGGAGCTCACATTAGAAAGATCCACTGAGGAAGACCTTTTCATACAACATAAAATCAAGATCCTGTCCGATAGGACATTCCCGATTCAATGATGAAGATGGCAGAAATTGAGATCTGTAGGAGATCTTTAGGTGACAGATCTTTAGGTGACCCACGCCAATTTTTTTTCGCAGCCCTTTCTTTGTAAAATTCAAGTAGAACAAGTTGCTTTCTCGTCGAAGCCAACTTATAGTGAAATCATCTTGATCTTCATGTTCTTCGTCTTTATTTTTCAAAACAAATTCACCAATGCAGCGTTTTTTCTTTGTTTATTTTTTCTGTGCTGTTTATTGTGAAGTTATATCATTTTTTTTTCGAAACAAATTGACTTTGAGAAACTTTTTCCACGAAACGCGTATGTACAGCATTCAGCGATCCGGCATACGGATAATTGTTATTCATTCCTATTTTACCTTCAATCTTTTCAGTCTAAAGTTACCTTTCCAACAGAATTGATCTAGTGACTACTTATTCCTCTGATAGCCTTCCTCTTCACAATTTTCTTTTCGGCCGTCTCTCCAAAATCCTACTAGGGGTTGTTCAGAGCCACGTACGTAGTCACGAGAAAAGTACACGGCGAGAGTAAAAGCGATCAGAATATATACAGCTATATTTACCTACAGTATACTTAACGACCAAAGATAAAGAACTTAAGGGACGACAAAGAGTTCGACAAGTTCTTCTTCTTCTACTTATAAGCTAAGAAAATATAACGTTGAATTTTTGTATCTAGATGAAGTAGCCCGTTCATCGGAAGAAAAGGCTTTGACGACACCGAACGACAAATACTAACTTCAGCGGCGCACGAAAGCGAAACTACAAGCAGCCACGCACAACTGTCACCAAAAGCTCGACACCAGCGACATCGATATTGACACCCACATCAACTATCAACACCAGCGACTCTCTTCTAACGTAGATCCTGAGGAGCGTATCTAGGCTCAGGAGCTATACACTATAATCTTCTTCAACGAAACGACTACGACTTCGTCGCAAGCGCAAAGCCTTGGAGCCTCTCCATCACATTGACACAAGTAGAAGAGCATCTCAACAAGTAGGTTGTTTCAATGGGAGTATTAAGTTCCTCGAGGGAGGTGCGTCCCTCACAGAAGTCTGACGAAGTTGCTGCTGCTCTAGACGTCTCTTCCGACTACTCATTCGACGATGACGATGTCGCAGCTCTTGGCGAGCCTAAAATCGTGCGGCCATTCCGCGACTGTAAGGATGTGCTCTTTCACATCTTTACGATCCCAAGAATCGTCCTATTGGGATTACTGGTACTATTACAAGGAAGTTTTTTGGTGAAAATAGATCAAATTATTTCTAGAGATTCTACGTAAGTAGCAAAGAGAAAGGCTCCGATGAACTACCTCTACCACCTAGAGTTTTTTGATAGGAGATCATGTATCTGCCCTACGAGTAACGTGTACTAGCTAAGTACTTAATTACTTCTACATCCTTTATTCCCTAGGTAATCACTCTCTCGACTATGCGGCCTGTGATTTACTCGGATTTGCCGAGTCGGGAATGGTTCGCGGACATCAAGAAGGTGTCGAAAGTCGACGAAAACGGGCGTCAGGTGATGGAGGAGTTGGTGGAACTCCGCACCACCATATCTACGCACCTGGATCGCGTCAGAGCGCTCTACGAGAAGCCGGAGAGTGTCTATTGGGAAGTGGATGCGCAAGTGCCGGTCGATCCGGCCAAGCCTAATGGCCCAACAAAGACGGTCCGCCGACCGCGCGACGCGGGCGAGAAGTGCGAAAGACAACAAAGCCGAGGAGAGAGAATCGCGCCTCTTGGCACCCAAACGCCACAGGAGTTGAAGGACGAGTACACGAGCAAATTCTGTACCTGGAGACAATACGTCGTGCTCAACTTGATTTTGCTCATGGTCGTTTTCATGGTGGAGGGGATTCCACCAGAGATGGCGATTTTTACGGTGATCCTAGTGTCCTACGCCTTCTCCTGGATCAGCTACAGCGTGCCGCTTAGCCAGTACTGCACCAACGGGAGCATTCCCGCAGACTACAGCATCCGGGTGGAGCCCTTCTTGTTTCTGGAAAACGGGCTGGACGCCATTTTTACGGGGCTCAAAAGCAAAAACACGCTAATTTACGCAGGCATGTTTGTCCTCACGTGCGCATTTACGGAAACCAAGATCCTCGAGAAGCTACTAGGAGCTGTGATTGGGACGCCGAAAAGCCATTGGGTACAACTTACACTTTATAGAAGATCCAATCAGGAGATTCATTGTGCTGGCGATGATCTTATACCTAAAGATAAAACAAAGTGCACCTACTTCCACTTCTTCTTCCCCCATTCCTCCATTCTCCAACTCCATGAAATCAACTTCTTCCATCAGGCTGTAATTTTGCGACTGATGATCCCTGGAATGATATTGTCTTCCGTCTGCCCTAACGGACCGATGACGCAGATGTGTATGCCTCTGGCCGTTGCTATTTGTGATAAAGTGGGCATTTACTCGACGCGCACGTACTATATGGCCCTAGCTTTCGCCGTGACAATGGGCGGCAACCTGACTCTAGTCGGATCCACGCCCTGCATCTACGCTTTGAACGCCTTTAAGATGTGGGCGAAGGGAGGCGGACAAGCGCAGACGCGGCGATTTCAGATGTGCCGCGAGACGGTCGGCAAAGTCCATAATTGGCTGGACTTTGAGGACCCGCAGAGTGCTGTGAAAGTGATCAATCTTGAGGGGATGAAGCGTGCGAGGAAAATTGTCGGCATAGACGTAGTGGACGAGGCCATGAACAACTTGCGCGTTCCTGGTTTCCGGTTTACCGACGCCAACTACGAGAAGATCGTGGAATCCCAGTGTACCTTTAGCACTTTAGATCTGGGTTTTCTCACGTTGGGACTGCTGGTGGCAGTGGCCGCCTTGCCGGCAATTTGGTATGCGATATGGGTCTTCGCCAGGGAAGAAGACAAGCAGAGAGCACTGGAAAGTGAAGCGGAGAGCGGCTTGTCGGATAAAGTTCTTGGAGTAGCTGGGTCCATAGACGGTTCACCATCAAGTGGGTTGGCAATAGTGAAAGAGGAAGTAGCAAATAGAAGAGACTCAGTATCTTCGGTTCGAGAAGACACAAGATTTCGACGCACCAGTGTTCAGGTACTGATACTTACAGTTCTTCTAATTCGCATATTTTTACTGCGCAAGCTCAGGCAATAAAGGAGCCAAAGAGCAAGATTCACTAGAGCCGAAATAGAAAATGAGATTGATGAAGCAAGAGCTTCAATCGTGCTGCAACAACAATAAAGTCAAACTCACATCAACTCAAACAACAATTTCAGGCATCACTTGAGCAGCTGCAGCAAACCTCAACTGCCTCTGTCGCTTTTGCGATCCAGAATAGCACGGTTGTGAAGGAGGGCGAGGCTGCGCCTCTGCTCGCAGATCACCTAGACGGGGACGGTGACATTGACATTGAGGAAGGGCGTTCTCTGCCTTTCGGCGTCTCCGCTGCTGTGGCAGTTAGCAATAGCAACAGGAAAAACGCGTCTTCGTCGACAGTACCTGATGCCCTTCGCCGTCGTGGTACCACCACTGGTGACGCGATTATGCGGTATCAGAGCCACGTCAGTGTCATCCCTCCGAAGGCTCACGCGTCGCGGGACCGATTGCCAGCCTACGACGTGGAATTTCGTGTCACGAAAGGCGCAAAGGACCTCATCGGCAGCACGCTGCAACAGTCGGCACTCTATCGGATGAAGGGCGTAGAAATCTACCTCCACGTCGCAGCGGGGAAGAAGAAGCCACAGTTTGCGAGAACGGAGGATGAGGTATTTCTACCTATTTTAAATAAACTACATACTTAATTTTTGAAGAAGAAGAAGAACGAGCTTCTTGTGTATTTTTTGGATTCAAGGATGTATTGGTCAAAGGTTTCAACATACGTGCTTGAGATTTTCTCTGACAAGATATGCACAATCAAGAAGGTGACATGAACGAAGTGATCCACAAGGAGATGACTGGATCATTTACAACAAGGGCTTACTTCTACTTCTTTCTAATTGTTATTAAGTAAATGATAATCTATTACTGCCTGTAATTCTTGGCTCTTATGATCTCCTGCTTACCAGTTAATATTCACTCCATCTTACTTCTAAGTATCTAATATTTCACTCCATGCATCTCGACAAACTTTTACTTTCCTAAACTACACTGACTACAGCTTCATCTCGACAAACTTTTACTTTCCTAAACTACACTGACTACTCTCGACAAACTTTTACTTTCCTAAACTACCCTACAGCTTCCAGAAATGGGCGCTTTGTCAGCTTACTTTTTGGATTCGCAGAGGAGCAGTGATGGTGGAGCCGAAATGCGTGATGCGGACGACATTGTGATCGAGGGAGGCTGTATTTTAGGGGTGCGAGCGTCCGCCAAGGTGATCGGCAAGTTGTCAAGGCAATTTCACGGTTTGGTCCCCTCAGCAGACTACTACGACCTCCTCGGCAAGGGCCGCAAGCAGCGACAGATGTTCGAGGTAGTACTTTCGGACGCGTATCTGGCGAAACTGAGCGTCAAACGCTTCTTTCTAGAGCATGACGCCGTGATCCTGGGCGTCGACGCGGAGAGCCGTTTAGTGTTGGTGGAAGGGTTCTCTAGTTTCGCGGCGAACGCTTTGGGAGAGAATGTCAAACTCGTGTCCGCGGTTCCGAGTTCGCGACCACCGCGTAGCAGCACGTTGGCGGACACGCTCCGCGGCTTAGTGGCTTTCGTGGGGTTCATCGCGATTATCGGTGTGTGTGCGATTCCAGGACTGAAGGTGGGGAAAATCGTTTTAGAAGAAAACTTCCCGACCATGATCATTGGACTTGGCGTTCTACTCGTCGCTCTGCGGTGCATCACCTGGTCGCAGGCTCTAGGCAGCTTAAACGGCGGGGTCTTACTCCTCTTCGCCTTTGCGGATGCACTGCAGACGATCATGAGCACATCGGGAACGTCTCAATTTTTGGCCAATTTGATCGCCAAAGCTACTGGCGGCTCTCACGTTTTGTCGGTGTTTGGAACCGGAATTACGGTTTCGCTGTTGACCCAGTTCCTGAACAATGCGACGTGTACGCAGATGCTCTGGGACAGCACGCTGGCTTTGTGCCACAACAGCGGGATCCCGATCAAGCCAATGATGTGTCTGTTGGCGCACACGAGTGGCTACGCCTTCTGCACGCCCATCGGCATGCCACCAACGCTGCTGGTGAGAGTAGCAGGAAATTACTCCTTTTTCGACTACCTGAAAGCGGGATGGTTACTGCAGCTCATCAGCACATTGCTCTGTTGCTCTCTTGTGTCGATCTGGGTAACCTACGAAACCTCAGGCGGCGATCAGCCAAACACGCGAGTACTCTTCAACTAAATCAGATCGCAAGCGACTACGTCGATCAGCCAAACACGCGAGCAGCACTCTTCAACTAAATCAGATCAACAACATCTTCAGCGACTATGAGGACTAGCAAGAAAAGCTAAAAAAGATTCCGCACAGCACGACGTAGTAGTTGAGATCTTTCTACGACTACTAGGGCCACGAGCTCAGTAAAAAACCAGACGAACAAAACCATGACACTCTCTCCAGCAATAAGTAAGTCAGAAGTACTACTTTTTTCTCTCCGAGTAGACGTACTAGTCCGAAAAGACCGAAACACACACCATACTTGGAAATAAGTACCTAGAGGTGGAAAGACGCGGAAATTAAAAAACGGAAAGAAAGTTTGACGAATATCTCCATACAGATAATACATAGCTCACCCCTCAGATCAATATCTTTCTTGTGTAAAAAAGATTAGAGGGCATATGATATACTTACAACACTGAAAGACAACGGATGATTGACCATGAAGCAATGACATACTTGTAAGTGATATCTATGAAAATCTGTTATAGTCCTTTATTTTCATAACCCATCAACATCATGATTTTGAATCGTGGCTATCCATATCACACCACACTCACGCCATGATCTTGGGATGATATAATTTTCTTGTCGGGCTCAGGGCAATCAGGGTCGGATTTTCTTTAGCTATAGGTCGTCTTCGCCGGACGACTGGCAGCTTCGCATTCGCCACCTCGCTTGTAATATTTGGGAACATGATACTTAACTTAACCTGTAAGCAACCTTAACCTTAACCTCTTTCTTAGTTCAAGTTCGAGTTCGAGATCTATCTTAACCGCAAAATGTAGACAGAAGAGACATCCGAAAATCTAACGATGGACGAGGTTTCGAATACTAGAACCGGGGTAGAAGTAACTGCTCCGTTTCTCGTTGAGCAATTTCATTCGTACCTTCCTAATGAGATTGGGTTTTTTTTTGTGAAGTCAATTGCTCGAGGACAACTACAGTTTTCATCCGTCGCGCTTGAAGGTACTCAGTCAATTAGCCTGTTTTCTCTGGTTAAAACTGATAGAGCCAGATCACGTACTTACTTGGATGAATAACCGGGACCATTATCAAGATGAGGATTGTTGTAGGCAGATTTTTTCAACATAGTTCTGGGGGAAGAATATCAAAAAATGAAAAATTTATATTTATTCGATTAAAGAATCGCTTGAAATTGAATCGTAGAAGTATCTAAATATAACCTTAGAGACAGGTTTATTTAGGCGCAAACTACGCACTTTGTTCGTGATGTCATGAATACTTAAGGGTTTTAGAAAACGTGTATTTGTAATTATTATTTGAACGTATCTACTTCTATATTGGTCCCACGAATTATACATAGGGATCTTCCGTATACTTAAATAATTAGGATTGAAACTACGTACTACACATAGTATGTATGTTCTATCGTTATAATTTAGAAGATATCCTAATAAATCTTAGGCAGCTCGCCGAATAGATTCAAATCATCAGATAACCTAATAAACCTCTTAACTACTTGACCATAACCGGTGATGAATTCGTATGAGAAAAGTGTGTATGATTGCTGTCGTAGGACAGCGTGTTGACCAATGACGATTACCACATATGATCCCCGAACTCCACAGCTTCAAGAAACCACGACTTCTACTACCTACTTTATTTATACCTACTTTTATACCTAATTTTATACCCACTTTTATACCTACTTTTTACACCGCCCGACAACTTACTTACGACCCGACACTTCTACTACCAACTTATATACCTACTTTTTATACCGCCCGACAACTTACTTGCGACCCCAAATCCACGACTTCCTTTTCCCTAAAATCCAAAATCCACGATTTCCCCTCAGCAACCCTAAATCCACGATTTCCTCAAGAATTGAATACCAAGAGACAATTTAGCCTTCTCCTTCATATGATTGTAGTCAACAAGTATCCTACGGTCAACAAATATCCTACGATGTTGTGAATCTCCAGAAGGAGATGTGCTGGGCAAGCCTCGCAACGTTGGTTTCCAACCTGGTCGTTTGGCCCATTGTGGTTCATCGCTGTGGTTTGGCCCACTGTGTTAATTTAGTCCGCACTGTCAGTGGTCTTGTTTGGATCGACTAAATCTTTGAAGCAAGCCAGTTACGGTACTCTAAGTACTTATCTGAGAGAGACAGGCACAGCGGCGTGAAGATATGAAAAGATGGCTATCGAGTTCATCGAGGAGTGAAGAAAGTACAAGCGCGAAAGTTTATCCCAGTCTAAAGCGGAAAGGTTAAGGCGCCAGTAGTGTACAAATGAGGACACAAGCTACTTGTTAGCCAGGATCCAACTCGAGAATACTACAACAGTCCTGCATACGCAGACACGACAGAAGATCAGAAGAAGAGTACCCATAGATACCCATAGACATAAATTTATGTAGTTTATATTAAATTACTCTGTAACTACTACGTCTGCAACAAGGTAGAGGTGAAGCAAGAAAATGGCATCTGCATCCCCCCTGGTCTCGGTCGGAGACCAGTTGCATCTGAGCCGATCGAGTTTGTCCATCGACAACACGCCAGTATCATGGAGGCAATCACGCGCGCGATTTGTGATTCTGGGCATGGCAGCACTGATGATGTTCGGGAGCTACTACTTCTTCGACCAATGCTCAGCTAGTGAGGATGGAGTCAGTACTTCAACTGCTTCTGAGGTTGCTAGTAATCTGTGAGGTTTTTGATAAGTGAACAGGCCAACGCCTAAACTACTAAGCCAACTGCGCAATTGGCTTAGTTTTACCTACCTGAAAGAATGTTGCTACTATTTTTACCTTGTGACATTTCGATTCTGTTACCTACCTGAAAGAATGTTGCTACTAGAGATGCTGGTGGCAGCGTGAGTGAATGAATGAATGAATTCGATTCTGCCTTCCCTCGTTGTTGAGCCTATTTGTGGTGGTGTAGGTTTTAAGGCTGTTTAGAGTATTAAACTAAAACTTCGTTACCTCAAGAAGTTGAGCATGCTATTTTTTTATCAGGAGGCGGGCAAACTCCATTTCTTTTTGTCTTTACTATGCTGCTAACACGAACAAGTTTGAAAGACTTGAAGCCGATGTTGAAGATCTCTTCAACCGCCCCTCACTACACTTCTCTCTTTTACAACATCCTCAACTACGTCACACTTCCACCACAGTCGCCAAGCTGGGTATCACGGAAACGCAATTTGGCTTACTCCAGAGTGTGTATTCGTGGCCAAACACATTTTTACCACTTTTTGGGGGTCTTGCGATCGACTATTTCGGGATCCGGAAAAGCCTCATTCTGTTCATGTCCTTAGTCTTCCTTGGTCAATTTGTCTACTCATTGGGCCTTGCGCAAAGCAGTTTCACAGTGTCGCTGTTTTATGAAAGGATGTTGGTTGATGTGAAGATGGTGATGTGTTGATCAACATTTAAAAAGTTTCGACAAGATTAGACGTAGCGGTCGAAACAAACGTCAGACTGCTGTCCGGGTTCTTCATGGTGAAAAACGATAGTCGTTATAGTAGACATAGACATAGTTGTCGTGGAGGTTGGAGGTCATCCTTCCACTAGAACTAAGGTTCCTGCGGAACTACGTCATAGTTGTCCTGGAGGTTGTAGTTCATCTTCGAAAGCTCAAAATAACCGAGTTACTAACTGAAATAAGGGAGGCAGCTTAACATCAAGGCTAGCCTTCCTTCTCATCAGTATCTCGGTTATTCTGATCAGTTACTTGCTTATTTCAGTTTTTCGAATGCGTGGACATCAAGTCCCCCTTCATATCCTAGGACGCGTTATCTTTGGCCTTGGTGGTGAGAGCCTGAATGTCGCTGGATTGGCGCTAGTAGCTCTGTGGTTTCGTGGAGCCGAGCTTGCTTTCGCAATGGGCATGATAATCTGCGTCTCTCGACTCGGATCAGTCGCAGCATTCAACACTCAGGAGCATTAAGGGTAGGCTTTTTTTTTACTGTTCCTTAGGTGTTTTTGTTACACTGTTAATATTTTTGCATCTACTTTTTACTTACTCGTTTTAGGGGGAAAGAGACATCATATTCATCATTCAATAGAATAAGAATTACATGCATCATATTCATCATTCAATGGAATAAGAATTTAACGGGGACCGAAAACCAAAGCAAGAACAAAGACGAAGACCTACCTGTTCTAAGAACTGTTGATCTCATCAGTGGGCGTCGCACACGCAAGTTTCGTAGGAACGGCAATAATGGGTTTTTCTTACCTGAACTGCATCTTCGTTTGCTTCATGGACAAGAGGGCGGACAAGATCGATGCAAGAGAGGGACCAATTAAATTATGAAGAAATTGAAATAATTCGTGCAGAAGCACACACAGCTTCATCACGTAGAAGTAGCTACTTTTGATTCTAGTAATTGCTACTTGTTCTACATTCTTTCATGTGTTTTCAGCTGGGAGGCCCGCCAGCAACGTAGATCCTACCTTTGCTTTGTAACAAACGACCGCTTAATCTCACAATAGTTTGGATCTACTTCTTCTAACTCGCGCTCCCCAGAGGAGAAGCACCGCGGCTGCTGCTGGGGAAGAAGGCGTCGTCCCCGCTCCTATGGAGGAAGAAAACAAGTCAGACGCAGTAGACTTCAAACAAATATTAAGGCTACAATAAATGCATCTTCCCTGCTGGCATATTCTTGGTCCCGTTATTCTCAAGGGAAAACGGGAGGCTGTCAGGATGCTCACCAAGATGGATTCATGTAAATTCTAAAAATAGCGAACTTGGGCTTGCCATATTGGCTTATCACTTTCTCCTGCGTCACGGTTTACATATCCGCATTTCCGTTTTTTCAAGTCACCAGTGTCTCGTTTCTCAAAACGAACTTCAGCTTCTCGTACTTTTTACGTGTTTTTCTGATTTTTTCAATTTTCAAGGGAACTAACTGCTACACAAGGAACTCTACTTCCCTCTGGTCTCAAATAACTGCTACACAAGGAATTCTACTTCCCTCTGGTTTAGTAAAAACAACAACGCCCGCTTTTATTGACGTGTCCCCCATTGTCCTAGTTCCTTCTCAACGCTACCGACACCCCCATCCATTATATTAAGGCTGTACCTAATACATCTTTGGGCGCATCCTTGAAACTACGTATGGAGGAGTATCCTAAGGGAATACTCCCCCATACTTTTCAAGGATGCACTTGAAAGATGAATGGCGGACAGCTCTAATTATACTTTTGAATCCCAACTTGCCACATCAACAGGGGAAGCGAAGCAAATTTCATAACGAGTATTCCAAATCTTGTATCCGCGTTTACAAGTCCACTATTTGGCCTCTTTGTCGATCGCGTGGGAAAGCGACCGTTTTTTATGATCTGCAGCACTCTCGCTTTCATCACCGCGTTCCTGATCTTTATCGGCTATGGTATTTCTGTTGAGTCGTATCATTGGTTGTTTGTGTCGTGTGTGGACGTTTTTTGATTTTTGACGTGACACTTGTACGCTAAAAATGCTTGTTGAGTACATCAGCTAGTCCCCACACGACTTCATTGAGATCAGCCAATGCTCCTAGGTGCTGGCACATCGCTCTGGATACAACCTACTTCAACCCTTCTCCCCAACTTCATTTACTCGAAAACTGAAAATAAGCGAGTAGCTAACTGAAATAACCGAATATGTGAGAAGATTGCTCTTTTCAATTAAGTACTACTATTTATCAAATGGTTCGAATTCCACATCACGACGCTCCAGGTAGCAGCTGTCACCAATGCTGGTCCGTTTTGGCCGTGTACGTGCTGCTTGGCTGCGCGTTGTGCCTATTTGGATCGGTGATGTGGCCCTGCATCCCACTAGTGGTGGACCAAAATTCGGTAGGAACGGCTTTTGGGGTGACAACAGCGGTCCAGAATCTCGGTCTTGGATTTGCGCCACTGGCATTCACTTAAGGCTTGTTTTGTAGAAGCAGAAGGACAATGACTTTTTAGAAGGTACAATTAGGCTGAATTACCTCAACGCTATTTGACCACGTAGCTTAAGAAGACACATGACATGACAACACACCCTAACCTTGATCTTCTCAAATGCATACTGTTATTATATATAGGAACACCTCGATTTTGATTCTAATCACATGCCTTAAAAGACGGTTCAGGTGGTTCTTTCGCGGGAACCTTTGCCCTTATCATTGCAAGCAACGCGCTAGCGCTAGTCTCGGGTCTGTATTTGAGACACCTCGACAAGACCAGTATGGGGCAAAAATTGGGAAAGCCCTGATGATATGGAAGCTGTCATGAAGAACTTGATGATAAGAGTCCGCGCTACAACAGATGTTATGGAAGTTATCATGAAGAACTGTTACACTGTACCGTCCTTTGGTTTTCATCTCCAGCATGTTGGTTCAGCCAACACCTGTAATTGCTTTTCCTTTTGCTACATGATGTATTACGTACTATGCGACAGCCATAGGTTTTGATGTCATGACAATTCGACGCACGGATAATCTCTGCTCATCGAGGGAGTTCTCGGGAGGTGTATCTCAAATGAATCATGCGCACACGACGCATAACTTTCATCGAGTTAGATTGGTCGTGCCTAACTCTCGCTTATTGTAATTCAAACGGGTAAACATTATTTAATCGTCTTGTTTTCATATGTCAATGTTGTCTATGTCTTTCGCTTCATACAACTGGGGGGAAGTCATTTTTATCCCATCGTATTTTCCTATTCCTTGGTAATATGGTAAAAAGGTAATGAAAATGATCTAGGTAGATTTATCTACTGAGTTAGCATATCTAAATATTTTTTGTTGGGTTTTGCTATCGTATAAATATGGAATTTCTGCCATGCAAGCGAAATTCCGATTCCCACAATCTCAACTGAATACTTCGAGGGGCTACCATCAATTAGTAAGTCTTGTCATGAAAAATTTTTGATTTTGATATGGAGTTTGCTTTGTGGATTGGTGAAGATAAGCATCATAAACATAGTCGGGGGGAGCTCAAGTTTTGTTTCTCATTCTAAATTCTAGAACTACACCAAGTCGGAGTCACCTATCACTACTTCGAGAGCGGTCTTGCCTCTGCGGAATGCGAAACGCGATGCTGATATTAGCACTCTGGGTAGCAATCATTGCGCGTGTCGTTTGTTGATGTAGGTCGGCCATAATCATGTTCGTGTAGTTGTAGCCGAGCGCGCTCCTGCGCCAGTGCAGCAAAGAGTATCAGAGGGGTGTGCACTCGTGTAAGTACTTATGCAATCAGAGTGAGCCGTGCCGTGAAAGAAAAGCAAACAAGAAGAAAAAGAGGGAGAGTTGTACTAGTATGAGGCAACCTTCTGCGGCTAGATTCTAGAAAAAGAAAATGTTGAAAGCGCAAAACTACGAAGTCATGACGACTCCGTGACCACGAGATCAAACCCCGGATTTTGATCCATTGCATCATTTCCTTTTCCGATGCTTTTCTAAGAAACAAATCAAATCAAGAAGAAGATATATCAAGGACCACTTCGACAAACCTTCGTAGTACGATTAATTATACCAGACGGAGGCTCTTGAGGTTGAGCCGCCACTTTGATTATACAACTAGTAGTGTGCCATTACTACTGTAGTACAGGTACAGCAACAAGTACAAAGCAACATGGTGTTGATCGAAGAGGTTGAGTCGCCACGTGCGAGCGACCGCAAAGATGAAGGGAATGCCTTCTTCGGCAAAGGCAGGCACGATGAGGCAATCGATGCCTTCTCACAAGGAATCCGAAAAATAAACGACAAATCGCTACCGGACCCAAGTGTTTTGTACTTATGGTGGAGATGTTCTTCTACTTGTACTACAGGATCATCCTCCTAACCGTCACGGTTCAACTGCTAGCGTCTTGACTTAGTCATGTACCCTCTCAGAACTTATCTCTACGGATGTCAGGAGCGGCATTATCATTTAGTTAATAACCTCCAAACTTCTAACTTTCTCGAATCGAGCAATGTGCTACATGAAGCAAGAGGACTATAGACGGGCGCTCTCTGATAGCAATGACGCGATCAAACAGAACAAGGGAAACGCTAAGGCTTGGCATCGCAAGGTAGTTCTTTATTACGTGACTTTGATCGTTATTCAGATTATTTTTGTTCTAGAGCCGAGCTAGCTCTTAATCCTTGATTAGTCACTGTCTAGACTTTTCTCTTGATATGACTTTGACTTCTATCAACAACCGCAAGATCTTCTGCGATTCTTGTGAATGAATTTGATCTATTCGTCATGTTGGATTCAGTAGAAAATGACTTGTCACCCGTAGAGAAGATGCGTACGAAACTGACAGCCAGAGCAAGATGGAGGTACGAAATAACCGCAATAAGTTAGTAGAGCCAGATGGAGGTACGAAATGAAAACTCTTGAATATCGTTCCTTTTCCTCAGGGTCAATGTCTCGCGAAACTTGGACGGGTTGAGGATGCGAGAGCAGCTTTTCAGAAATCCCTTGAGGTGGCTCCTCAGTCTCTACGTGCGAGTATCGAGAGCAGTATCAAGGAGCTTCCAGCGCCGGTTGCTACAACTAGTAAAGATGCCAGTGGAGACGGCGCTGAGGCGAATAAATCAAAAATCTCTAGTAGTGAGTCTGTTTCTGCATCGAAAAATACTACGACAACAGCTAGCACGAAGACTAAGACTCCTGCCGCAGCTGGTGTAAAAAATACTACTGCAGCAGCAACGAGTACTAGTACTACCGCAACATCAACAAAGAAAAGTGCGCCAGCATCGTCGACTAAGACGGATCCATCTTCCGCTGAATTTGCGCATCCGGGAATTAAGATTCAGTATGTGCCGGGAAAAGGACGAGGCCTGGTCGCAACGAAGGAGATCAGTCGAGGCGAACTCATCATATCGGCGTCACCGGTCTTCACTGCGAAAAAAATCGATGCAAATTATGATGAGATGTTCACATACTCACACTCACTATTTCAAGAAAACTCTGCGTAGGCTAAATTTCTAGAAGTAGATCAACAAGTGAAAGTGAAAAAATTAGTTGCTCCTCCGTACTAGCTGCTTTCATCGCCTGTCCAAGGTCGCCTCCATGCTGAACGCGAACCAGTTGAAGGAAGACGACGCCCGACTCATGTTGCAGTTGCATGCGGAGACAGCCAACAACACCATCAAGCAGCAGGTGTTGAAACGGGACGATTTGCCGATTTGCCCAAGCGTCGATGGAATTTTGATGCGTGACCGCAAGAAACCGATAACGAGCGACACTGCGGATCGTCTTACGAGCACGATAGTCGCTGAAATCTTAGACGCAAATGCATATGGTATCGTATCTACTTACTGATGAATTGAAGAAACAGGAGAGGTGATTGCGTTTGGTTGATGATGTCGTCGAGGATCGTGGGTGACTGTATTTCCTCGAATATGATGAACTTCTGCTTTTGTGTCGATGGAGGTCTCCGTCTCCTCAACCAAGAACCTCAGAACAATTTCATGTTCCCCTCTTCCATCAGGTTTCGACGACGGGCTAGATAATGTAAACACTGGCACTGGTGACGAGTGCGGCCTGTGGATCCTGCCTTCGTTTGTGAATCATGGCTGTCTTTCCAACGTAACGAGGCGTGTTCGGAAGGAGACGATGCAGTTGGAGATCCGAGCGGGGCGCGATATAGCCATAGGCGAGGAACTCGTGACCACGTATTGTTCAGATGCATCTATTTTCTCTGATGCGTGGTTTTTCAAATTCAGTTTCAGATCTTTTTGATTTTGATCGATAAAGCTTTTATTTAGAGGTTTATAAGTCTACTACGTACTACGTAGGCTCTTCTGGTTACAACTCGTGGTCGACTGTTCCCAGTCATCAGTGCACACGATATACCCATAGGCGAGGAACTCGTGACCACGTATTGTTCAGATGACAACATGTCGCGTGCAACTACTCTATGGTTTGTTGATCATATGCTGCTGCACTACAACCTTACTTCAACAACTCCAAAGAATTTAAATTTTAACTTCAGTTGACGATTATGATCAAGAAGTGATTAATTGATTATAGCTGTGTTGTGATATATTTTATGGTCAGCTTTTTTCCATTTCATTCTCAGCATCTTGGTCTCCTTTTCCCTTTTATTCTCGTGAAATACAAGGTAAAAGGGGTCAAGATGAGGGGGCCGAGATGCAATCTAGCAGACTCTAAATATTTCTTGCTCCACCTTCTCCCTAGGTATTGCGCCACGACCAACCCCGTCCATTTGCGGGATGCTGCTTTGAAGGCCTATGGCTTCGTCAGCCAGGATTTGCGTTGCCGACTGGAAAGGGCCATCGTGCCCAAAGCCGAGGCCGAGGCTTGGTGGGCTGAGAACACCAAGATCAGTCAGAGTATCAATCTACAGAAGCTTGAGGAGACACAAGCGGCATTTGGAGCACTCAAGAGCAAAATCGAAACGAAGCTGAAACAACTCCTTGTAAGCAAGAAGGCTGTCTTGGAGCGAGAGGGGTGCTCAGACCGCATACACGAAGTCTTCGACTGGCTACGAGCGAGCTATATGTCGATTTACTACGGGGAATTATGGCATGATCTTCAAGGTTGGCTCGGGTTTTTTTAGTTGTTCTGAGTAAACTACATCATCTTGTAGTTGTAGCAAGAACATTCGTCATCTTGTTGCTGTATTTTTGTCTCTACTTCTTGTTGTAGTATGCAGAAAAGCAAAAATTCGTTGATCTTCATTCAAACTCAACAACTACTCGAAAGCTCAAAATAAGCGAGTTACTGACTGAAATAAGGGGGGTAGCTTAACATCAAGGCTACTCATCTTCCTTCTCATCAGTATCTCCCTTATTTTCAGTAGTTACTTGCTTATTTCAGTTTTTCGAATACATGATACACTTACACACGACAACTAAGAAGTACATCAGGAGCGGCCATCTCTTGCTCTTCTAAGGATTGCAATTGGCGCTGAGCGGCTGCTTGGCATGAAGCCTGGTTTGTGCGATGAAGCGGAGGTCAGCTGTCTCTTCCGTCAGGCAGCAACACTGGCGGGCACTGTTTTCCCGAGTAATCCGTACGAGACTCACTTCATCTCACGAGCGGCGGGTGGAACCTCAGAGGCGCAGTATATTTGGCGCTGCTACGCTGGAGGCGGCAAAAAAGAATTTACCGAAAGGTATCCAGATCTTGGTGGAGAATATTCTCCAAGGAAGCCTCTGAAATGGGTCAAGTCTGTGGCGACAAAAGGTACAGCTATCAGATACTTACTCTTTTCGGCTATAATATGTCGTCCTAGTCACAGGAATTAACATGACAAGAACCACGGATGGGAAGCGACATGGAAAAATTACTTACTCACATTACTTACTCACATTACTTACTCACATTACTTACTCACATTACTTACTCACATTACTTGCTCACATTACTTGCTCCCACTCACTACACGCACCACTCCACTTCCACCCTCCACAGGTTTTCCATCCTTGTATCGCTTAGAAATCAGCGAAGCACCCTCTGACAGCGCCAAAGTCGAGGTATCAGAGCGTGAAATCCGCATCTCCTTCGGCGCAGAGAAACGATATGCAACCCTCCCTGTGGACTGCAACAAGCTTCTGGGCGTAGAGGCTGTCCGCGACCCGAAAACTGGAAGTTTGGTTATCACTATGGGAATCAAACGCGGAGCATGGTCCAACAGAGCAGCGGTGGCAGGGTCGTGAGCGGAACATGATTCATGGGAGCAGCTGTGGCAGGGTCCTGAACTTCCACATAAGTATTCTCCATTTTGAGGAGTTGGAGTCACTCAGTGATTGTCTACTATGTCTGTGTCGCCACCGCGCTGAAGCAGCTCTGTAGGAAGGAGCATTATGATACTTCTACTGGGCATGCAAATGCGTACCGCTACTGGTAGCAACAAGACCTCGGCTCATCAGAAACATTGATGGGTGAGATCCAAAAACCTTTCATGTGATTTAACATGGTTGTGGTTCTTCAAGGATTCAAAGGACGATTTTCATGTAGTTATTCTCGATGTTTTACGTTGTTAACGTGTAGTTAGTTCTTTTTTTCAAAATAAGGAAATGTCATTGTGATTCGGCCCATAGGATAATGATTTCGTTGAAACATTCGGGCAGAAAACAGAAGAAGATGTACCTTCTAAAAATTTTGTCGTCAAGAAAGTTTTGATTTTGTGTTAGTAAGAAGATGAATGTCCGGCGAAACTCTGAACGACAGTGTTCTGAATAATTTCAGGCTAATTTGAGTCGCTAGGACTTAGCGTTAGATGGTCTACGGAGGACGGGTTTCTACTAGTGGTCTTGCAAATATATGCTCATACCTAGAAATATCACAAGCTGGCCTTCTGGTACTATAGGCCCGACAAGGGTGATCGGTGACCTAGTCCTAGTGTACTATCTTCGATGAAGTCTGTGAGGCTATCTGTAAATCACTCTCACCGAAGGAACTGGCTGCAAGGGAAACACCCTTGTCGTGACACAGTGATATGAAACACTCCCTGCGTGCTCCCCGTGTTTGCCCGAAAACGTTTTTACATTCTTTCCTCTTAGACATTCTGGTTTTACGACCTGACCTTGAATTAATGTTTGTACCGTCATCCTCTCAACACTTCTTTCTCCTTTCCTATTTACCTTTCCGTCCTATCTGCTGTTAATCTTTGTCTCCTACTACATGAAGATTTCGATCATCTTTGGGTCGGCAAGTTCGGATATTGCGTTACTGATCTCAAACTCTTTGAGTACTACCTAGTGTCAATTTCTTTTAGGTCGTTTTTAACTACATAGACCTTGTACTTACATCAAACACAAACAGTACTAGACCACCAGGATCACTATGCCTGCTGATGTTCATTCGTCGCCTGCGGGAAAGCAACACGTTTCCGCGCCTGAGGTTGACGTAACGCCGAAAAATCTGCTTTCGGATCTGAAGAATTTCGTAGCGGATAAGGTTATGGCTGTCCGTTTCTAGCAGTAGCACTATGCACTTCTTTAACTTTGATGATGACTTCTTTGTTGATAGATTAACTAGGCAGTTACTTGTAATTGCTACGTGGTTCGAATGAATGAATGAATGAATGAATGAATGAGTCTTTGGTCTCCGCTGACGTTCTTGATGAGGTTCATGTTCAAATGCGGTTTAGGAGCTGCGTAGATGTTGAATAAGAATAACCCATCTTCTAACAAGGGCACGATCATGAGCGCGATATCTGAGCACGTGCCGTTTCCAACGGCCTCGTCATTGGAGTCAACAATAGGGACTGTCAGGAACGGCGACCTTATAAGGAACGCCCTGAAGAAACTGGATGCGGATGGAGACGGAAATCTCAGTCTCGAGGAACTAGAAAATGCAGGAAAAGATGCATTCAAAAAGTTGGAGGAAAAATGGCTACCAGTAATATTTGATAGTATCTTCATGTCGTAGAAATGAAAGTTTTCATGGTCTTTAACATAGACGTCGGTTGTACTATCTCGGAACAAAGACCATCTATGACGCCCTTATGGCAGTCTGCACTGAACTTTGTGCGAGATCAATTGTATTGCAGTGTATTGCATTGTTGTATCGAAGCAATTCGTTGCACCAGAAAGTTCTTGTAACTTCTACGTCAGAACTGACGTACAAGTGAAAGTTTATGTAGTGTTGTCATGACACTGAAAGTGGAAAAGTGAGAATATTACGTACCTACACAAATAACACGACATTGACATTGACTCCTCCTCCTCGTCCAACAAGGTCCGCGCATTTTTGGTGAAGCATCGGGATAGTGCGGAACTAGGTGTGGGATATCTTGCAGCTTTCTACGGAGGGAACTTCAAATTCCTCTTCATGGCGTCAAATCTGGCACAAGGAACCGAGGGCGGCGACGCCTTGTCCAGCTTCCACGAACTCCTACAGGTCACCGCAGAAGCAAAGGAGAGATTCAAGAAAAAATTAGGCAAGGGTCACGTCTTGATCAAGACGGGAACAGGTAGGCTGCTATTTTTTGAATGACTGACCATTTTGATCTAGATTTACTGTGTAAGTAATTTCCATTGCCTAATTTCCATTGCGTATGTAGCTTGGGTAGTTCTTTGACCGGATATACGTGGCCGTTCGCGTTGTAGAAGTACCACTTTCAGTTGATTTAAGTATATCTTCAAGTAGGCACTTCTACCTGCATGTATTTAAAGTTTATAAGTTCCGAAACCAACTCAACGCAACCACTTATTTCCTGCAGTTTCGGAGCTGTCATCAGCGGCACCGGCACAGGGTGGCGAGGCTGCAGGGGAGCAACCAGCAACAAGCGCGCCGTCGATTCCGACCTCGACTGTGATGGCTTTTCTCAGCACAGTAGTTATGGGACAAGATGTAGCGGAAGAAACTACTAGTTCTAGTAGGTAATGACTATGGCTAGTTTGTTCTAGTAGGTAATGACTATCACTATGGTTAGATCTAGATCATTTGCATGAAGTGGTACATTCTTGGATTTATTAATAATCATGATTCTTTCACCTCCACCTCTAACAACAACCCTGCGAAATTGGTTGAGTGCATGACGAGTGTGTACAAGGCGTTTTTGATTGCCCTTTGTGCAGCGCTGAACAACAACGCAGCAAAATTCGGTTTAGGGCTTGCACTAGGAGAAAGGATATCTACGTTTCTTCTGGCAGTGGCGGATAAGATGTTGTTGAAAGTGGAGGAGTCGCCGGATCTGCACGCAGGTGTAACGGCTCTGCTGAGTCAAGGTCAACAACAGGCAGCGCAGCCGACCGAGGGAGAAAATCAAGAAGCATTGGTAAGCGCAATTATTCGAGAGGACTGAATAAACTGGTGTGGTAATACTTCAGACTTTTTAGATGCCAGTTTTGTACAACTCGATAGGATGGTTTTGTAGGATTTGCCAGGACCATGAATTAGAACCAGTACAAAATTAAGATATTGAGATTTTTCCACTGATCAGCATACCGAGGAAATTGAAGATACTCATTTTATTAACCCGAACCATCAGCCGCCGAAAGCTACGCCAAGTACCATGACCTTAGTTGTGGATCGAAGCCAACTTTCAGACGCGGAGAGGGAACAGCTGCTACTGCAGAAATTTCCTGCGTGGCAATGGCTGAAACTGGGTCTTCGATCTCTTTGTTCCACCTTGGGACTTTTTCTTTATGATTCTTCGTCTGTAGTCCTCCTAAACCTAAGATGAAGTGGATGCATCTTGAAAGCGATCTCTATCAATCTCCATTGATTTAATGTGAGCTCTTTTCCTCCTCCTTTTCATATTTCGTCTTGGCGATTGAAGGACGCAGCAGCAACGTTTAGTGTGTGTCATTGGGGTGGCTCTCGCATTGCAGGGGCAATCTTCAAGATGATGAATCACAGCGACCGAGCCTTGCAAGAGATGGTTGCTCTGGGCATCGGTTGGTACGGATTTGCTTTCCATCTGCGCCACTTGAACCGACCGTCGCTGCCACTGCTGGTGTCGGTGCCAATGCTGCCACTGACACTGATCGAACGCATTCTGGAAGGTCTCACCTTGCATAAGGAGCTTAGCTAAACTGGAGGGAAAACAACTACAGCTACACTTTTCATACATGGATTAGAAATTCATATTCCTCATAGACTTTTTTTGCTGAAAGCCGCGTATTTTCCCAATGGAGTTACTGAAGAGACTACAACGTGTTTAGAGAAATTTTTGGACAGCGCTATTCAATAGCCTAAGAGAACCACGACTACGTACACATAATATTGAAAGAAATTAGAAGCGAGGTACGCCGTACGCGCTCAATATATGTGCAAGCAGAAACAGCCTTTGCACCGCAAATAGGGCCGTAGAAGACGTTGTCAAATAATTGATGAGCTGTAGAAATAAAATGTACAAATTCATAACAGGATCGATTCCACGTCCACAATTTTTCCGTTTTCGATATAGAACTAGTGACTGAACAGTCTACTGAACAGAGGCTGCGCATACTTCATACTACCACGGACAGCACTTCATAAGATAAAAAAGATGTTGAGAACATCAAGGAAAAACTAAGAAGTAGTCTGTCCCCTCGATGTAGAAGAGCATCGATCTGCGGCGATTTACAACTTCTGCGGGCTGATGTTGTCACAACCAATTTTCGTGTCAAGAATAAGTAGAGTCCTCCTGCCTTCTCGTTGATGTACATGTACCTTGATGTGGTCCTCATCACTCTGTATCCCTTTCTCGGTACTAGTACAATCAATCTGGAGCAGCTTGTAGCACTAGATGGATAACCTCAGAATAGAAAGATGAAAGCAGACTGTTGAATTATCTGCTAGATACTTACTCGGTTGCGCCATAAGAGGCGGTTCTCTGTCTCTCCCAGCTCATTCTGTTGAATAAAGCTCATTCTGTCTAGACAGGAGCTTACGAGATGAACGGAAATGCTCTGAGTTACCCCTGGCTTTTAAGCACGAACACACGTTTTTTGGAAGTAAACGCGTGCCGGCGTTACTCATGCCATAGCGCTATCGGTTCTCTGCCGCGTCTCTACTCGGGTCGCAACGGAATCAGGCAGCGAGGGTTGTCACGTGATTCGCAAATGAATGAGTGAATGTAATTGTAAGGCAAGAAAGGTATGCTGTGGTCGGAGATGTCAAGGCGCAACTCGTGCTTGAATCACTGTATGAAACTAGTGTAGGGATAGGCATAAAACGTCAACGAAGCAGGACCTCCTAAGATGACTCGACGAAGTTGCTTCGATCTTCGACATCAGCAGTCGTGCTACAGGAGCTACAATGTGGGAACAGCCAGAAGTTCCTGTTGCGACATCAAATAAGTCGTCTTCACAGCCTCAAGCAGCTGCTCGAGCATTGCGTGGCAACGTGGTGCGACGTCGTAGCGACTGCTGCTGGTTCGCTGGATTCTATCTTGGCCTGACTTAAGATAATTGTCGATAAAGTAAGATAGTTGCTAGAAGAAGTTGTTCCTTCCTCTTGATGAGACCTCTCGACTTCTCGCGTCCTAGTCGTCGTTAAGTCTACATCTTCGTGTTGTATCTTCAATCTCTCATGACCTAACTTCATTCTCCTCAACAAATTCCACAAAAAACTCTCAACCTTAGAAGGTACAACAACAATAACAACAACAACTACTACTGGCTCGCTGGATTCTATCTTGTGCATCTTCTACTTTCTGCAGACCGCCTTTGGGATTCCTGTGGTTGTTTTTCTTAATAAATTGGTTGGTTTTCTTTGTGCTTCTGGAAACCTCGAATGGCTACGGGACCGATGCTTTCCAAGCAGTTGCGGACCATAGTTCTCAACTGCGCGTTGCTTCTCGAAGATAGTTGCTAGAAGAAGTTGTTCTTCTGCTTGCAAACACATTTCACATTTTTTTAATGTAAAAAATCTGCTTCTTCATCGGCGTTGCAGATACTCAATGAAAGTGAATCCTCTCTACCTCTACGACGTCTCTACGACCAAATCATCAACAGACAGCCTCATCACTAGGACTCTCCGCATAACCCTGAGGGCTTTCTTGTTCTGCAGCATGTGAGAGAAGCTTTACTGTGCGTAGTGGGGTTTGAGCTCACCTGGTACATCCAGCATCGTGGTTTGCATGATAATAAGGCTGTGGTTTATCACGATCCCTTGTGGACTATGCTGAGGGGGGTCCCCCTTGATTTAAAGGGGAAACTAAGGGGCAAAAAGGCGAAACCACTCGACTCGGGATAGTGAAAAACTACCTTTAATGATAACAAGTTTTTGTGGAACAAGCTTGCCCATGAGTATCATCACCAATGGCGAAAACCAGAACACATGATGGGAGTCACCAATTTCGCGCTCGACCACGTCTTATGTGATGTTGGAGCTACTTAGTAGCTTCAGGTGTTCATCATGATTTGGCGTGGTTTGTGTCTAGTAGTTGTTGGGAAGTCGCCTGGTAGTTGTGGAGGCCGTCAAGACAGGCCTCAGGAGGATCCCTGAACCACGAGTGAGCCAAGCCGACGAGCATTGACGAACAAAAGCTACGTACTTACCTTTTTCTGCTCGCGTCATTCAACCCGACGCTGATCTCCCCGATCCATCTGTGGACCATGCGTGTAATCGGTTTTGCATATAGAATTTTAACCGTTTCTTGCGCACATTTCGACGGTTTTCCGATCCAATACCATCTCAACTTTTGTGGCTAACAAACTACCAACGATCCCTACTTGGAGGTAACGAAGAATTTTAGGATTCATTTGCCCTTCTTGGGACCTATCAGCCAGGCAGTTTCTTCCCATCGACCGATGCAGCACGCTATCCGGGGTCCAAGCGTGAAGATGATACGACCGCTGTAGACCACACCGGTGAAGCTGCGGGAAAGGAAAATGAGTGAGAAAGAAGTAGAGTACTTACGTAATATTTACTTGAATTGTTGATTAAATATGCACACTATATCCGCTTTGCGTTCTCGTAAGTACGAGAAGATATATCATGTATGTACGATGTTGATTACAGAGCTGGTGTGCTGGCTGTACAAGCTTGGGGCAGCACTGTTTATGGTGCTTCTCTGACGCCAAGCGAGCAATGTTTGCTCCTCCTCTAGTACTATCCAATTTTGTCATATAGTTTTCAAAATTTTGCGTGGTGAACAGAAAGATTGGGAAGAAGATCATCATGAGAAATACAGAAGAAGATCTCCTTCCACGTGGATGAATATAAGGCTCAAAGTCTACTTAACAAGCAGGCCTACATCCTCCAGCTCCAGTATATTATTTTGTTGATTGTATTTGTTTGTGTGTTCATTTGTAATTCACGATCCTGATCCAATCCCAATGAAGAAATTGGCATATCGATCAAACAACCTGACTGTTCTTATGTGGAGAAAAGCAGAAAGAAATTCGAATTGAGAGGCGTTTCCTGAGATCCGAAAAATTACAGTTCTTGCGACGTGTTGTTCAAGTACCAATCTGAAGACGATGTCTTTCACTAGAACCGGACACCATCAATCAACAAGGAATAAAAATAACCCTGGCTGACACCAGCCAATAAATAACTCCTCCTATACCCTTTTTTTTTATTCATTTTTCATCTCCATGACCGCCCACAGGATTATCATCCACAGGACAACATCAACACACTCGGAAGAAATTCCACAACCTTCTGCCCTAAAAACTTCTCTTGGGTTCATCATTTCGATAACCTTTTGCACCTTGCTACTTAGCATTTCCACTTGTTCTTTGAAAAATTGTTGCATATTAGCACACTAATTTCTTGAGTAGAAAAGAACAAATCCGCCCAACATGACTGCTGGATTTACCGTTGGAGAGGAGATGCGCACGTTGGTGGCTATCTTGGATACCATGCGTGCGCCATCCGACAACGAAGCCCGAAAGAACGCCGAAAAACAGTACGGAATTGCCAAGGAAAAAAATCTTAAGGCTCCAACTTCATAAACATAATATTATCCATGTTAACCCATCTTGTTCTGCTTCTTGTAGTTCTAGAGCAAGTCGATTTTGTTGGGTGGGTCTCTGTTTTCCTTTGAGGATATTGATAGATTAGAGCACTAAGGTTTAATAATTGGCTTCGCATGCGATTGGTTTTTGAATGGAAAACGAAAACGCAAATGGAAAAAATTTACCATACTTGTTCTGTTCCATCATGCTGTCTGTAGGGCAGAGGATGCTCTCCGTCTAGAACACAGATTAATAGGCTTAGGATCTTCACATTCTGATAATTGTATTTCCCTCTAAGCATCCGGACTTCGTCGTGCAGGCCTTGCTGCACATCGTCGCTAACGGAGCAAATTTCAACGAGGACCAGCGACAACAGGCGAGTATCTTCATGCGCCGACTCTTCATCCCTGACGCCATGCTCGAGGATGAACAGAACATCGTCTTCTCCCGATGCTCCCAAGCAGTGAAGGAGACTGTGGCTACCACGTTGCTCAACTGCCTGCAAACTGAAAGTACTACTTGACAGAAATTATAGATCAAGAATGATGAAGACGATAGTAGATGTTAAAAATGTAGTTGAAGTTTATAAGGTTTTTTTAGGAGGAGGACGAGAAGAACCTCAGATCATGTGATCTTTTATACTTTACGTAAAGAACTACAAGAACCTCGGATGTGATCGTTTACTTTACGTATAGGAAGATGTAGAGTCTAACAACGTGAAAAAATATGGGCTTCACTAGCACTTTGCTGTATCAGGCTGCTTTTCATATTATATTTTTCCACCACGAGGAGGGCCTCCGGACAGCTAGGGCATCATGAATTGAATCCTCACATCGTCTACTTAAGGAAACAACTTCTAGGAGGCCTCTCAATCTGAAATCTTCACGGACAACTACATTTAGTTGTACAATGTCGGCTTACAACACCAAACACCAGCTCTCGAGAGAGTGCGAAAGGCAACGGGCAATGCCCTTGTCACCTTGGCCGAACAGCACATAGTTCCTTCCGACGCTGATGGAAAGCGCAATGAAGCCGCGTGGCCGCAGCTTTTGACCACCGTTTGCTCCATGTGCGGATCCGATGACGATGTCTCCAAAAAAGTAAACGCAATGGAAATGCTCTGCGAACTACTGCCAATATACCAAGAGTACTTCTACTTGCTACTTCTCCACGGTAAGTATCTTCTAGTATACTTCGCCCTTGTGGCAGTCTGCACTGAACTTTGTGCGAGATAAATTGTATTGTATTGTACCTAGCTAGGTGCTTCTACTACCTAGTGAAGATACCTAGAATTGTAGAAGTCTAAGACCAATGAATCTTAGGAATAGAAGACGACGTCAAGGACATCTGGATCTTATGACACACAGTATTAGAGACTGAAATTTTGACTGTTTGTCTCGATGAACCGACGATTCGATCGGGTAAGGTTAATAACATAAACATTGTACTACTAATTGTAATTTGAGCCTTCTACGGCTGTGTCAATCCGCTCGAGTAATATGCAGGTAAAACTGTGGACGGCGGACTGAATATGAATTTATCACGATTATCATTTCCAATACCCTTTTCAGGACGATCAAGGGAATCCAGCGTGATATGCAGCTGCTATTAGAGCAGAGTTTCGGGCATGGCGACGCCAAGGTGAGAAAAAGCGCAGTCCTGCTCGTTCTCGCGATGGTGCTCAACTACAAGGCTAAGGACTGGAAGCCACTCCAACCGTGCCTGGCGGTTATCGTCAAAGTCCTCGAAAACTTGGCTCAGCTCCAGGCAAACGAGCACCTGACCGAGTGCCTCGAACAGATGACGGAGACCTGCGAGTACGAAGCTATCTTCTTCAAGCCACAGGTGAAACTGTTGGCCAACTTGCTCGTGCAAATCGTGGGTGCGAAGGAGCAGCTGGATGCCACACCAAGGTCTGCCGCACTAGAATTCTTCATCACATTGGCAGAACAAAAGCCGAAGATGTGCATGCAGCAGTGCCCCGAGTTCGGATCCTACCTCATCAAGGCAGCCATGGACTGCATGATGGAGATTGAAGACAGCGATGGTCAAGACTGGGCCAACATCATGGATGATGAAGAAGGTACTTCACACTACTACAACTATAATTTAGATCTACAAGCAGCACAACTCATGAACAGTCGGTGCACGTGGTGGTGATGTTACGAGGACTACGACTACTTGGAGGATGTTCTTGTTGTAGAAGATGATGTGGAATTTTTTCTTTCGGATATTAGATCAATTACATCCCAACTACAATAGATGACGATGACGACGAGCTGTTCAAGCTGGGAGGCGAGGTTATTGACCGGGCTATTCAGGCTTTGACTATCAAGAAGATCGGCTCTTCCTACTTCCAAGCAATTGGTATGTATGTCCAGAACACCAGCGACTGGCGTAGTCCGATGTCCGCTCTTTCAGCGGTCTCCGAAGGTGTCGAGTACGTCGAGAAGGCAGAGCACTTGGACCAGTTGATGGAACTCTGCTTGCAGCATACAACGTACTACTTTCATCGTTCATTGAACACTGACTCTACACGTGTAGCTGTAGGCTAACAACTTACATACAGCGTACTATTCTTGATATTCTGAACGTATTCGAAAATAAATCCAAATAGGCATGCGCATATGCGAGTGCGCGCACAGAGTTGGCACGCACTGTCCCGAATTTTTGCGGACCATCGTGAAGTGACCGAGAGATGGCATCCGCAGTACATGGCTGCCACTCTCCGTGGCCTCGAGGACCCGGTGCTTCGTGTGCAAACCAAAAATTTAGGCGCTTTCTTGTATTTCGGTGAGGCCCTGGAGCCGGTCGTGATGGAAAACTACGCCAAGGATCTGCTCGAAAAGTTGGTGGAGAAGATCAATAAGTGCAATCATCGAGGCGTTATCGAGGAGTGCATCACCAGTATTGCCGTGGTCGCTGGAAGCATTGAGAAGGAGTTCAGACCCTACTACGATCACATCATGCCGATGCTCAAGAACTTCATCAAAAACAGTAGTGAAGAGAAGGAAACCAGACTTCGAGGCAAGGCCTTCGAGTGCATGTCTTTGTTTGGTGTCGCGGTCGGAAAGGAGAAATTCACGGTAACAACTAGCTTATTTGATGTCATGGCGAGTCGAAGAACCAACAAAGAGTGAGGAAAAAACCCTTATGGTCAAGAAACTACGTCTACTCTCTTGCATCTACTCTCTTGTCCTCATTTAGCACCGTAGCTAGCAGTTATATCCCACCTTGTAGTTCAGTTACAGGTTCCTCCTCCCTAAATACTTAAATCAAAAATGTGATCCCCACCGACCCCGAGCTCTCCACGACTTTCCATCTCAGGTCGACGTGACAGAGTGCATGACGAGTATGTTGCAGCAGGGATCCGCATCGACTCAGTTGGAGAAGAAAAACGCTGTCATCCTCACAGATTACCTGAAGGATGCCATTGAGCGAGTAGCAGGCGTTATGGAAGAGAACATGGAACCCTTTTTACCAGCATTGCTCTTCGGCGGAGCCCACGGCAGCGGTTACATGCAAATCCTCGATTTGGCACACGCCGCACGACAGACGGAAGCTGGAAGTACTTTTGACTGCTGATTGATCCAAGTAGAACAAGATAAGTACATTTGATGAATCAAAATTCACACATCATAATCATCGAAAACGAATAAATAGAACTTCTCTACTTTTCACTTACAACTTTCTTCTAGCTATTACCGGAGATGATGACGACGAGGATGAATTGATTACTTTGAAGAACGGAGCGAAAGTAAAGACTGCTTACTTCCGAGAAATGGCAGACGCAGCTGAAACGGTCGCATGCCTTGTCAGCAACAGTAAAAAGGCATTCATTCCCCATGTCCCGAAGGTCTGCGATGGCCTCATGGCTCTTTTCAAGGTACTACTGCAAGCTTGTCTCTCAGCATTTTCTTCACATTCGTCACATTCAACTTTTTTTTCATCTTGTGTACGAATAAGCGACCACAGCAGCTGCGACTACCACAAAGATACAACTCTACCAAGTATCATCAATACTCTTCCTGAAAATGCCAACCGTCTTCACAACACCTCTCTACCAGCGACGACTAGGATCCTCCACTCCACTATGAAACCAGGATCGATTATCATTATCAGTTTTGTCTAGTTAATGAACCCCCTCCCTCCCTGTTTTTTCTGGATAGTGCCGGGAGTGGACGCGCTCCGGTTCAGGTTTTTTACCTCGAGGCGTAGTCTTTACTCACTTCAAGCACTGTCTTCTCCGCGTCCAAGCTCATTATGATACCAGATGTTCCTTTCGTGTCCACCTCTCCAACAATCTCAATCGTGAATCTCTCCAACCGCAACAGATCGAAGACAAAAGCTTGCGAGCATCTCTGGAGGCGGATGAAGTGTTGAACAAGTGCAGTGAAGTATGGGCAGCGATTACGGGTGTTCTCGCAAAATGCGACCAACTGCAGACCAGCCAATGCGTTGCGAAATTTATCGAACTAAACTACCCCTTCCTGGAACAAGCGACCGACGATGCAGATGAAGTCACCATGCTGGCGAAAGGTACTATCTTCATCATTGACATCTACAACTGATGACTATCTTTGAAAATCTAAATCTTAATCATTGACATCCGACCTGGCTGGCAAATCCTTGCGACTATGCAAAAAAATGCAAGCTGGAAGTGAGGCCCGACCACTTGGGCAAAATACAATCAAAGGACGTCTTAGAGGTCCTGTCGGCAAACTGGAAAAGTCAGACGCTTGCGGGGATTCCCTCCTTACTCGCCGACTTGGGCGAGGGCGTGACCGTGAAAGGCTACCGAGAGAGGACGAGGGGCGCGCCTAGCATGGCGCCCGAGTGCGATGACTTCGAGGAGCCGCCAACCGCGTGCGAGCATTTCCGCGCCTTGCTGTGCGGCCCTAACTATGCGCACGGCCGCGCCTGCGTTTACTTGCTGGCGGGCCGGCGCAGGGCTTGCAGCGTCTGACGGCGCGGGCGTAGACACTCACTCGACGGCGATCCTGAGCGCGATCATAGTGCCCGAGGGTTTTGGGTGCGGCCTCTCTTCCATGCGGCTCCCTGCTACCAGAAGGAGACTACCGACGAGACTGATAAGCCCGCGGCTCGCTGAATGGCTGAGAATCTGCCGAGTCCTCTCTCCGGGAAAAGACTGCGCGCGCCAACCGCTTCGCATTCTGGGGATTACTCGCGACGAGTTTCGTAAACTGGCGCGGGATCGGTATAAGCTTCCCGCAAAGGAGGGAGGGCTCGCCGCTGGTGATGTCTTCGCCGCAATTTCAGAGACTTGCGAGCAGCCCGCTGGGGTTGATTTCTAAAGGCACCGAGCTCCCATTCGCGTGGCGCCCGCAGGGGCCGGCCGTCGCTGGCATTAGCGGCCGCTACTTTTTTCGTGCTGGAGCAGCTCCCCGCGTTGCGAGTCAATCTGGGGAAAAGTTCGCCAAGTGTCGACGAGTAGCCCTACGCTGTGAAGGCTTGGGCTTGTCTTGGGCTCGAACCGGGCCACGATCTCAGTCGGGACCCAGCCGGGGGGCTTTGCGAAGTCTATTTCGGCAAGGACAGCGTGACGCAATTGACTAAGAAGGCCGGGGCTGAAGTGTGTGCCCAACCCGTGGCCGCGCGGCAGGCACTTCCTGGCCTCTTAGCGAATGCGGCGCAGAGGAATTAAGCAGCTGGCGCCCCGCAGGATACAGTGGGGCAAATTCCGAAGCTGTCTGGGGTCGCGAATACCTTGGAAAGTGGGCGCCTCTGGTTGCTAACCATCGCGCGCCAAGGAGTGCCCTATCAGTAGACGACTACGCATACGAGGGCGAGAAGGAACGGCGCGCGACGACAGCGGCAGGCGGTTTGCCCCGCCTTTTTGCGCCACTCGTTCGCGTTTGCGGCGAACCAGAAGCGTGCGAGCCTTCACAAGTATAAGACGACGCCAGCAGAGAAAAAGCCCGCCGCTCATCGACGGAAAGCCAGGCAGCGCGCTAGTGTGTGAGCTGCTGACTCTTGCTTCTACAACAGAGACAAGCAAAAGCGGCGGCGCTCCCACAGCCTTCGCGTCGTCTGGTAGTTTTTCTGAGGCGGAACACTCTCGATTTTCTCAATCCGAAGGGACGTGAGGGATATAAAAAACAGCTTTTCGCGGACGACGTGCAGGAACCCACAGTCGGAAAAGGTGAAGCATCAGACCTGTTCGCGCCGCTTGGAAGCGGAAAGCTGCAGGTCTGGCGACGGCCTCTGCGTCGTCTGGTAGTGCTGCAGGTCTGGAAACAGCCTCCGCGCCGTCTGGTAGTGCTACAGGTCTGGGAAAAAGAAGGCCCAGGCCCTTTCTTACTCCCAACCTCGACTGCAGTCTGCGACTCGTGCTTCCATTTTCTTACAATAAAAATAATGATCACAATTGATTCCATTCCCATGCTAATCATACTACAGGTACCGCCGAGGTGTTGTGCAGTGTGTGCCCGTCATCAAGTATGACCGCAGAGAAGAAGGCAGAATATGGCGATGTCACGAAATATTTGCAGCCAGCGCAAATGACGCAGCTCTATAACTTATGCGAAACCAAACTCCAAGAATGCTTCAAGCGCAGAGAAGAAAACCTTTTGAAGGAATCCGAATGGAGAGACGGAGCGGAGGAAGATGACGTTGAAGGTATACTACATTTGAATTTCCTCAGAGAAGATGATCATGTGGGAGTTGACACCAACTGGAATTGTTTTGATCTGGGTCTAGGTGCTGTGTGCAAAAAATTTTCCTATGTGACAACTCGTCCTGGTTCCGACCTACTTATACATAGATACTTTCTTATCTTCAAAATCTCTTCTATTTTTCATAGGTGAGAAGAACACCTTAGACGAGATGGACGACAACCATGAGGCAGCGGTCGCTGTTTCCCAGATTATTGGAGCGTTGATGCAATTGAACCCAGATTTCTACACCCAGAACCTCCTTGGTCGAACCGATGCCGTGATCAAGACTTTGTTGGATCCTTCAAAAATAGCTAGCAGCGTGCAGGCCAAGGACAGACAAGTGATCGTAAACAAGAACAAGATCCTCGCGTACTACATCGCGTGTGACATCTGTGAGCACCTACGGGAACGAGGCACCAGCATGTGGCCAAGCTTCTTGGAAAAACTGTTCGCCGATCTGCAGAACGTCGACTACGAAGTTAGACACGCAGCAAGCTACTTCGTGTACTTGGCGGCGACCGTGCCAGGCTTTGAGCAGTACTCCGAAAACGCGCTGACGAAGATGGTACACGTGCTCCAGAGCCCAACAGACTTCGGAAAGGGAGCACAATCCAAATACGCTTCCTGCGACGATATCAAGGTACAACTTACTACTGCTCACTGAATTAGAATTTAATATTACAAACGTTCCTGAATTTCTTCTACTCAAGAAAAAACAAAATCAACTAATTATTTGCAATTTGACCCCTTTTTACTCCACTACAACTACAGGTCGCCGAAGACAATTTGATTGCTGCAGTTTTCGCTTTGCTCGCTAATAGCGTCACTCTGTCATCCAAGAACCAGAACTTGTGGGATTCGCTGCTCCTTCCGAAGCTCCCGCTGAAGAACGACACCGAAGTCGGCGCTTCCGTCATCGTCAAGCTCCTCGAGTGCTTCCAGGCGCAGCGAGCCGACATCCTAGGAGAGGGCCAAAAGCGTATCCCAGCCATCTGCGCTGTCTTTGCGGAAGCCTACAAGAGCTCCGATAGCGAGGACATGGACTCACAGGTGAAAAAAGTCTTCTCCTCGTTCCCGACAGACTTCTTCCAGACCACGTTGAAGCCCAACTTTAAGGACACCCAGTGGAAGAAGCTCGAGAAGCTCATGAAGGACCCGGTTGTAGGTGCATAAGCACACAGGACCTAGAAGGTTCTCGTGTAGACCTAGAAGGTCGTCGTGTAGAAAGGAATAAAAGTGGTCTAGTGGTGGATAGAATCTATCTATTGGAGAATACTTGTCTTCAATTGAGAAGACGTGGGAGGTACTTATAAAATACCTTGAAATTATGATTCTGAAGCAGCACATGAAAAGTACTTATTCTGAAGCAGTACGCGTACGACAAGAAATATTTCTGTGATTTAGGACACAGGAATAAAAGTGGTCTAGTTGATAGAAAACGACAACGCCGGAACGAAAGAACGCTGAAAGCACGACTTTATGTCATAGAAGATACGAAGAAGTTTAATCAAGCCTGCCGCATACTTTTTACTTTGATCATGAAGAAAACTGAAAATGAAATTGTCCTTAATATGGTAACGCTAAGTGAAGAAGAAGATGTTATAGTTAGGCAGGTTGAGCTTGACGTATGCTCCGTATTAGTATGTTGTACACTACGTGGAGCTGGAGGTCTTGGTCTTCTACAACTCTACAACTTCTCGACGACGGCGCGGCTACTTATGGACATATGAAGATGAATACTTGTTGTAATAAATCCTACCAATAGAAATTCGTTTCAAACTCTGTGCTCGTCTTGTCATGCATCTTCAACATCAATGATTAGCTGAAGCAGAAGCCATTATGCACCTAGAAAAATACGATAAGGTGTACTGGATTAGGTGGGGGCTCGTTCCGCCAGAACGTGTCTACTACGTATTCGTTTACTACTCATTCTGGTAAAATAAACTTCAGTATGTGTATGTTGACCATCGACTTCCAATTCTATTACATTTACGATTATTGGATCATTTGCTTTTGCCTACTAGACATGCAATATCAAATAATAAAATAATATCAATATCTTTCTTCATAATATCAAGCTTCAATAATTATATCTCCCTACAAAGAACACGATGTTCTCAGAAAATATAATGCATGACTTCTCCCGACGATGTATCTCATCCAGACACGACAAACAGCGTCCTCAAATTGGAATCCTTATCCTGCATTATATTCAACTTCAAACGACTTCAAAGAGATTCTTCTCTTTGATGAAAGATATGAAGAAGATGCATGAGTCCTTATTTCTGAATGATGAAGATAGAAGCAGTGACGTTGCAAGAAGGTTGATGTAACCGTGGTAACGAAAAAGGAATAATTAGAGCACAGCAACCTCCTGACGCCCGCGGTTTGCTACTGCTCCAAAAACAGCTTTCTTCCAACGTGGTGTGTCTGTGTGGCGGAGGGTCCAGAACGAAACAAAGGGCAGAGATTATTTGAAAACGGTCTTGTATTTAAGATTAAGAGGTGCCTGGTGCTGCACATTAGCACAGCAGCAATCAAACTAATAAAGACAAAAAATGAGACAAAGGTTAGTGCAGATGTCAAGAGAGCGACGGTCGTGAGAGATCTTTTCAGCCGGTCGTCAAGTAACCAGCAAGTCTTGTTGGTCGAACCTGTTTCCAGTACGACTAGCAATTGGTCATGACTTGAACAAATTGATATTGATATGCCCTCTTCTTGGTTTACGGGGGCTGAGGCGGGAACCCCTCTAGATCTAAATCTACGCTCTCGAAGACACGACGACCGAGTGCATAGGATTTTTTCACGTGCTGGCGTTCTCCCACCAATCGTCGTTAACCCCATCACGGAGTCCTGTCAAACTATTCACTTGAAAGAAATATAACAGATCAAGATTCTACACGTGCAGAGGAACTAGGCCGGGACTTGTCGTGAGCTCATGTGCTACGAAGCGGCTCCTTTCCTAATAGGTTACATTTTGCTCCTATTATTCAGCACATTTTTACCTACAATTGATGGGAGATTAGGAGAAGTAGAGGAGAGAGAACAAAAGAAGAATAGCAAAAGCAAAACGCGAAAAGAAAGTCGTGGTGCGGGCATGAACAAGACCAAACCGTTTTTTTTTAGACCCGAAAAGCAAAAGGCGAGTGTTCTACTCGAGGCAAAGCGATGAAAAAATCGATCATTTGGTAGACAAAATGAGATTAGGAGAACGGCGGATGTGATCCGAAATCTTCATAACCACTAGATGAAAACTCAAGTTGTCATTGTGTTTTGTTGAATTAGGACGCTTATCCATCTTAAAAATATCTTAGACCAACATGGCTCCAACGCGAAGTTCTGTTTCTTCTGTAGGGGTGGACACAGCAAGTCAGTCAGCTACAGCAGTTCTACAAGCCGCGAATAGGGTGCGCTTTTCGGAGGAAGATGAAGGTCAAGGTGGCGGTGGCTTTACTTCTACTACATCTTCGTCGACCACTAGCAATGGTGGAAAAGGATCTTATACAAGTACTTGTGCAAGGGAACAAGCCGGAGGCGCAGTTTCTTCAGCCGCATTTTTCTCAAAGCAAATCGGCGCTTTCAGAGCTGAGAATGAGGAGCTAGGGGAAAAGAGTCTCGCAGGAATTTGGAAGGATTTTGTTAAGACAAGGAAGTGTGAGGATGTGGTCATGACCCATCTTTTTGCTTCGAACACGTTGAAAATGACCAATCGAAGCCAAAAGGCGAGTGCTCTACTCGAGGTAAAACGGTGAAAAAATCGATCGTTTGGTAGACAAAATGGGATTAGGAGAACGGCGGATGTGATCGGAAATTCATTCATTCATTCATTTCATTCATTTACCTGTTCTGGAGGATAACCACTAGAAAAAAAACTCAAGAACTAATTCGCGATGCGACACTGCTGCAGGACGGATGCTTCGGAACTTGTATCACCAGAAAGGAACGGTGAGGGCGCCTCGTGTACGGAGCTCCAGTTCGAGTAAATTCGATGCCAATCGGGCAGCACTCGCCAGTAAACAGCTTCTGGAGAAAAAAAAATGCCCACAAAGAGATGGGAAGGTAGCTATTACAAGGAAAGGGATAGGTATCTATTACAAGGAACGGGATAGGTATCTATTACACGAACAATTGAAAAGTTCAAATGACTCAGAGAGTGAGTTAAGTTGATGTTGAAATGGACAGCTTCAGCGACAGGCTTGAAGATAGTGATACAAGATAGTAAGTAATATTGGTACGGACTAAGAAGTAAGTAATATTGGTACGGACTAAGAAAGTTCTTTGTGCACTGCTCAGGGCGAAATTCCATTCCATAAGAAAGTTCTTTGTGCGAGAAGCTGCAAAGGAACTTCATCTCACTAATAGGAAAAAAAAGGAACTTCATCTCACTGTAATTTGAAAAAAGACAAAGGTGCCGGTGCCTCGAGTGGGATTGGGCAGGCGTGACGAGGATGATGGCACGCCAACGGCGTTGCACACTAGGGGAAAGAAAACTCTCGATAAAATCAAGGCTGAAAACAACGATTTTGAACGAACGATTGCAAACAGTTTGCCATTATGAAGGAGGGATGCGAATTCTAGCTTCTGATGATGGAATAGACTACACTTCACAAGCTAAATAGAATTTTGAATTTCAACATTGAGTTTTTGTTGAGTGATCTTTTCATCTGAGCACGTAGGTAGTCAACAATGTCTAATCCCAGTTTCTGGCATACGTCGTGGTCGAGATAACGAAGCAGTGAAGGCGCAGCTCCAGAACAAGTTCACGTACGGTCAGGCTTACCTCTCCCCGCTAGAACTGAAGCAGCGAAGGCAGGCACGGGAGGATGAAGAGCAGGTACTGAAATAACATAGATTATATTATTTATTAAGGGTTACCACAGGATGATAATTACCCTTTTCTATCTTCCTCTGGTCTTTCTTTTTTCTAGTTAGGTCGGCTCCACCACAATCTATTAAGGGTTGCCGCATGATCTCGTCTTATTTTTAGCGATGTATTAATAGGTTAAGGTGTCTGTAGAGATACTATATTGTTACCTCAAGTAGCGCGTGCTGTTATTAAGGGTTACCACATTGCATTCTTCATTACCATCCTTGACTTTTTTTCCAGTAGGAAAAGGGTCAGGGATGATCTGAAGAATGCAAAAATGTCGCAACCTCTAATATCTGCCTCGTCAAAGGTGTTGCTGTTGACGTTGTTCTGAAGAAGAGGATCGTCGTTTAACCTCCTCATCTTCATGGATAGAAACTATAATCTTTCATTGATGGCAAGGGTTTGTTTTTGATGCACCTTGTTCTCCCACTTCACCCTTTCTCAGATATTTGCCTTGGAGCATCAAAACATGTCGAGACATGACGTGGCTCTTCACTCGGAACTCAAGATTATGTCTCTCTTCCATGTAGGTGATTCTCGACGTACCCACTACACTCAAAAACTTTTTTACATTTATAAGAACGCGAAGGTCTAGTACTCAGAAGTTTAACGAGATAATAAAGGTTAATAACATCAGGGAAATCCGTAAAACTCAGAAGAGACTCAGCGAAGTCGTAGGACAATTCCGAACCGACTAACATCATCATCAATAACTTTGTTCTGCTGACCATGAGCACGTAGTTACCTCTTGTACCACAACAGGTTGCAATCGTCCTCCTCCTCTCGTCCTCCTCCTCTAATGTCGGTGGCATCGCAGAGAGGGAAGCACGCCTCCGTGAGATTGATGGGCTTACCGACGAAGCGGGGAAGCCGCAGAATCGAGCAGATTGGCGAGACCGGATTTCACTGGGTAAAGAAGCGCTTGAACTGGAAAATCGACTCGAGAAGGATCGAGCTGAACTCAAAAAGTTCGAAAAAGATCTGCACGCTTCCTAGGATTTGCAAATACGAGGAGGAGGAAGTGGGAAGTAGTATTGGGATTAGGTGGATGTCTGCAAGTACTTATGAGAAAGAGGGATTAAATATATTTATAACTTCAAGGTCAACCTTGTAGTTCAACAGACACTTCTCATCAATTGAAATTTCGCTTTACCAAGCAAGCGCCGGCTACCTTGAGAACAAAATGACTTGATCCATCATGTTGATACTACCCAAACGCGCCGTTCGTGAGACTCATCCCTGCCATACTTAACAGGAGTGATCTTCGCGTTTCTGCTTCTCAGTGCTCCCCCCATGCCTTTCTTTGCCCAAGAACCACAGGATGTTGCGCTCTAAGAATCCAACTATTCATCTTCATAATGGCAGCACTCATGAGTCTGGTCTCAGCACGATCGGCTGCACCGTCGATGAATACAATTTTTATTGTGTTGTTCTTCGGAAAAATTCTCGTCGTCGGAACTTTCTGATCGCATTCGTAAACAAAATACCATGTACTCGTTCGTAAATCTGAATGTTAATTTTTGCTGCAAACGCAAGAATCCTCGAGCAGGACGAATTGATTTGCATCGGCTTAGTAGTATTATTCATTTTTGACAGGTTTAGGTTTTGCTCGGTAGTTCTAGGAATTTCTACAAGGTGCATAGCGATTACAGGTAGACGAGAGTGAGACATAGATGCTTCTTGCGAGAGTACAACTTCTAGACTGGTCGAGAAAAGTCTGCATGGTGCTCTTCATAGCTGCTAGAACATTTTCAGATTTAGAACAAGAAGTTGAGCTTGATATAGCTGCATAGAGATATCATAAAAGATCATATCGCGGCCTCCTGTGAAGACTTGTGACTCCTGTGGCTACAAACAGGCTCCCAAGGCCGGTTAGAAGAGGACTAGACGCCGCTTGAATTACTTGACGAGCCGCGACTGCCGACACGCCAAGAATAGCAGAAGGGCTCGATTTGATACGGTCGTGAAATAAGAAGCTAGCGTCATTTGCACTCGTCTTTCGCCTTCCTTGGAGCGACCAAAACGGTGCGAAAGCTGCTAAGTATCTGTTCAACCTAGGGCGTTGTCATTGGCCTTCTCACATCGCTTCAACAGCATCTTCACGGCTAGTACAGCGAAGACCGGTCTATTAAGGGGTAAAGTCGTCTATCGAGTTGTAGACGGACGTCATCATACAAATTCTTCAACAGCAAATAAGTACTAGAACCAGTACAACAACTAGTACTGCTAGTACTCGTGCACCTCCTCCACGCGAAAATACCAGGCCTCATCCTCATCCCCAACATTACCTCAACATCCCCAACATTACCTACAACACCTAGAACAACAAGATGTCGATGCAACAGCAGAGTGGGCGGAAAAAGGTGCTCCTGAAGGTGATTATCCTTGGTGATAGCGGAGTCGGGAAAACGTCTCTGATGAACCAGTATGTAAACCGGAAGTTTACAAACCAGTACAAGGCGACCATAGGGGCGGACTTCTTGACAAAAGACGTTATAATAGGTACTACCTCTTGACCAAAGACGTTATTATAGGTAGTACCTCTGGCAATAGGGACTTCTTTGTAGTGTCAATAGTTGGTGTACAAGTTGTACATGTCCCTACAAGTACTAGCATGCATGATGAGACCACACATACCAGAACATAGAAACTTGTAACTCCTAGACTCATTTTCCGACTGCGACTTCTACACGACGACACACATTCCTCTATCTATTTCTCAACCCCCCGACCCACGCCCTACAGATGAGAAGTTTGTAACGATGCAAATATGGGACACCGCTGGACAGGAACGATTTCAGTCACTTGGTGTGGCCTTTTACCGCGGAGCAGATTGCTGTGTCTTAGTCCACGACTTGACACAGTTTAAGTCATTCGAGCATCTCGAAAGCTGGCGAGAGGAATTTTTGGTGCAGGCAGCCCCAAAAAACGCGGAAAATTTTCCATTCGTTGTTCTTGGTACTCTAGGTTTCAATTTTACAATTTGACTGTAGTTTTGACAGAAGTAGAAATTTCAGTAGCTTTGATCTCTATACACCGATGGACATGGAACGTTGCAACAGAAAGACGCAGGAACCTCTAATTAAAAGATCTTACACCCCGCGAGTGGGTACATCTATCTATCTATCTATCTAACAATTACAGGTAATAAGAGTGACTTGAATCCGGCAGTGTCTAAGAACCACTTGAAGGCCTATCAAGATTGGTGCCAGTCCAAGAAGGACATCCCTCACTTCATGACGTCAGCGAGGGAGTCCACCAATGTAGAGGATGCATTCCGCGAGATCGCCAGGAATTAAGGGTTACATATAATTAGTTCATATAATTAGTAGTAAAAGTGCACACCCGTCTGAGGACTGGGTATATCATCATCACCTATCATCTAAGCGCATCTCTATGGCTTCTTCAAGTAGGAGAGCCATATAGATACGCGACATACTAGATAAGAGCATCTCTATGGCTTCTTCAAGTAGGAAAGCCATAGATATGCGAGCTAGAGATAAGAGCATCTCTATGGCTTCTTCAAGTAGGAAAGCCATATAGATATGCGACATACTAGTGGCCCGATGCCAACTCTCAACCTCTAAAGAAAGGCGCTTCAGCAGGAAGCGGCGGAGAGCATCTCCTATGTCCCGGATAACACTTTGATTAACCTGTCTCAGCACAGCATGAACAGGCCAGGAGAGAATGGCTCTCGCGTCGGAGCGGCACCAGGCGCAGACTGCGCATGCTAGGACGAGACTTGGTACTTTCTTTTTTATGAGTGTGAGTAGTACCTGTTGTACTTCCTTTTTTATCTAAGTACCTAAGATTCATTTCGAATAACAATTAAGTACTGGAACACCACCTCGTGCTAGGTAAGTGAGTGAATGTGTGAGTACCTGTTGTACTTCCTTTTTTATCTACTTAAGATAAAAACTTGTTGTAGTTCTTCTAGAAGTTCAAGTATAATAATGTTTCCAGAAGTTTTTCCTTTGTTTCATCGATCTTCTAAATTTGTTGATGTAATCCCTCACGCTGCATTCAGGTCCACTCACGTGCCACATTTGGCAGCCAAGATTTTCATCTGCCGTGATATTTTTTTTGTAGCTGAGTCCGCTGGCCGCATAGAAGTACTGGAGCTTAGCTGAAGCTTGTTCTCCCGTGATAACCGATCATAAATACCACACGTCAAACATGGAGCTGCTAATGTTGTGACATTCACCACGATTAGCAATGTCTTTTGTTCAAAGAATAACAAGAATTTATGAAAGCAAGAGGTGCCTAGCTGCACCTGCTCCTGGTGCAGGTACTGCTCTACTAAGTCTAACAAAGAAGAATCAATTAGTACTATTAAGTGATGTAGTCTTCTCGTAATTCGCACAACCAATAGCACCTTTGCTTCTACTACCCAGTATTTGCTATTGGTGCAACTCTCTTTTGAGCATCATTATCCGCGATGGCGATGATAACAAATTAAATCTAATATTGTGAAGCAGAAGCAGCTGTTGCTCGAAGTACAACTCGACAGGAGGTTGTAGCTTCATGATGTGCGTCCTATCAAATAAGATCGTGATCATATTCAACACATGATAGTATAACTACAACCCATTGATTGAACTTGGAAGGCACGCAGAGAACCACGACAGAGAATAGTACTTGCTTGCTTGTCATATCACCGTCTCGTCTTCTCACGACGACATTTGCATGACCAAAATCTATGCTGTTGATTATGTCTTAGCAACTGAAATGTAGTAAATCGAAGTCAAACTACTTTTTTGATCACGACCATCATTCAACATCAATTATTCGGAACTTAGTTATGATCACTGTTTTGGAAGACAAACAATTAATCTCGAAATTCCCTGAAACTGAAACTGAGGACCCTGCGGACCTCTCCCCATGACCACGTTGTTACTCACTCATCCGCTAATATGCGTGGAGATGGAAGCCTTTGAAGAGATCCTTTTTTCAGCTTTATTCCTACAGAAGTCGAGGAAGTGTTCCGCGTACAAGAGCTACTGTCTGAGTCTAACCTCTATCAGACCGCTAACTTCTATATGACGCTTTTTCGCGACAGTGAGATACCAAAAAGTGTCACAGATCATGAGGTGAATTATACTTGATGAAATATGTAGAGACATCATCTCAAAAATGAGGTGGTCAGCGTGAGGGACAAGTCCGCACCTCAAGCTATAGAGCCATGCTCTTGATGTTGTAGCAATAGCACAGCGAACTCCGATACGCTCTTATTGCATAGTGTTTGTATTCTTACTATGAGTTTGTATAATGTAGCTCACGTCGGTCACGCTCTACTTGTTATTGGACGGAAAAGCTAGCGATCGCAGTGAGTTTACACAAAAGAGAAGAGTGCTTGTCGCTCCAGTCGATGTCTAAAAATTACGCGGTCCACATCGACTGGAGCGACAAGCACTCTTCTCTTTTGCCCTACGACCGAATAGTGAAGCTCATTGAAGAACAACAGGCTCATTGATGAAAAAGAAGAACAAATAGCTCTCCCAAATACACCTCTTGTCAGGCGTATCAATCAATCAATCAATCAATCAATCGATCAATCAATCATAGGATCAACTACGTCCAGATCTGCAACTATAAGAATGGACTTTCAACATCTCTTTCTCTTCTTCAACTTCAGCAGTAGCAACTTCTTGTTGTATATTATTGCAACTTCGATAACGGACGAGTAGAAGTAATTACTTTTTCCTTGCCGCTGTCGATTTTTAATCTTCTCCGCATAGATACACATCAATCGTTTTCGTGTCTTTCAATATTTTAATTTCCGACCTCCACTCCATTTCGAAGAAGAATAATAAAAATAGACTTAGAGTACATCTTCATCTTTAAGTGACCTCAATTCAAAATTAATACCAAGATGGGCGGTAGCAGTCAGTCACGTCTTCGCGCAGAGAGTCGTCGTGGAGAACCACGACGCCGCGACGACTGCTGCGGTATGGGAGCAGGTGAGGAGGATTTTGCGACAGCAAGAATAACGGATGTAAATGAGGAAAATCAGGCTCGTCATGCGCGCGCAGATGAGTATCAATATTCTTCAGGTTCACCCGGCGAGGAACAACAAGGTCCCGTCTTTTACAACACTACCCGACTTCTAGTCCAAGGAGAGCACGATGAGGAAATTGAGACATTTTACGATCTGCTTGACGAAGGCCGTGATGACATCCCTCTTGTTGGCGAGATCGCGAGTAAGGGAGACCACAAGAAGATAAAGCCTGCAGCTGCAGAAGAAGAAGGAGGGCAAGATATTTTTGATTCTGAAGAGCAGAGAGTGACAGTGAGGAAGGACGACGACGGCCGCGACAACATCAAAACAACTCCAGATGGCGTCGAGTCTACTAAAAGTAAAATATATAACATCTACAACTCCATGCATCTTGAGGACCACCAATACCTGGACATCGATATTCTGAATAAGTTGAGTGGGGAAACAACGCATGCTTTCATTCCCGTGCTTTCACAATTAAGGCAACCACTGAAGCATCCTCAGCATCATACATCCTTACTTCTTTTTCAAATTGAAAAAGAAGCCGAGGACGCTCTCAGGGATGCCGTCGCGGTAGCTCTAACACAAGCGAAAACGGCAGATGCTGACGCCTTTCTCCAAGCTCGAG